GAATTGAAACTTCAAGCCATTTGATTGAGATATAAGAATAGATTGACTGTTACGATTGGTAGAAGACATGCATAGGCTACATGTTTTCGATTATAGATATTTTCAAAGTATTCCTCGCGTTTATGGAAGAACCAAGTAAGTAATGTTGAAGTTAGATATAGGCTGCTATGTAAAATGGCATGTCAGTTGACGAAGTTATCAACCTTAATCAATTGAAGTGGTTATGACGTATGTCCTTTTTATGTTTGACCACAGTCTACCTAAATGGACGATATTTGCTGGTGTACGAATAGGTTACAAGAAAACTAAGAGTAACAAAACTAAATCAGCACAATGTTTTCTCTCAATTAATTAAGCATATATAATAACCACGCCTGTCTATCTTTTCCCTAGTCTTAATGAGCTTTGTCTACAAATTCAACTATCAGCATGGCCTAACTTCATGCACAATGCAATTTTCTGATTAATACAAACTATAATTCCAACAGTTATCCTATTTTAAATACAGTAATAATATTAATAGAGTACTTTTATCGAGACGAAAGCAAGTCATCGATGCTCAAGTGATTAACTTTTCACAGCTTCTTTTTTATTTCCAGTATCATTTTTATTTTCGATATAATATGACCAGTATTTTTATAAGCAATACTATAGATAGGCTGAAATTCATCTCTCTTACGTATACAACCTACAAATTAAACCAATCTCTATAAAACTCACCCAACTAAACTGTAATAATGAGCTTACTAGTAACTTACTACAGGATATTTCTGAAGTATCAGTGAGAACTGTGACCGATGGAGTTTAGACATTGAGAGTGAAGCAGTTTTCACCAATGGTATTGGATGAGCGCTGGGCTGAATCACAAATTGGTTGAAGTTGGCATTATACCATCGTGTCCTGACCTATTGGTGTTAATCATTCTGTTTGCTGAAAGACCTAGAGTTCCTAGGTCGGATTCCTACTGGGGTCGTGGGTGTGAACTTGAGAGGAATCCAATACTAAAAAGAAAAGGCTGTCCAGTGCACCTTGGTCTCTAGTGGTACACGAAATGAAATCGCTTTGTGATATGCATAGCTTACAAGCTAAATTGATCTCTAGAAAACCACTTCAACTAGAACTTGACTGAATCATTTCGAAAAATTACCAATATAAAGGTGAGAAAAGTCAGCACTTGAAAAGGAGTCAACAACAAAAGTCGGTTTAATGTTAGTCGGCTATCGAATGTGAACTGACTGTAAGATTAAAATTAACCACAGTATTTGATGATGAACAGAATTTTTTTGGGAGTTCATGGATCTAAATATAATGATGATCATTTTTTTAACCCATTAACTAAAATTATTGAGTATTGATTGCTAGATTTTAACTCATCAGCTCAGCAGTAATTTACTTGTTACCATGTGATAAAGGGATGGATATAGAGCCAACAGTAATCGCTGAAGATAAAGTATAAATGGATAGGAAACATTATGGTTTGACATCATTTTATAAAAAAATAAGTCAGTTCATGAAAATTACTCTCAAACTTTAAGTAACTGAATCACAAAATAAGTTCGACCATTAAAAACACAGTTTATTAGAACAACTCAATAATGCTCTGTCGGCAAAGATGGGTAGTAGCTAGCAGTGGAATCCAGGACGCGCGTTTAGTCCTTTTTGGGACTCGATAGCGTTTGAAGCGAACGGTACTCGGTTCGAGTTCCAGAGTGAACATCAACTCTGAGATGCAGGTACATCCAGCTGACGAGTCCCAAATGGGACGAAACGTGCGTCCTGGATTTCACTGCTAGCCACCATCCATCTTTGCATATAATGCTTGTAAATTAAGGCAATATCGAGGCATGCGCACAGTATGCACATATGCCAATAAGAGACTGATCAATTTCAGTCCTAAAAACATCAATGGGAGTAATCAAGTAAAACAATACCAAGTGAATCAATAATACTTTTTAAGATTTTATTATTGAATGAACAAAGTTAAAATCCCTGAATATTAAAAATTCTCCTTCATGTTATATTTATGACAAGCAACGATATACAAGACTCTAAATCAATCAAAACAATGTCTTTTGAATAATTTCAAATCAATTAAATTAGTGACTAGATGGAATTCGGTCAACATCAGGGACTTGATTCTAGTACATTTGAATCGTTTAACTTTTCCTTTTTTATTTCAAATAAAATCTAGATTTTCATTTATCTTCCTGTTATATGAAAAAAGTTTGTGAATCATGTCAAGAAAGAGTTAAATGATGACACAATTCACAATTTCTCGTGAAGTTATCTATTATGTAAGTAATCAGAGAAAACAATCCTTCAATTACGAAGTATTATGAATGTTAATAAAAATAATATTGAAGACTAAAAATCTTACATATAAATATCAACCGTGAGAATCAATAAAACTGATGATCCTAATTTAGTCATAGTACAAAATATAAAGAATTGAAATACATTTCAATCTATTCTAAATAAAGTGTAAGTGTGGGAAAATCACTCTTAAACAGTCGTGTGTTTCTTAAAGTTACATACATACATAAATGGAAATGTTGATAATATTTGATAGCTGATTTAAGTCAAATAACCTGCTATTTTTTTTAGAAATTACTATATTTAGATATTATTAGAACTACAATAGAATGCGTAACTTCACTTCGGCCTTTAAGTATATATGAGTCATTATAAGCTAGGACAATAATTCTGTACACTTAAAATCAATTTAAAGGTAGAATTAAAGTAATTCTTTAGAAATTATTATTAGATCTGGTATTATATGTGTCTAGAATCATTAGGTATAGAAGAAGGAAAAGTATATTGATTTCTTTGAAGATTGAGTACAGATTTACTGGAAGAATACATATCACATGCGATAAATGACACTGACTACTGATTAGTCAGGTTTTAGATATTAATTATTACGGATTTCCACCTTTTTTTCAGGGTTTCATCCTCGTTTGTGACTTCTTATCAGTGTGTATTCGTTAATCCATCAGGAGTTCAAACCAGAAACTTAAGTTTTCATGGAGTGCACATTACTTTTAAACTACTTTGTTAAAATTTAGTGCTCTTCATCAAATAAATCGATCAATTCAGGGTACAGAGTGAAGTTTATATAATCCCATAAGTGATGACTGCCTTATTTATGACATAGGCAAACTCTATCAATCAAAACTTTCCACTAGAATTCTGGGGACCCATCGTGGAGCTAGTTAGTTGTAAGAATATTGTAGTCCCACAATTTTTCAGTTTCCGCATGATAGGCTAAAAATTTAATCAACGATCAATAAAAATGTAGAACGTCATGCATCTGAAAGGATTAGTTTGACAAAAATGAATGAAAAACGAGTAATAGCATTTATGATCTAGAACAAAAAAAAATAAAAAACGCGATTTTATCAAAAGACGAATAGTACAAAGATCTCTTTTTTCAATATTTTAACGAAAGGTCACTATTGTAGTGACATTACACAACTATTGTGCAACACAACTACTCGATGGATATTATTTCACTTTTATAAATCGTAGATATATATTACTGTAGAGTGGATAGTGAACTACCATCAAGATGATTTATCTGTAATCCTTGTCCTGATTTCATGTTTTGCTCATAAGCACTTCATTCAAACTAAACATTATTACTACTATTATTACCAATCTGTGTAACAATATTATTTATCAGTATGGAGGTTTGTGGAGATTGTAGTATTTTTACAGTTGAAATCATTAGTCGATCTAAGCTAGACTACTACTGACAACTTGAAAGTACTAGATGGTGTGATCATGAATGCACACTGCTAACGAGTACCACAATAGAATAAAACAGCCATCCAGTGCTTCCGGGTTTTTACTGGTGGTTTAGCTTAGATTGACTCGTGATTTCAATTATGAAAACACCACTTACATGAAAATTCGTCAAACTTAGACGGTTAATGTGACAAAAACTGGACACCGAGTATATATAATACGTTAAGTGGTAAAATTTTATTTGAAATACAATTTCTATGTTTAAATAAGTACTATTGTTTGTAAGGTTTTGGATTTTCTCATCATTGATATTAAGAGATATAACTTATCAATCTCTGTTGGTACATACACATTGTGAGCAGACTGTTTCGATATAGCTATTTTATCAAGTGTTTTTAGAATAGATGTCTTCACATTTTCTAATGTACACTGACCAACGACAGTTCTTAATATCAACAACGAGAAGATACAAAATACATATAAATGAAATTCACACCAACTGAACAAGTTAATGATGATCTGGAACCAGTATTTAAATGGAAATTGCTATTTGAAGCAGAAGGTACTAGGTTCGATTCTCAATGAAGATATCAATACCGAGATACAGGCAAACCTGTCTAACGAATCTCAAATGGTACGGGAAGCACATCTTGAGTCCCGCTACTACTATTCGAAATAACGTTTCACGATAAGTACGTTATTGAAATCTACTTTGTGAAATTTGTTGAACTGATGAAAGATAGTGAATTTTCTCAAATAAGAATAATTGTTTTAGCTTATAGATGATTTCATTTATATCGATATATGTTTAGTGAACTGAATATAGTTGATGATTTTCGGCATGAATCGTAGAAACTGTGTTTTTTTAGTAGCTAGGATAACTGAGAAATGGATATGGAAATACTATCCTCATTAGTTGATATCTATCAAGATATAATCAAATATGTCTTCGTTCGGATACTTTTGGGATCCAGGTGTATCTAACTGATCAACTTAACGGGTTCCCTTACAAGCTACAAATAAAATGCATAATAAACAGTTCTGAATGAACTTTTTAATTTTTCAGCTATCTTCATTATAGATTCATCTTCAGAATACAAACAATGAAAATCTAACTGTAGTCGGTCTTTTCTAGAGTTTTGTAACACTTAACATAGACATTCTAGACGGATATTGTTCCCGAAAATCATTCAATATGTATTCAGCATAGTCTTTAATGTAAAAGATCAACTGTTCATTTCGTCATTTATTTATTTTTTAATTCTATCAAATATTGTAACATAAATATCAATACTGTTCAGTTTTAAAGATCATTTCATTAAAAGAAAATATAGATAATCCCCTAAGCGAATGAAATATTTGGAAGTCCATAAATAACCATATTAAATGGTTCTAATGTTGGGATTTCTAAATGTTTATATTGATCATCAAATTGATAATCGATTTCATTGATTGATTTCCGTTCCAACAGCTGATTATTTTTATCTTCAATAATTTGCTTTAAACGATCCAAATAATTATCTAATTCCATTTTGAAAAGTTCATATTGTATCAGTAAAGTTGATTGTCCAATTGGATAAACGTGATCTAATAAATCTAAAATATAAATTAAAAGGAAAAAAATCAACATGATAACTGCATCAAATTAATAACAACTGTTTTCTTGATTTAAAATATTCATCACATGTAATTTAAGTACTGCTGTGGTGTGCTACTGATGTCGACAGATATGAGTAGTATGTGACACGGATCAAAAGTGGAATGCATGGTAGCAGAAGATTGAGAAAATCGAAAAGAAGAGAACGAAAACAGAGGGTGATCGGTATGGAAACGAAGTAACAGTAAAGTTTGAGACAATTGACGGATATTTTGCAAATGAAGTATTTACTGTATGGTTCTCAGATTTTACCAAGACACTCTGTAATGTATTGAAACACATTTGGTTCTCCCCGCCTGTGTTTACATTTATTACGATTTTATTTAGTATGTAGTCAACAAAATCTAAAAGAGTAGACAAATTTTGATTAATTAAGTTTTTCATATTGAGTAGAATTCGAATTAGGAGTCATTTTTCTTCTGAGAAGTAGAAAAGTGGGATGTAACTTATCAAGCACGGGTTTTCGGACTCAGGCTAGTGATAGTAACTAACTACCTAAATTGAAACACGTGTAGTGGATTCCAAAGTTGTGCAAAAAATTAATGAACTAATCAACTGGTAGGATAATATGGTCAAATTGAATCTTTTACTAGATTACCGATATGTGAAGTATATCGAACGTATAAACCACTGTTAGAAAGCGAACTATTTTACAGATGTTTTAAAATGAATATCATTGTAAGTGAAGAAAAGGGTATTTGCAAGGGTTTGTATTTTTCCGCCGTTTACACTGGGGATTGTAATTTATGGATTTCTCTTGGCATATTTATATCATCAAAAGAGTGCCTTGATCATCTTATTTGGTCACGAGTTTCAATCAAGTTGGATTTTGACTAGTGATGGGATTGAGATTCCGCGTTTCGCCCCGTTCGGTGCTCGTCAGATCAATATAGCTACACAAACCATATATTTTGCATTTCACTGATAGCCATAATAATAAAAACATGCTCCAAAAACCACTTACAAAATTACTGAATGAATAAAGAAATCAAATAATTGTCAGATACCGTATTTCTTAAGAAAGTTATCAGCAGATACATCGAAAAGAAGTGGGATGTCAGAATGTCTTTACAAGTGATTATTAGCTTTTCTGTCTGTTTAAAATCTGATTGATAATCACCCTTAGTTTTATTGACGTTACTCGGATTACTGTGGAAAATACTAATAACTAACCTCTCTCTGAAGAATATACTTAGAGTGCTGTTTATAAAGATAATAAGAGCTTCACACTTACACCATCTAGCCAATTTCAAAATCTTCTTTCAGTGAATACGTTAAGGTGATGAAAAGATAACTTGGTCACCACAATGCTTGGGTTATTTTGCAGAACGTCATAAAGAGTGTGAAGTCCTGAGTTTTTCACTTGTCATGCTAACCAAAATTAACTTAAATTTATATACTACTCATAATTAGCATGAATATTATTACTAATTAATGATCTACAAATGATTAAAACTATGGGCTGGTATAACCCATATGAAAGTGAGTAAAAGTTTGACCGTTCAAGAAAATTACCAGTGTTTACAGAATTAGTTTCTCATAACGCTATGAAATTAAAAAAAGGAAATATTTGAATGGAAAATCATTTGAGTAAGCTCATCATCATACCCTACAGTTATTAAGTCAAAATTATTGAATTACAATGACCAAAATAAGACATACGTAATTGGGTGAATTAATTTTTTTCTTTTTGTTATTAATAGCTTTATTCAACATTATATTGTTGGTACAATATAGAATTCTCAGCACGAAGTATTTCAACTAGTTTCCTTTTCTTATTTCTTGGTCTATCCTGACGATAAATACTGAAACTATCAGTATGGCGGCTGTGGAGATTGTTAAGTTTTTGGTTGAGGCCATGAACTAATTGATGTTAGACCACCGCTGGAAACCTGGGAGCACTGGACGGCCGTTTCACCCTAGCACGGGACTCCCCGGCAGTGCGCATCCACGGTCCCGCACCCCACGGGATTCTAACCCAGGACCTACTGGCTTCACGCCTGTGCACTTAACCATTAGACCACTGAGCCGGGATCCAATGGTGTTAGTGTCTAACATCAACCAATCCACGAAATTGCGCGACCACCTTCCATTGTACTGAGGTAGATATTGAAATCTTTTAGTGATACTAAGCAATTGTAAATCATTTAACTAAGATTCTTGATTTGTAATTACACCACAATTACGATCATGTTTAGACTTAGCAGAAATTAAAGCCAGTCCACCTTGCCAATTAGTGATCGTCTATTAGAAATTAGCAGTTCAGTAATGGACACCTGAATAATGTTCATTCTTTTCAATGCACATTATCAGTCACCACGATGTCTCTGATTGTACCTTTTTGTAACTTCTACAGCGAAAGGTCGTAAACTTTTCATAAACGCTCCTGCATAGGTTATTCAGTGAATAGACACAATGGTGTGTTGAAACAAACAAAAACAGATAACTTGTTGAAATATCTAGATGGCAAGAACAGATAACCCAGATATTCAAGCAGGACGCCAGTTGATTTTTTTTATTGTTGCTAAAATAGTGAACTTTCGTATCGGTTATGGTTTAAATACTTCCAACATGCCATTTTTAAATGTGACGAGTAAGGGTCATAACCGACGTAAAGGTTCACTAATATCAGCCTACAACATTGTCTAATTCATTTATTTATAAGTGCCTTGTTTTGACCATTGTAATAGAAAACTTGTGAATTTATGACTGTAGATCTTGATGGTGAAGTTATTAGAAAAAATTGTTCATTTAAATATTTTATTAAATTAATTTATTTGAAGTGACTATAAGATCTAGGATGTCTATTTTCAGTGAGTTCCAAGTTGATTATTTGTGAATAAGACAAAGTAATACAATCTTAATAAAATTACAGATGACTGAAATCGAAAAGTCATCTTTCCAAAACAATCTTGCAGTTTGATATTGATGACAGTTTCAGGTAGCCTATCAATTAAGTAATTTTTATAATATCTCCACGGAATAGAAAGCTATTTTTATGCGTAGAAACTAATGTATAATACTATTTTCCTCAGTAACATAATCATAATGTTTATTTCAAGAGTTAATAGTGGTTGATATGGAGATTTAGACCCAATATATATTTGATAGATTTCAATGCTTGTTACATTGGTGACAGTTTCACTCCTTTTGGAATGCTAAGATCAGCAGATACATAACAACGACTAAATCACAATAGTAATATTATTATTCCCCATTTCAAAAGTTAGAAATGTGAATCTTTCAATTTGAAGGTAAAGCTTTCCTGGAAAGGCTTATTCAGATTAGTAAATATTGTCCGATAAAAGTTATCAATCACATCTGTATTAATCTGATGTCGATACAATAATAATCAGAATTATTTACCCAGTTTTAGAAAATACAATGAACAACTTCATATTACAATAAGACGTGGTAATCTACTGTTGTTAAATAGATTATGGAATGATTGAATTTCATACACAGGCTAATTATCACAGTTCTTCATTGTTTTCAACAACTTAATGATAGTCTATATGAGTTAGTTTTGACCTACAAAGAAACAGAATTTACGTTTCAGATATATTTTACTTCATGGACTGTCCTTAGATGAACAATTATTGATTGTATGAATGCACCAAACAGCTGTTTTGTCGTACTTTAGGACTAATCGGTGAGGTAGATTCACGATTAACCAGAAGTCGAATCCAGAAATAACAAAATTCAAGGGCAGTAAATTTCCTTTAGATAACCAAGTTCAACCTTATCTAATTTATCCCGAAACTAAAATCAATAAATAATTACTTACGTTTTATAAGTTTTCCCATTCTAAACTGATTCCAATGTAGTCGTGTAGACCATTGGAGCAGGATTGTAGAACGTGACCCAACTAATGAGGAAATGATAGCTGTAGACAGTGGTTGTTCTAGTTCATATTCCGTTATCCTAGTAAAGTAAACATCGATCAACAGTGAAAAAATTTCGTAAACACTAAATAGCCTTATATTTCAAAATAATTGGTTATTTGGTGATGATATCTATGATTTATAATCGGATCCTCGTAAAGTATTTTGTTTTCAGTTGTTCTATGGGTAGGCATGTATTTCAGTTTTAGAATATATACTTAAGCATATAAAATACTTAAGATTCTCTAAATTTCATCCAGTAAAATCAAGATTCAGTGTTTATTATTACACGAATTCAAGTTTTATTTATTTTTATGTTCCGTAACAGAAAATAAAACTTTAGTATTGAACAGCTGCATCATATTAACAAACCATTATGTGGTTAAGTTTCATGTTTCTTCACACAAATTCATTAGAACTCACGTTGGTTCCGTAACCAAAGCCCACATAGTCCAGTCAGTGATTCATTAAGAGGCATACTTCGTTCAATTTTAAATAACATAGGAAAAAGTGTTATCAAATAGTTTTACTGTTATATCCGGACGAGGATAAATGAGTGATAATCGTTGAGAGTTATTTGTGGACTGATATCACACGAATATTCTTATCGTATGACTATTAAGTAACTATATTAAATGTATATTTATATTCCTTTCATTATAAGCTTTTATTTGACCTATTGACTATTATCACACGATTTACTATTCTTGAGATATTCCCAATTTATTAGTAACAGTTTCTCACAATCACAGACACTTTTTGGATCGATCTCGTGTAAATGTTATATTCTATTTTATGGTGTGATGTGGTCTGATTTGTTTGCATATAAACTCAGTATGTTTGAAATATACGATTCGTATCGCGGAGGCTGAAATTGGCGTTCTTGACTTAACAGACAGGACTAGGCGGAGAAAGGACCAATCAGAAATTTAGGCTGCTCGTACGGTTGTATGCGCCATTAGTTTGGTCGTACAGGTTAGCATATCTAAATTGTCAATCCTAGTTCGCGATAATCGTATAGCATAATAATACAAAATTTACTAAGATATTTATTTATCAAGTTCAACAACTAAATTGTATCTTTCAATCTATGGACTATAATGACTTTTGACAATTGAATGGTAAAGATGGATGGTGGCTAGCAGTAGAATCCAGGATACGCGTTTAGTCGTATTTGAGACTCATCAGCTGGATGGATGCTAGCTGCCACCCATCGTTGCATATAATGCATGTAATTTAAAACAATATCGAAACAATGCACACAGGTTGCACATATGCCAATAAGTGACTGATCAACTGCAGTCCTAAACATCAATGGGAAATTCAAACAAACAATACAAAATTGAATAGTAGCATTGATATCTACCAAATGTTTCGAAGAGAAACATTTAAAGTATTCTCAATTTAAAACAGGTCTATCATAGGTAGAATGTCATTTCATATGTCAAGTTCATTTGCTTGTGACTCAATACTGAGAAAGACTTCTGTATTTTAAGCTTAAGATAACTAACAATCAATATAGATGCTGGCTGATATATCTAACGTAGTTCTTAGTTTACAAAAAAATTTGGTATTAAGCCAAATATTATTAGTGTAAATGAGCAAATAATATCTCTTGATAAGTATTTTTATTTTCTAATTACTGATTCTAACTATTTTAGTTACTGAATATAAAAAGAGTTAAATAGTTTTAAACTTTGGTATCTTTTGTTCTCAAAAATAAATAATTATGATTTGATTTCACGTAGTTATGACCTGAACATCAAGTCATTATTTATGTAGTCTTGAACCTAATTTCAATGTTTATTACCATTTGTTATTGAAAATTCATGTACTAAACTAATCAACATAGAATCAAGTTAAGTGTACCAGCAAACCAAACTGGATTACAGATCGATTGAATGTACGGATAAAGAACAGTGAAATATGAAGATGTTCTAATAAGCCGCAGTAGAGTAAAGAGCGTCGGTTAGCGATTAACGGATTTGCATTTACATATGTGGAGTTTATGTGGGATAAAAATAATCCAGCTGTAAAATGATAACTGCGTCGATGAGTGATGCAATCGATAATAATCATAAAATGCGAAGTCATTGCATGTTGCCGTTTGCGTCATAACCAGAGACACCGAGTTATCGTTAAATATGTATTAGTAGAATGACCAAAGAGACAGAAGAGTGACTGCGGGGCGTATTCTTTTTTAGTCGTGAAGCCTAGCGTGATTTATGTCGTTTGAAGGATATGCGCTCGACCTCTTTTGCTAAGAAACCGTACTAAGGTATGATAAAAATATCAATACAAATGATTATCGATGACAACGAGTGAGACTGACATGGATGTGACAAACAAGAGTGCATCCTTCAGAGACCTGCTCAAATCTCTATGTTCTAACATGTGGTGTGACGGGAATAGAATAGTAATTGCAGTAACCAAGTGATGTTTGTATGCAATGAATGATGCTGTATGCAGTCGCATATGTGGATGAGTATATAAAATGAACTTGATCGTTACTAATCGGCTAGTAATACGGCGTCGAATATCTGATGTGTATATAGACATTAAAGTAAGGATCATCGATTTTAAAAAATGACTGAATTTCGGTTTAGATTGTCGTTGAAAAAGTAGAAAAACGACGATTGCTGCGTACCAATGAGACGAATGAACATTAGTTGTATTTCGAAGACATAAGTTCCTATTACCAGAAGTATGACTTCAAACTCATGTTTATGATAGAGTTGCTGACCTTTTCCAGAGTTGAGGTAGTTGCGACCATGCCGTTATCAGCGTGCAGGAGGTTCGGTTGGTTGCTTAGGCTGATGATTCGTGTGTATGCACGTGTTTCTAGACCGCTAACTTACTTAGCAGGTTGCAGGTTGTTCAGTGTATGAGCAGCTAGTAAATATTCCGGAAATATATGACATATGATATCCATATATCCACAAAAATGAACGATAATAATTAAGCAATGAGTGTTATAAGTGATCCAGAACAAACTAAAAACTGATCGGTCTTAGCAAAAGGCTTAGTAGGATTAAAGGCAACCATAGACATAATAGAAGACGACATCGAGATGAAAAATGTGTGGTATGATAACATAAAAATGACCTCGACTATGTGAATGCGTGTATAAATAGGGCAAAAATAACATGGAAAAAGTTGAATGGACTCACTTAAGGCAAGAAAATTTTGTTATTGAATAATAAAAAAAAAGTCCAGTGTGTTTCAAATGTCATAACGTCAATGGAATGTTCATAAAATTATAGTTTGTTTGGTGAGTGGTATGACTGCGTAAATGTCAAAATTTAATGTCAGCACGAACAAAAATAATAATTCCACATTAGGTAATGACATAAAATTAGTGTGACAATATAAATATGATAATTATTGAAATCATAATGGAAAAATCCGCCAAATAGATCAGTGAGCAGAGTTGACACGAAGACAAAGTACGGATAAGATAATACGATTTGAGCATGTCCATGTCGCTGCTGTACTGGCTTTGATGAATGTATGGGATCAGAGATTGTGTCGTTTAAGTCGCTCGTCAATTAAATCAGCCACTTCGTTCGTTTATCGGACGCATATAATTCGAGATGTTCACCGTCTGCGCTGATTTTCAGGGTGTGTTTAGTTCGAAATCGAGCTTACCACTTTAGTGGTGCCATGATCTCTCTTCGATTTGGTCGTATGGTCGTAAACTGCATTGTTTATCGATTGAGCTGACTTCACTCAGTTTGTTCGTCGAAAGCATGAAGTGCAGAAGGTTTATCATCGACGTAGTTTGCTGCGTTAGGTTCGTTGTCGACGCGCTCACTATTTAGTGGCCCGAGATCTGACTCCACTAGGGTCGTATGACTGATTGTTATTGAAATATTGCTGTCGAAATATACATCCTAGCTATCCTCTTATTTTATCATCGACTCAAGTCACGTTGGTGAATAATGGAATTCAATAAGTCAAATACGAGAATGGATTTTTGGATACATATAATTTGTTCGCTTGTTGATCGGGAAGAGAAGCTAAACGTAACGACGTGCAATGGAGGAGAGTGATCCAACTCAGTTTAATCAAGAGTAAATCGATATTTATAGTCAAACAAAAATAAGTTACAGGCATGTGATGAGTAAGATAAGAGATGAACACACATACGCTTACATAAAAAAGTCAAGGTTGATATGCGAATAATTAACACGGCCAAAATATGACTCATGAAGAATGAATAGATTGACCTGTCCGGAAGCTAGAATAATCTGTGTGGGCTGGCATAGCAACCGACATTACAAATCCTCTAAATAACAAGTGTAACTATGTATTGAACTGTTTTTTCTTCCAATAGTTTGAAAATAATAAGAATTATTTGGAAAATAAATCATTTTTATTTATTTTAATAGTTGAAATCATTAGTCACTTGAAGCTAGACTTTCATGGAAAACCTGGAAGCATTGGACAGCCGTTTCGTCCTAGTATGGGACTCCTCAGCAGTGTGCATCCACGATCCCGTCGTCGCAAGACTCAAACCTAGAACCTACCAGTCTCGAGCGCGAGCGCTTAACCATGAAATCACTGAGTCGACATCCTACGGTGTTAATGTCTAGTGAGAAGCCGTGACCAGTGGAGTCCAACCAGGTCTGTTGTGAGATATCAGCTCACTGAAGACAATGGTGTACGACGGCGCAATTTCATGGATTGGTTAAGTTTAAACATTAACACCGTTGGATGTCGGCTCAGTGATTTCATGGTTAAGCGCTCGCGCTCGAGACTGGTAGGTTCTAGGTTTGAGTCTTGCGACGACGGGATCGTGGATGCACACTGCTGGGGAGTCCCATACTAGGACGAAACGGCCGTCCAATGCTTCCAGGTTTTCCATGGTAGTCTAACTTCAAGTGACTCATGATTTCAACTATTGAAATTACTAAGATCTCAACAAAACCCATTCTGACGTTTTTATTTAACAAAATTAGTGGTTGATAACAATATTCAGAGTAAAAAAAACAACTTACGTTTTGTGAGCATTAAGTTTAATCTGTCTAAGGCGGCTAGTTCTTGTGTAAATTTTATCCAGAAGACATATTAAATGACAATCTATGAAATCAGAGATAAATAAACAGAATAAAACGAAGGGCATATAAAATATTGTAGTAATTTAATCTTGTTTTTGAAGGGTTAATATCACGAATTGGGATCCTGATAAAAAAGTTTCTTGAACAATACTTTTCCTTTTTTACAATAAAAAGGATTATGACTGTTTGCTTAAGTATATTACAAATCAAGTTATTTGTATTGAAAGATCATATTCAGTATTGAACATAAAATAAAATATAGATTCAGTTGACGTTGCATTAAGTAGTATATTGCTGTTTCGACTAAGCAAATAATTCTGAATATTCTTTGAATATTAATTCAAGTCTTTGTTTCAATTTCACAAAGAAAAATGAATCTATATGAGCATAATAATAAGAAACAAGGGTTTATTGATTTCATACAATATCTGTAATATCAGAATTGGGGTTTGTGGAGATTGTAGTATTGTAACAGTTGAATTCATGAATCAATCTTATTTTGACCACCACCATGAGACTCCTCAGCAGTGAGCATACACCATCCCACACCAAACGGAGTCGAAACCAGGATTTTCGGTCTCGCGGACGAATGCTTAACTTCTAGAAAACTGAGCCGGCATCCAACGATGTTTATGTCTAACGTCGACCAATCCACAATATTACGCTAACATCTTCCATTATCTTGGGTGGGTAACTGTCACACTAGATATTATTACAGCTGGATGCTGGCTCAGTGATCTAGAGGTTAAGCATTTACGCACGAGACTGAAGATCCTGGTTTCGAGTCCCTTTGATATGTGATCGTGGATGCGCATTGCTGGAGAGTCTCATACTAGGACGAAACGGCCGTTCAGTGCTTTCATGTTTTCTATGGTGGTCAAACTTAGATCGGCTCATAAATTCAACTGTTCAATAATAGTCTGATAAACATTCAAATTTATAACTTGCGTTGATCTATACAAGGACTCTAGAATAAGAATCATATGCTACCCATCCTGTAACTGATGATATAAAGCATATTTGATTAGGGTCTTTGACAATTTTCAACCAGTTGTTATGATAAAATTCACTTAAGTGGAGTTATTTAATCTGTTTGAATCTGAAAGTGATGATGTTGATGATGATGATGATGCAGAAGAAATAAAGGAATAAGAAAGAAAGAAAATCACACAAAAATGAATAACAAAGAAAAACAATGGCGCCTAGAAAAAGCAATATATTCAATTCTACATTGTCATTTATTCCAATTAGTCCATATAACTTTTCTTTAACCAGATAAAAAAATATTTATTTTAAACTTAATACACCAAGATTTCAAATCCAGACAAGAAAAAACAGAGGTAACATTAAATCTCCCAATAATATAAACTAAAAGACTGTTTTTCTGTTGTCTTATTTTACAGATAAACACAACGAAGAACTGGATGTGATGTCGTGAGTGGGAGATGAATTAATGCAGGTTAAATCAGCGATTTTAAGAACATGGAGTGTCCAATATAATAACATTAATAACAATGATAATTTATGCAGTTTCTTATAAATTTAACTCTAAATAAATAGAAATATGAAAACGAAACAAATTAGAATAGGGCCACAACTCATTAATCTACTAGACAATGTTCAAACGTCATTAAATCAAACAAACTTTGAATTTCTAAGGTATATATATGCTAGTTCACACGCTCAATATATGATTATTAATTATGATTTATATATATATAGCTTGTAAGTGATATAAAAATGCATAAAGCGGACATGTACAACAAATTTGTTTACATTACAGCTTGAATAAAAATATTTGAAATTATCAGCAACATTTCCAACTTTCATTAGATGTATTCTGTCCTGCAATTATAGTTCATGAGAGCAGCATATTAGATTGCAAGTTTCAGTAAAGATTTTATTTCAAGCCTTAACGTTCACGATATTTGTGTTCTTCCTTCTGTATGTCAAGCTGCGTTAAATTGATATGTTCATGGCAGACAGTTGCGAGTAAGTGGAATCTTTAGATCAATTTACTCTCCGATGTACATCATTCCCCCACTAAATAGACAAAAACTTTCTGAAATTGCTGTATAGAACATACTTAATGAACGTGAAAAGCTTTGTGCAATCAACATAATTAATACTTATTAAGATGGGTTAAACAATCACTTATATTGGAAGAATACTTGATATTCAATAAGCCTGCTTCTAAGAAGTTTCATGTATGAATCAGCTAAGACGTTTTATAAAATGAACTTCAAGATATTCAAACTTTAAATTAATTGTGTCAATCTTTAAACTATTGATTTCGATCGTGGTAGATATTATATCCCGTTTCAGACATGGTGGAGAATAATCGTCGCTCATAATGAGGATTTCAAAGGTTTATAATTGTTGAACTACTTCTGATAACACAATACAGCCAATACATTTCGTCTCTATCAATTCATAAAACATTGTGATAACAATTTTTCGTAAAACACCAAACTATTAGTTTCAGATATAATGGAGAGATTTTTCTGGTAAACCATCATTAACAGTAGTATTTAGTAAGTGTACTAATATTGATTGCAATCACAAGCTTAATGTTTATCTACCAACACATGTGGTCTTATGTAATACTGAAAGTCTCATAAAATAGTAGTATTTGCTCAATTCTTAGTATTTTTAGGCTTACATTATCCTATAATAAATATCAGATCATAAACCATAGCCTTTAATTTTCCAAGTTAAAGGGTGAATTGTTAGTTTTATTTAAAATTTGCGATGGTCAACAAAGAGCTACTGGATACAATTATTGCTTTTTCAAATAACTTATAATCTATGTTAGTAATTTATTACACTAAGCTATTAGTCGAAATCTTAGTATGTTGTCCCCTATTACTTGATGGACTACTATCTACATTTTTCTACTAGCCTTAAACCTAAGAATAGCATACCAATAAGTGTACAAGCAAACGAAGACCAGGCTTTTAAACAGACAGTCAAGAAAAAGTTATATGATATATGGTGTTCATAACTAAGCAACTCCTGACTTTATTGATTAGGTTCTAAACCAAGATAACTAGCAAAAGTGATATTTGAAGATGCAAAATAAAGACAAAATAAACAGTGGTTAAACAGATACCAAGTATTACAAGAATACAAAATTATGTTACAATCTAACTCCTGAATAAATATAACTTAATTGCATATAGCTTCTCTTGTTTTGTTGATTAGTCACAAACCAATACAAAATTTTTGGATAATATGATTCACGGGATTGAATTTTTCACACTTTGTCCAGGTTTAACAGTGAGTTTATTATGTCAAATAATTGAGAAGTACATAATTATATATTTATGCAGAAACTGAGATAGAATTTTCACTTCGGTTATGAAAATAATCTATTATAATCCTACTACTTGCAAATTATTAAGTAGCATAACCCATATGCAAAATTATTGAGCTGGAAAACTTGAAAACCCAACTTTTGTTGAATGATGTAAGACAAGACTATTCTACTGCTTTTTTTCTACAATTTCTGACTTTTTCCATTGTAGAGGAAATGGATTTTTATTGAAAAATTCAGACAGAATAAAATAAAAACCATAAATATATTTCTTTGGTACTTATAATAGTAATGATAAGGCGGATAGTTGGACGCTTTGAAGCATCTGCCTGTACTGAAAATATCTTAACATCTTCAGCTATCGTTATCACAATTATAAAGTTGAGTACGTAGAATTTAATACTGTGGAGTTTCTCATAAACTCGGATTCTACCCCTCAAATTGGTTCCAGTATGCTTTTTAATATATAACTGTGCTGTTTACAGGTTAGGATGTGCTATGTATATGAGACAAAACTTTTTTTCAGTTATTTCAGTAATTAGTATTAATTTATAACAACAAGCTTGTTTCACATCCTCACTTTGCGTAATACATTACTACATAGAATAATTATGTAAGGCTGTCATCTATTAACATATTTTAGAAACGAAACTATCTTTCGCCGAAATAATACAAATTTATGAAGTTGAAATACACTGAACACCCCAGGTAATGAAATAATTAAGTGATGTATTAATCCTGGATAGAAAAAATTACTTGAGATGACTGGTTAGTGAAATATAATCTCATATGTAGTCTGTAATTAGATTATTCGGAATAATAAAGATTAATTATTTTGAAGCACATGGGGTAATCTGATAAATTTAAATAAAGTCAATTTTGAAATGATGAAGACAGAGACTATCCTTGAGAATGTCTGCAATTGCATAAGCCTTGAACATAATAAAGAGTTCAACTCCCAATTTTCTTTTGTTATTTATAACTTTTTCATTTCAATTAACAAACAAAGTATATCCAATATTTTGCATCATAAAGTAAAAGATTAAAATACTTGTTGACCATCGAACGACAAGTCTTTATTTCTCTAAACAAATTAATTTGAAAAGTGAGAGCAAATGGAGGTTTACTCAAAGATAGAAAATATTTTGAAAAAGCGCATAGTATTTACTTGAAGCTGATCAGTTGTGCAAACATTATACTCGTAACAGCACTCCCTAGCTATTACATTAGATTTCGGAGACTGTCGTAGAACGACTGATGGTTAATAGGTTTTCGATTGATTCCATCATATTAACAAAACCCTTACACGGAAAAATTTCAATCTCCAAACAATTGAGTGTCAAAAGTCAGGACCACAATAAAACTGAATGTATTAATTCTCTTCATGTAGAAAAAGATTTACTCAAGTTATTGTGAATTTCAATCATTTATCATACGAAAATTGGTTTACAAAAAGTGTAATCAGACCGAATAACAGGCAATAGAGATAACATCTCATAATCATATAAAATTTATTTCAGTATTATAATAAATATCAGGCATCACGCAACAGCTGTTGATGAAAATCACTGACTGAAACCCTGACAGATATTAGACATCAACCAATAGTAGAGTACAATATGTTTAGTGTATAAATATGCAACATTCTAGAATATGGCACACAAAATTTCGTTAGTACAAGTTGGACCAGAGTACAGTTACTCAATGATAAATACTCCGATACAGCTCAAAACTTCAATGACTGTGATGTCTACAAACAAATAAAACAATAGCTTGGACGCAATAGGAAAAATTGGAAAGAATTGGGTTAAATGTTTCCTAATGTAACAATGAACATAAACAAGAAATAATTGTTTATTAGTTGTAAAGTTAGTCATCAAATGATTCCAATTCTTATCTAACACTGTTTAGTTTGGCTATGCACACATCAATCATTTAGTTACAAATAACTCAGCATTGGGATGAATTTGTGATAGTCTAAGTTATCAATTCTCACATCAAGAAAATAGAAGAAATTAACGGAATGCAAATCAGTATTAAGTGCAGTAGGAAAATAACGAAAAAAATATAGATAAAGTAAGAGTGGAAATTATGGAGTTCTTCTGAACTCAAAACTCAGAGTAATATAGGTAAATGAATAAAACGACAACAGAGTAACTGATTTCAAACTCTATCGTATACAGTCTCCAATCACAAAAGTCTTGTGGATTAAGTTCAAGGACATCTCAAAGTTGGGCGGTAACTTATCGATTGAAAGCCGAATATATCTTGTTGATTGAAGATTCTGATAAATATCTTAAATAGACTAAGATATTTCACTTTACAAAATTTTCTAGTTGAACTCATGGACTGATCTTAGCTAGACTGCTCCTAAAAACCATCAAGCACCAGACAGTTGGTTCTTCCCAATATGAGACTCTTCAGCCGTGTGCACCTCTTTTATCACCACAGAGGGTCGAATCTAGAATCCTTATTTTTACACGAGAGATCTTAACCTCTAGACCTATGATCCAGAATTCAATGGTATACACGTCTAACTTTAATTAATTCCTGATATTACGCGACCATCTTCTATTGTTTGAGGTGAGAAACTGTCTCATCCAGACATGGCTGAACTCCATTGATCATGGCTCCTCAGTAAGACTTTTGAAATTGCATCTGGAAGTTGGTCATTAGTAAGTTGTCTTAGTAAGTTATACTATTATTATAAAATAATGTCATCAAATATGTTGAAAGGCAAAAAATAACTTACTAGGAATTGATAAATTAATAAATGTAGATGGAGGCGAATAAGAAAGTAAATTTTCTGTAATATAACTGATTAATCCACTGGCTCCTTCATTTAAAAATACTAATAATTCTTCTTCTGATGGTACTTTACCAAGTTCACTATCACCTACTAATCCAATCCAACGTGAAGTGAATTGTTGACTACGTGTTATTGGTTCTTTCAGCAATAATTGGAAATGATTTTTAAATGAATAATTAATGACTACTGTGTCATTTTGTAAATTTGTATCACGAGAGAAATCATTTCGGTTATTATTATCGGCTTGTTCTGAAACATTACTGGAGTTAATAGAAGTAATAATATCAGTGTCCATAAATGGATCAATCAAGTAACGTACATATGTTGTGTCGATAAGTAAACATCCTGTATTTTGCTAGCAAATGAATGAATAAACAAAGTTGGATAAAAATTAGATTATGCTGAATGAAAAAAGATCTTTAGAAAAGTGTAGACACTCTAGGCCTATCAAAATTGAAAATGATATCATGTTAAAATCGTACTCTCTTTGTACTAGTTTTAGCAGTAGTGGTAGTAGTAGTAATGGATTAAACGACCTTTAAGTTTAGAATGGGGATGTGGTGTTTGAATGAACCAATGATACCTTTGTACTGGTTGAATACTTGATTTCGAATTCTAAATACAATACATTCGTTTATGCCTGTGTCTTCTTAGTTCAATTGCGTTAGTCCTGGAATTCCTAGTTCATACGATAATTAGAATACTATATTGGCGTCGCGATGGAGCCTGCAATGGAAAAGTTGGATATTCATTCAACTCCTGAAGCTATTGAGGATTATTTGGAAAGGTTCGAAATTTGGAGCATGACCAAGAAAGATGTTAAAGGTGAGAAAATTGTGGCACATTTTCTGACATTCATTGGGAGAGAAGTGTACAGCTTATTAAAAACTTTGGCATATCCAGAAAAACCTATCTCACTGCCTTATGCAACTCTTAAAGAGCTATTGTTAAGTCATGTAAAATGCACCAGTTTTGAATGCCGTGAAAGGGCGAAGTTTCATAAGATGGTTCGTCAAAATGACCAAAAGGTTCGGGAATTCATCCTTGAATTACAGAAACAAACTGCCAAGTGTAATTTCGGTGATCAACTTCATGTGCAATTGAGAGATCGATTAATTGCAGGAATTAACATACCGAGTTTGGAAAGAGAGCTGTTAAGAATGCCAAACTGTTCCTTTCAAGATGCTAGAACTGCATGTATTAACTACGAAGCAGTCAATGAACTTGATATCCAGTCGATGAATATTTCTAATACTTTGCTTAGTCGTCGTGATGAACTACAATCTCAGGGTCAATCAAACTTGCGTTCATTTAACAGTGATTCCTATTCTCGTGTAAATATGAAAGGTGTTTCAACGAGGAATTACAAAGCAAATCACAAAGGTGAGATGAAGTTTGGTAAATGTTTATCATGTGGAAAGTTTCATGCTCGCAATTCATATGTATTTCGTAATGCTAAATGTTTTAAATGTGGTAAGGTAGGACACATTCAGTCAGTATGCAAAGCTACTGTCCATTTTGCTTCGAGCTGTACTAAATCTTGTAATTTAAATTTCAATAATTCGGATGTTTCTAGTGATCATTTGTCTTTGTCCACTATTTCGAAAGGTAATGCTCATATTCAGAAGCGATTATATACATCGCTTGGTTCATTTCATGACTTTATTCTGGACACAGGCAGTATAGAGTCCATTATTTCATTCAAGAACTTGAAAGCTTTAGATCCTAACGTTGTTGTACGACCCACTGAAGTATCAATACTGGGGATTACTGGACACAGACTGCCCATACGAGGATGTTGTGAATTGCTAATCAGAGATGATAATTCTTCATACATACCTTGTGAATTTTTAGTTAGCGAAACAGGACTGTCAATATTGGGTTTAAAGAATTTGAAAAGGCTTAAGGTGGAGTTGTCCTTCTTAGTTTCTAAAGAAAATTCTGATACTTTACTTAAAGATTTGATAGCTATGTGTGCTAAATGCAGTGGAGGTATGAAAATTAAGCCTATAAAACTTCAAGTACAGGGTGATCCCGTCTTTCTTAAAAGACGAATAATTCCTTATGGTCTTCGAGAAGCAGTACATAAGACATTAAACGATTTGTGTGTGAAAGGCATAATTGAACCAATCCAGTCTTCAGCATGGGGTACTCCTATCGTTACGCCACTGAAGTCGGACGGCAAGACCCCTAGAATTTGCGGTGACTATAGATTAACTCTGAACTCCCGTTTGTTGAAGCAAACGTGCACGACGGTAGAAGCTGAAGATATTCTAAATCGACTTCATGGTTCTAAAGTGTTCTCGAAAGTTGACCTAAAAGATGCTTATCTTCAAATTCCTTTAGATGAATCTTCATCTATTTTGACGACAATTAACACTCCTTTTGGTCTGTTCAAATACAATTTCCTTCCATTTGGTCTAAGTTGTTCTCCAGCCATATTTCAAGAAGTTATGAATACAGTAGTTAGTGATCTTGAAGGTGTTGAAGTTTATCAAGATGATCTCATTGTTCATGGCTCTAATAAGGTGGTTCATGACCAGAGACTTATTGCTTTATTGCGACGTTTAATTGAGAAGAATATAACAGTGAATCCAAATAAGTGTTCATTTTGTGTATCTAGTTTTGAATGCCTTGGATACCTAGTTGATGGTAACGGTTTTAGACCAGATATGAAACGACTAGCTCCACTGACTAATGCACCGTCTCCGAAAAATCTTACAGAATTACGTTCACTAGTGGGTGCTCTTCAATACTATTCCCGTTTTATTCCTAATTTTTCTTGTCGTGCAAATTGTTTATTTAATATTTTAACATCCAATTCATTCAAATGGAGTGAGGAACAAGAGTCATGCTTACGAAGTCTGCTGAAGTTTCTTCAAAGTGATGCTGTTCTTCGAACGTACTCCCCTAATGTACATTCTGTGCTTATTACTGATCCATCACCTGTGGGAATTGGTGCAGTTTTGGAACAGGAAGGTAGACCAGTTATTTGTGTTTCACGCAAACTTACTGTTACTGAACAAGGTTATTCACAGACTCAGCGAGAAGCATTAGCTGTGTTTTGGGCTGTTAAAAGACTTCATAAATATTTATTCGGAAAGAAATTCACTATTGTTACTGATCATGAAGCTTTAAAGTTTATTTATCATCCCGGAAAATCCTTAGCACGTTCCTCAGCAGCTATGGTTCAGCGATGGAGTATTGCTTTGAGTGCATATGACTATACGGTTCAGCACAGAAGTGCCAAACAGATTCAACATGTTGATTACATTTCTCGACAGTCATTACAAGATAAACCTATTAATACTTCGGATTGTTTGTTAGTGCAACCTTTACCAGTGAGACGTTCAGATCTCATTAGAGAAACTCGTAGATATTTTGGATGTATACTCAGTGCTATAAGGAAAGGTTGGAATGCTAATTTGAAACGGAGATTTCCTATCTATTTTTCAAAGCGGGATGAGTTATCTACTACTCCTGATGGTATTCTGTGTTTAAACGATCGTGTTGTCATTCCTCCTTCATTGCGTAAATCTGTTCTTGAAGATCTTCATAGTGGTCATTTAGGTGTTGAGAAAATGAAGTCCTTGGCAAGGCTCACATGCTGGTGGCCAGAGATAAATGCAGATATATGTCGTACGGCAAACAGTTGTGAGAAATGTCATCAGTTGAAAAACCATCCTTCGAAGTGGGTGCCATGGCCAGTATCGTCTGAGGCCTGGCAGAGGATTCATGCTGACTATTGTGGACCATTTCTTGGTAAATACTACGCACTAGTAGTCATTGATTCTTTTTCAAAGTGGCCTGAAGTTTTTTTCACAATTTCACCGAATTCTGATTTCACAATACAAGCATTAAGAAAGGTGTTTAGTCGAGAAGGTGTTCCCTTGGTGTTGGTGACTGATAATGGCTCACATTTTGCTGCAGATGCAGTCACTACCTTGTTGAACGGTATAGGGTGCAAACATCTATTTACTGCTCCCAGACATCCGTGTTCTAATGGTCAGGCAGAGAATTTTGTTAGGACATTAAAGACTGCTATTGATTCTATAGCCCCCTCAACATTTAATGAGCTGGAGAGGGGAGTAGATACCTTTCTATTGCAATATAGAAATGCCAAACATTCGGTGACGAAGGAGACTCCAGCGAAGCTATTGAAAGGAAGAATTCTTCGGTCGAATATGAGATGTCTGGAGTCTGCAGAAGTTACATACTATCGGGGAAATGATCTTCGACCATCTACGGGTATTGTTCTGAAGAATGTCGGAAAATCGATGGTGCGAATTCTAGACATCGATGACTTAAGTACACACAGTCGACATGTAGATCAAATACAATTTCAGGAACCAGGTGAGTCAGTTCCAATTTCGATTGTTAATTTTAATGCTAATGAGCATATTCTAGATAATACAGAATCCTTATCCAATACAATGTCAGACAGACTCAGGATGAATTTGAGAAGAAGACGTACGATTGATTATAAACACCTAGACTCCAATTTAAGCTGTGGCGGATGTGGTGTTTGAATGAACCAATGATACCTTTGTACTGGTTGAATACTTGATTTCGAATTCTAAATACAATACATTCGTTTATGCCTGTGTCTTCTTAGTTCAATTGCGTTAGTCCTGGAATTCCTAGTTCATACGATAATTAGAATACTATAGGGGATCAAGTTAAATTTTGGTATGTAAGTTACTTCCAAACATCTAATATCGCTTACAGTTCAGGAACATGTTTTATGGAATTGGAGTGAAGAGTAGAACAAAGAAGAACTAATGATTGTTGGCTGTCCTCACAAAAACGTGCATGAAGTTACGAGAAAAGTTGACATCACTAGTTTCCGTTAAGAATATTCATTCAATAAAAAGATGGAATGGACCACTTTAAATTATATTAAACAAATGTAAGAAAAATTTATAGTTCGTAAAGAGTCAGGACAAACACAAGCTTTCGTAAATTTTGTTGAATCGATTTGAATATCGTCTCCCCAAAGCTTTTGTCATCCTTAAGGACTCTGGTAGCCAATCTTTTAAGTCCGATTGGGATAGCTGGTATGACATATTACAGCACGATAATATCATTTGTATACTGGAAATCTGGAAGTCTTTCATCTGTCAACAAATATGTACTATTGTCAAGTACTTTCTTCAGAGCCACTTACAGAATGTTATCAGTGCCAAAATACAGAAGGAATATTGAGATCGGTTAACTCTTTCTTAACCCGTAGCTAGTCTGAAATATCCGAAAGAACTAACTGAATGATTTAACTCAGTTCAAAGTATTTTCAAATTGAGCATCCAGGGTGTAACCACACTTCTTGAGGTCGTTGTGCTGTAAGATTCCCGTCCAACCTGCAGAAGGTAGCTTAACTACCAAGAAATACCATGACTATCAGTCTGCGTTACATGTGATGGTGTTCGAGAATTTATTAAATAGTGGAAAAATAACTGATTCATTTGTGACTTGAGAAAGCCTAAATTAGAACTTCGAGGGTTGTTTTTTCATTCACCATTGTATTTTGACCTATAAATCTTGATAGAAATTCATTCGGTATTGAAATGGCCGAGAATACCTTTAGCAGATGCTTTCCCAGTTCTTGAAAAAATAACTAGATTGAACTTATCTTTTTGTTTAAAGAAAACTCAACTTTGAAAGTTGATATTAGTTCCATGTGAGTCGTTTGTAAACTGATTGTCAAACTTTAAAAATTTACATTACCAATATGAATTGCTGAGTTTTATTTTTATTCCAATATGAATTCATGTCTAATATATTAAAAAAGCTGTTTGCTTCAACTACACCATGCTTCCTGTTATTCTGATGGAAAAAAGTATCAAATTTTTAGATATATGGACAGCGTTGAATGATCTAAAAATTAATATTTATAAAAATTCACTTGTGTCTCGATTAGTTTTAAACAAAACTTATGAAGTAGTAATAATTAGGAGAGAAGATTACGTACGACCTACCTGTTTGCAGGACTGTAATGGTGGTTGTTTTGATCCAACATCACGTAATAGAGGATGGAGACTAATTCCACGGGTAGTTTCTGGTTTCCTTGAAGTTTTATGTTGTACACTTTGTTCATGTGTGTTATCCGATAAGTCATCGGTTTTGTGTGTGTTCTGATGGCCTGAAATTATTTATACCTAAAATTTAGCTTATCATCAAACTGGAAAGTCAAATTTTTATATTAAACATACGTAAATTGAATAGCCGTATATACTTATAGAACGTATGTAATCATATATTTCAGCTAGTAGCATAATACTTCAGTCTTTAGGTAGTAGAACTGATAATTTAAAAGATTATAAAGATACAAGTCTTTCAGTGATTTTCAGCTTGAAGGCAGCTTCGACTACAGACTAATATTAGTGAAAGAATAATTAAAAAGCATAGCCATTCATTCAGTCATAAGCGATGCGGAACCTGGCACACATATGCATCTGTTCAAACTGCGACAGCATATCAACACAGCGAGAGGAAGTTATCAGTGCAAATACCAGAGAAATTAAGGTAGTAACAATATCAATGTAGTAGAAAAGACTAGACAGACAATACGATTCGAGAAGAAACAATGAATTCACGAAATAAAACAGCATGTTTTTAAAATTCAGGACCTAAGGTAAGGCAACTAGTGAACGCACCTGTGCCGTTGCCACCGATTCTGGTTCATACCACTAAACACATCTAATCATTGAAAGCCAGAGCGTACTGGAGATAAGTTTATTCTTAGTTTGGAACATAATAGCAGTATTCACATGACCTTATACGAGATGTAATTCGAGATTTTCGACCTTTAAAGATAGCATAATATTTATAGGCTTAACTGAATGTATAACTTGACGATCAATTAATTGCCTCGGTGATTAATTGTTTACACAAATATGATGGTTGTAATCTATCATAGTGATTATCCTACAACCAATTTCGATTATGGTTAATTTTGGTTAAGCTCTTTTATTAACTTACTTAACAGACAATGTTATTAGAATAGTAACAACTCGCATATCTCTTTGTACTGTTATGATCACTAGATCACATGACAGACTTTAGCTAAAATGTTAATTGCTTAAATATCATTCGATGATTCATTCTCCTCCCTATACATATGTACTCAAATCCTATTATTAGCCTTTGCTTTATCTTACTGAGCCCTTATGCGATTTGACTATAAATTTGCCTATGTATTTGCTCGTATATACATATTTGTCTCTGCTTCAAATTCTCTTGATGCGCTCATAGCATTACGATCTTCTCTATTCGCTAATAAAACTATAGTTGTCGCTTCTAATTGCCTTCTGATCTCAAATACTATTGAAATTTATATAATAACGGTTACAAGGGTGATTGATTAACGAAGCAAAGCCACTACACTGTCTATTCAAACTTAGAAACAAAGGTTAAGTTGAACTGTTTGAACGGTTTAATAATAAACGTGTTAATTAGCAATTAAAACTATTTACTTAAATAAAAACACTATAAATTGTAGTGTTCATCCTTTAACCTCATCCAAAAAAGAATCTTGAAATGTTTTGACTGTTACCTCATTGTTATACAATTGAGTCATAACATTGTCCATTAAGATACAATTTTATTATCAAATGAATAAAACAACAACAACAACAGAAACAAACCTGTTAAACGTGCATAAAGTAATTGTACACTGAATTCTCTTGTCAACCAGCTAAATGGTATCATTGTATTATTTCTTTTTTTTAAAAGTGGTGAATTATTTTGTTTCATAGAGTTTGGTGTTACTATTGTATTCGTTGAATTTTTTTGTATTATTGAACTATGCCTTCTAATTATTATATAATTATTACTACTTATATTATTAAATAATATATTCATAATGTAAAATTCTAATGGTAATTCATTTAACCAAAAATCGGAAATAATTAATAAACCATCTTTTGAAAGATCTGATTGATTATTTAAATATTGTTCTAATTGATAAGATAATTGATTTAGTTTATTGATTTGGCAAACGATTCCACTTGGATTATTATTATTATTATTATTATTATTATTATTATTATTATTATCATCATTATTTAATTTGTCGTCAAGTTTATTTTGATTATTATTTGAATCTGGTTCTGGTAACCAATATTTTAATAATATTTCAAATATTGGATTTAAATAATTGAATAATTGAATATCTTCAATTGAGTTTTGAAACAAATCACTTTTTATTTTTAAAATCTATATAAAAGATAATAAAAGTAATAAATCAATTAATGAAAAGTTAATGAAACTGTTCTGTTTTTTTTTAATGTCTTATAAATTAATTGATGAACAGGGTGGATCTGATGTAGATGTGGAGGCGCGGATCGGCAAAGCAAGAGCAGCATATTTACAACTGAAGAACATCTGGAACTCAAAGCAACAGTCAACCAACACCAAAGTCAGGATTTTCAATACAAATGTCAGGACAGTTCTACTGTATGGGGCAGAAACCTGGAGAACTACGAAAGCCATTATCCAGAAAATACAGGTGTTTATTAACAATTGTCTACGCGAAATACTTCAGATCCATTGGCCGGACACTATTAGCAACAGCCTACCGTGGGAGAGAACAAACCAGATCCCAGTGGAGGAAGAAATTAGGAAGAAGCGCTGGAAGTGGATAGGACACACATTGAGGAAAGCACCCAACTGCGTCACAAGACAAGCCCTCACATGGAATCCTCAAGGCCAAAGGAGAACAGGAAGACCAGAGAACATATTACGCCGGGAAATGGAAATAGACATGAGAAAAATGAACAAGAATTGGATGGAACTAGAAAAGAAGGCCCAGGACAGAGTGAGTTGGAGAATGCTGGTCGGCGGCCTATGCTCCATTGGGAGTAACAGGCATAAGTAAGTAACTTAAAAAAAGTTTTGCAAACGATTTTTTCAGATAAGACAATGATAAATTTGGAAATAATTTTATGTATAGACAAAGATCATTTATTGATTGAGATCATGAACCGATTGATGTTAGACCACCATTAAAAACTTCGGAGCACTGAACGGTCGTCTCGTCCTACTGTGGGACTCCCCAGCAGTGCGCATTGTTATATTCGAGCGAAGATAAAATCACGAGTATCTTCTGAGACATATTAATTGACTGATATAATCTATATATTCTTATGGTGTAACTATTCAATAATTATATTATGTGTATTTATATTCCTCTTATTATAAGCTTTATTTTGACCTATAATTTATTATTGTACGATTTACTGTTCTTAAGCTATGTTCAGTTTATTGACTACTGCCTCCCACGTTCACAGCCACGTTTGGCCAAATATTGTACAAATGTTATTTTCTATTTTATGATACGTTGTGGTCTGTCTGGTTGATTTATAAACCGAGTATGTTTGAAATAAATGATTCACAAACCTGACCTTTGCATTCAAAAGAGATTCGTACAACCACTTTCCCTGCCCTGGCCATCAGTTTAAGATTTCCTTCAAAAGAACTATTTTTCATACTTCTTCCATTTTTTTTAAAATTTCTGTTGCTTTTGAACTTAATAACTTCTCAACATTCATCTCTTGATTCTTTCGTAACTACCATCCTATTGACCATCCGTTAAAATTCTGTTCCTTCTTTGTTTCTTACATTACGCAACGTAGCAACTTCTTGATTACTTTGAATATTAATAATCCTCTTTCTTCCAATTAATCAATGTTAATTTAAATGTAATTATTACGTAACGTATCTACTCGATGAGTATTATATTATTATTGTAATATATATATATATATATATATATATATATATATATATATATCTATATATCTATATATATATATATATATATATATATATATATATATATATATATTAGTGTAGAGCCATGATGAAAAACTAATTGAAAAGAAATTTCTTCGCTCAATTCGTTCCTTCTTTATTTACCAAATGGCAAAATGGGAATTTTCACTATATAAAATCATAACACGAATCCACGATCATGCTTGTGGGATTAGGACCCAGGAAATTCAGTCTCGTGTGCAAACGCATAACCTACTGGACCACTGAGCCGGCATCCAATGGTGTTAATGCCTAAAATCAACCAATCCACGAAACTGCACGACTATCTTTCATTGTACTGAGGCAGATAACTATCTTTACCCGATACGGATTAGCTCCACTGATCACGGCTTCTCATTAGAACTCCGAGAATCCCCTCATGAAGCTAGTCACTAGTGAGCACATGGTACTTGTCAGTATAGAGTTGTGGAGATTATTAAGTTATCGACTGAGATTATGAAGGCCTTGGGTTCGAATCCTGCGAGCGAGATCGTGGATGCGCACTGTTGAAGATTCCAACAACAGGATGAGACGGTCGTCCAGTGCTTCCAGGTTTTCAATGGTGATCTAAAATCAATCGGTTCATGATTTCAATCAATAACTTAATAATCTCCATAACTCTATATAGATTGTTTAAATAAAAAAACCATAGGAATTAATGAAGCATTGGACAAACTTTTTTAAAGTTCGAAATCAAATATCTTCCTTATTATGATCTTTGTTCATTCATCGATAGAAAATATAGTTTTCCAATGCATTATTTAATAAAGATTAGGTAGAACTATAATGACTAGAGTTTTATATTTTGTTGTGTTGTTTGTTCAGTGTCACTGAAGAACATGTGTTGTCATTCTTCATGGTGACTGCTCTCCATTGTACAGATTCCTGACTATACTCGATTAACTCCCTAATTTCTATTCCATTTAACAGTGGTTCTGGAGTTTTTTCATTTTCTGCGACTTCGATTTCAGTTTTCTTTAATATTACGAATAAACCTGTATCACTCATGTACTATGGTCTTGATTATTTGGTTCGATTTTTGTGATAAATGTGCTTACATGATATTAAACATTATTATGATAGTCTTCATCAGTGATGGATATTTACAATATCAAGGATATTAATATGGTTTATTTATGTACCATTGTTAATGAACATGAAGCTCGGTAAATTTTCATTCGACATTGTATAATCAAAGAAAAATTTGGGGAATTTCATCTCAGAAGCACAAGGAATATTTTTGTTGTTGTTGAAAAACTGACATCATCTGTTTGATGTATTTATTGTGTTATACAATCTTATAAAAGGTCATTAGGATTATACTTCATTTAAGATAAATATGAAATGAATAACATTCTTACTTGATTTGTTATTTGTTTAAATAAATTACTGTTATTACTTTTAATATTTGCAGCTTTTTTTAATTGTTCATCCAAATGATTTAAACATTTTTTCCATGAGTAAATCAACTGATATTTTGAGATTGGATCAGTTTCTATTCTAAGGAAAGTGTACTGAAAAGTGCCTATTATAAAAGAAAATAAAATATAGTTTGAAATAGTGGAGAAGATTTGTAGCTCAGAGAACAAAACTCCACCAAAATAGTTTTAAATATTTGTTTATAAATGGGTATGAGAAAGGTATTGGGGTTGAGTTCCATATAAATATGTAATGTTTGGGCTAATTCATTTGTACATTTGTTATAACTTGTGTGCCCTGTTTATTGGATAACGCAACGATACCGCCAATCAGAGAGCAGTGACATTATCGATCAAACCAGTGACGCATAAAAGACGTGCAAGCAGCCTAGAGTCCTGATTGGTCTCGCTTCCTGTCTAGCCCAGCCAGTTAAGTCCAGAACTCCAATCTCAGCCTCTGCAATATGAATCATTTATTTCAAACATACTGTGTTTATATATCAACCAGACAGACCACAACGTACCATAAAATATGGAACAACATTTGTATAATATTTAGCCAAAAGTGGCTGTGAATGAGGGAGATAGTAATTAATAGATAGGCCATAACTCAAGAATGGTAAATCTTATAGTAATAGTCTGTGGGTCAAATTAAAGCTTGTAATAAGAGCGACATGAATATGAACAGTTTAGTTACGTAACAATTATACGATAAAATGTACTCATAGTATTGGTCCATAATGGATCCCAAAAGTTACCATTCATTATTCTTATCAGGATATAACAACATTATTCTGCATCTGTGACGAAATCCAAACACAGTATACGTTCACTTGTGCTCATTAAGCCCTGAATTAAATTGGACACTTCTAACAGTTCTAATTAGTCTATAAATTTGAATATTTCCAAATATCATAGAATAGCAACATAAAAACAGAGGTATATCCAGCTGACGAGTTAGAAGTAGAGCGTAACGCGAGTCCTAGATTCCACTGTTAACCATTATACAACTCTACTCAAAATCATTCTGTAAGTTTTAAAATATTCACGACAGTTATTAAGGAATAATCTTTGATATTAATAAAGAAACCAGGCATGTGACCCAAAGGTAATAATCTTTTCTCGTTTGTTACCATTTTGATCTTACAACATTAACAAACTGACTTCATATGAAAAATCATTGATTGAGTTCTATTCAACCAAACCTAACTCATCTATGCCATCAGTATATTAAGACATAGTTTTGTTTATTTTTTACGTCAATATCAACTAACTTTTCTCTTTATTTCATACATTCCGGTATATAATCTTCGGATTGTAAGTTGTTTTTAAAACAATCAAGAGAAAAACAGTGGTATCCAGGTTGGAATTTACATGCTGCTTTTCACTATTACAAAAGGATGTCTTTTGTCTTACTTAATATTATACGATTATTCCAATTGAAATGTTCCCGAAACATTCGAATATATGAATGTTTTACATTTGGACTTATTGATCACAGTAGGAAAATAGAGAAACAGTAGAATGTGTCTAAAAATTTCAACTGAACTAAAATACTGATCTTGCAGTTTCTGATGACTGAGTTCTATTGTTCAGGTTTTCAGCTGGAAACTTCGATACTCTTGAGTGACTCCAGGTAGATCGTTTCTGATTGTTATCGAAATATACATGTCGCTAAGCCTCGTACACAATTATCGACTTAGATTGCGTTAGCGAATAACAAAATTAAATGAGTCAAATACGAGAATGAAGTTTTGAATACGTATACTTTGTACAATCGTTGATCACACACAGACAATCAGAGCGACGAAGCGAAGAGAAGAGAACGAAGTGAAACGGATTAGAGAAGGTATGTTAGCCAACTCAATTTAGCTAAAGGTAAATCGATATTTATGGTCGAAAAAAAATAAGTTACAGGCATGTGATGAATAGGATAAGAAATTCACACACATACGATCATATAAGAAGTCATGGTTGATGAGCAACTAAGTGAGAGGGTAAAATGTAGCTTGAGAATAATGAGTAGACTGATCTGTCCAGAGGCTAGAATAACCTATGTGGGCTTGACATAGTACCAGCCCTTAAAACTCTATTAGTTATTTTTAAATTCAATTTTTCATTGGATTGTAGATTAAATGAGATTCGAATCAAGTGATTAAGATTACCTATTATTTCGCTGTAAATAGTTTAATGTCAGACGATTAGATACTTAATTAAGTAATATAGTATAAGTTTTCGACTGAGATCATGAACCGATTGGTGTTAGACCGTCGTTGGAAACCTGAAAGCACTGGACGGTCATCTCGTCCTATTGTGGGACTCCCCAGCAGTGCGCATCCACGATCACGCTCGTGCTATTCGAATCTAGGTACTTTAGTCTCGCGCGTGAACGCCTAACATACCACTGAGCCGGTACCCAATGGTGTGAATGTCTAACGTCAACCAATCCACAAAATTGCACGACCATCTTCCATTGTACTGAGGTAGATACCTGTCTCTACCTGACACGGATTAGCTCCACTGATCACGGCTTCTCGTTAGAACTCCGAGAATTCCCTCATGAAGCTAGTCGGTTCATGATCTCAATCAAAAACTTAATAATCTCGACAACCCCTATACTGATAATATAATATAAACTGATCATATATGATGATTATAATGAAATAAATCTAACCTTTATTTGCACTTTTGTTGGCTGGTATACTGCTCCGATGATCTCGATTCGACACGGCTCTGTTCATAGGTTTAGGTATAGCAACATATAAAAAGTGTGAGTTAATTGAATGTTCCATAATAAGAAGATTCCAGCTTTTAGTTATTTGTAAATTAGATCCAGGTAGTGAACTTAGAGTTGATTGAAGAACTTTACTAGAATCAAAAATTACAGAAGAATTCACTTCAGTTACTCTCCATGCCTAAACAAAGAAAATTGAATAAAAATTAACGAGTTATAGAATTTTTGAAGGCAACAAAGTGGGGATTACTGAATAATTGTTTCATGTTCATACGAGTCGATGATATTTAGATTTTATGGAAAATGAATAACTCATAACTATTATTATTATTAATATTATTATTTGAATTTCAGATGTATTCTTAGTTAGGATTTCTCTTCAATTTCTAGATTCATAACTCCTTAGGTAAAGGTTTCTCATTGAAGGATAGAAAACATTCCATTTTCAAACCTAATTACACACCTTTCAGTACACGACTTCAAGCTTTGTATTACTTATGGGCAAATGACCTGAAATGACACTCGTAGGTTGATGAACAGTAAATAATGAAAGGCTGTCTATCCCTTAATGAAAAGCAAATTCTATTAAATAATTCTCTCTGTGACTGCTAGTTTGAGTGACTTAACAACATGATGGATTGTTTCCTTTTAAGAAATGATAAAAGATTGTGAAGGAGTAATAAACCTTGATCCTATATCAGCTAACGATCGTCTTGAAGGGAGCGGTGTTTACTGTCATGTTCAGAAACATATCATTGAGTGCCATATCATACTGGTTAATATTAACTGATCATTTTGCATGTAAACATTTCACTTCTATTAGTCGATCACGGTCTGAATATCTCAAAAGTAACACCTCTGATTACAATACTCAGTGAACAGGATTTGAATCCAGTGGTGAACATCAGTTCTTCAAATAATACGGAAAAGGTTTATTGGTGAATGTAAACATTCATGAAACTTGTAAACAGGGCTACCTTTCAGTCAGTTCGAACCATCTAACATATATCTCACATATTTAATAAGTAAAATCAAACATTGATTTATTTTCCTTATATATGAGGTTATTGGTAAAATCTAACACGATGTCGTGAAGTTTTTATTATAACCTGTTATTAATCTTCAATCACAGAATCCAATCAATTTTTCCATTAGGTTCACTTCTTACTTGATTTTCTATGCTTATTGTAATGGTATTACATTTTAAAATTTATTTTATTATGTCACGAACATATTTTTATATCAAAAACTGTATTCTTTGTATAGTTTTGTTGGGATATTCAGAATATTGTACAAATGTTATTTTCTATTTTATGGTACGTTGTGGTTTGCCTGGTTGATATATAAACACAGTATGTTTGAAATAAATGATTAATATCGCAGAGGCTGAGATTAGAGTTCTGGACTTAACTGGTTGGGCTAGGCGGAAAGCAAGACCAATCAGAGCTCTAGGCTGCTTATACGGGTTTACGCGTCATTGTTCCGATAGATAAGTCACTGCTCTCTAATCGGCGGTCACAAGATAGAACAAGTTTCCTCTAAAATCCTACAATAAGGAAAATATCTTTGTATGTTCTGAATTTTTATTATTATCATCATCAACAAATTGTAACTCGTAACTACATTTTACCAATATTCATTTACATTGAATTAAGATTGTGCATCTTAGAAAGTAGATTTTAGTTAAAAACATTTACAAGGCATATAAACTTGATTTTAGTAAACAGTTCTGGGAACTTGTTATATAATGTTCACTTTGGGAAAAGTTGAATATAACATGGTAAAGCCTTAACGATTTATACCACATTTTTATTTACATGTAATCATATGATTTAAAAAAGACATATATTACTTAGTAAATTCAAATGGGATTTCGTAACATTCATAGGCCATTGTTAAAGAAATAATATTTCAAGTAATCAATATTCCGATGTTTAATCTAACCCATGAATAAAACTCAGTCAAACAGAAGTGTAAATTTAATGAACAAATTCTATAAAAATATAATTTTGGTAAAAGTTGAAAATAATCTGAAAACAACTGACTTGTGATTGTGACGTTAAAGTTCGTAAAATCACTGGTATCCATGGACTAGCTGATATACTATGATCATCTGATCCACTACATAAACCTCCGACAGAACGTAGGCGATTAGAAATTAGATTAGATTTAAGTCCTGTTATCCAAGCTAATGCTTCAGGATAAGATGAAGGCTCCATGGTTGAGCAAAATCCAAATGTAGTGAATAAACTGTCATCGTCATATGTACAAGATGGAGAAGACCACATTAACTGACGAACAAGTGCTTCTGAAGCATTTAATATAGATCTATCAGAATATTCATTTTCTACATTCAAATTGCACTGACTACCTACAGAACATTTATGTGCATCATATGCTAATATTGTTAGCCAGAAATGAGTTCGCAATCGAACAGCTGTTGAACAACTTTGGTATCCAATTAGTAAATCTTGTGTTAATGTAGAAACACTCTCATGACATCCACCAAGTAAATTCAGTAGAGATTCAGTAACTTGACGTGCTAGACCCTGAGGAAAAAGGGAATATATTTTTTGTTAAGTTCAGTGACAAAATTAAGAATTTAGTAATTAGATGACTTATTGTACAAATTAAAAGTAAGATTTGACAACTTTTACAAATATAACAGCAAATAAGTACGGTGTATAGCAGGTGTGATAGCAGTAAGTTGATTCCTTCAGACAACCAGCGTAACAGTGATGCTGCCTCCCCACAAGAAGGGGTGGAGTTAGAAAAGGTCGACCCTAAAAATGCACACCTCACCTTATCCCATGGATATCCGTCTCCGGCAGTAAGTTCTCAACAAGTACGGAGCTAACACAAAGATTACCCATAAAAAGGTTGTGTGTGACCAACCTCAAGCAGTTGCCCTTGGGCACTGTGGTCACGCTCTCAGGTCACTAAGACCACCTTTAACCCATTTTTGTTTTCAGGTACCTCCAGAACAACCCTTCTACGGTGTGGACAACCGGGAAGTGATAACCGCCCTCATACTTCTGACAGCACTCAAGATCACTAATAAACATAAGAAAACTATAATTTACTGACTCTTGAAAACTCAGTTTTGTGCATCTTGAGATTCACTAATTATTTGTGGTTTATCAACTGTTCAGTATTCTCTAGTCTTTGCTGTATAACTAGTACTTATTTATTTCTAGGATACATGGCCTTAATAATCATAACTACAATAAAATTGAATTATTTTGGAGGGGTTGTTAATTTAAAACGACTAACAATTTAGGCATTTAGTACTTATTAGTAAATTACAAGCTCAGTTACTTCATTTACTTCAGCTTGTTTAGCCGACTAGTAATATTAGTCCGTATACAACAGATTTGACTCATAGTTAAACTCTTCTCAGTACATATGAGTTGTTAAAATGTATCGGTACTACATTTTCTCAAATCGGGTAACTTCCAGAAAAATCATTTCTTTTATTTATTAATAACCGCATTTTCACATGAAGAAAATATTGGTACTGGATTAAGTGACTTTTTCTGACCTAAAAAGCGACCCCTCAAAGTAGAAATATAAGAATTCTCTTACAAATAAAATTTTGAATCAGTGGTTAAAATTGTCAACTTATTTCCTTCCTAGTGTACACATATTTTACAACAGTACTATAAAATAAAAATTACTAGGGCATTATCTTGTATGATTTATTTTCCATTAAGACGGGTAAAGTGACTGTAGGATGTGGTGGTCGGTATTCAATATAATCCTTAAACTTCGCATGTAGTTCGTCCTGATAACCGTCACTACATAATGCCCCAGTGGTGTATTAATCAGAAGGTGAACACGAAGCGTTGATTAAGTTTATTATTGCACCATGCACAGATAACTAAATTTACAAGTACGTCAAGCAAGCATGAAAGAGTAATGCCGAAAAGCTAGCAGACAAGGAAGTGACCGCACGAGTCGAATGAGCGAGTCAATGAGCAGGATTAAAATGTACATATACATACATAGGGAAATGAATGAATCATCGAATCAATTAAGCGACCAACAGTAAGGTTAGCAGAATCAATATATGCGTAGGCAGTAAGCAATGCTCAAGTTGCTATAAGGATTCAATTTGTCTTATGGATATTCTACTAGAACTGTAAACGCGATAATGGCGATCCCAGAGTCTATGAGAAAGCTATAGTCAGAACAAGGACAACTTGGCTTTAAATTTTAGCTGTTTCTAAACGTAAAAATAAATCTATTAGTGTAATAATTAAAGGAATTATGGTCAGTAAGTGGAACGCACAAACACACCAACCAATATTGAATGTCTTATCGAAATGTATAAAGATTGAGTCACACCAATATAATAGGATAATAATGTCCTTCAATTGGCAGGTCACATGCAAAAAGGGATAGTCTACAGACACATCAAACCGGATTGACGTGGTGGACGTTTAAACAACGGTTAAATTGGTTAGTTATGGACATAACTAACAGTAACCATGGTTAGTTTCAGTTTTAAAGTTTGTGAAATTAAATCCCTTTATTTGTCAAGATTTTCATGGTATAATGACGCTATACTTAATATAATGTAAAAGGTATCATAATCAGATCTATGAATCTATTTATATTATCTGATAATAATTTCGAATAAGATAAATGTGTAAGATAAATTGAAGGAAAAAGTTAAGAAATCTGTTTTAATGTACTTCAGGTTTATATTTAAAGCATGAATGGACGGTTCTAGTATTTCATTACTTTTATTTTTGAAAAAGGAAATTGAAAATAAGTCGGAAAGTATGAACGGAAAGTTCTGATATATTCATTTTAAATCAATAAAAATATTGACTAGTCGCATCAAATTTGTAAGAAATTGTAGTTTTCTATTGTTGGTGTTAAAGATTGTGATTGATCAAACAGAAGCACTGGGTGTGAGTCTCGATATGTTAATTAATGCCGAGATGAGAGTAAATTTAACCAATGAGTCCCAACTACAACGAAATACACTTGGATTCCACTGCTACTCATTACCAAACTCTCTTAAATACTTCACGTTATAACAAAAATCGTCAAATAATCATCTAGGCGGAGAAGAAGTTTCCGATATTTGGTGGCTCTGTAAAGCTGTTTTCACCGAAAAAACAGCAAAATTTAGGTATAAGTAATAAGTGAGGTTATTATGGAATTTTAGGCGGAAAAGCAAAATCTAGAAGTATATTGTCCAACATCATCACATGTAAGTGGATAGCTACGAAAGTAATTTAACAGAGCACTTTAAGGATTAGTACATAATAACAATATTGCATATTAGGAAAAATATACAAACAGATTTACTTAACAAACGATCAGTAATTAGGAATAATGAATTAAATTACTCCAGTGTGAAATGACTATAGAATCTTTCAAATCTATTCGACAAAGCTTACTGGTTGAAATCATTAGTTGTCTGTGTAAACACTTATAAATATATCAAGCTAACATTTTCATTAGTATATTTCAATTACATTGTCATTTATAAACATATTAGACTTACCATGAAATTTTGAGCAAGACAGATTTTCAAGCATATAATAAATAATGATGAAGCTTGTGAGAATAGATCCATTACTGAATTGTAAGTTTTCTAAGTAAATTAATTGACAAACATACATAAGATAATTTAAAGACATTGTTTCACATATCAGTTGAAAAGAAATAATATTTAGTAACGGTAAAAAAGAAACATTCTTTTAAGTAGTTTATATCACAGACCAACGTCAATTAACGAAATCACTGAAAAACGCACAACGTTTGGATGGTCGATATCAACCTATGGTATGAATTATCTTCAGAGTAGTGAAATTTCCATAAAAACATAGATGTAACTAGTAGTTATGTATTCATCAGAGATTACTTTCTAAATTATTTCTAATAAGAATCCGTGACCTATGGATTCAAGCAACTTGCGTCATTTATGGAGTAGGCGAAATATCCATCTATCAACTAAAGAACGGGTTTACTGCGCAGCAGTTTGTTCCGTCCTACCTTATGGATGTGAAACATGGCCGGTAAGAGTAGAGGATATTCGTGGGTTACTAGTATTCGATCACAGGTGTCTTCTAAGCATTGCTCGTATATCCTGGGACCACCGAGCAAGTAATGCAGTTGTTAGAAAACGGGTACTAGGTAAGGATGGCAAATCAATTTATGAAGTAGTGAATCCCCATCAATTGAGATGGCTGGGGCATATGTTAAGTATGCCCAACTACCGACTGGAAGAAAGATAGCGGCAGCCAGGCCAAAACATGGCACAAATCCATGAAGTCATTGACAAGTAGACTGAGCCATGTTGGTAGGTGTAGACTACTTGGTTGGGGACCGCAAGATGATAGCAACCGTTGGTTAGAGACCCTGAATGACATGGCTCAAAATCGTTTGCAATGGCGCAGGTGCACTCACCCTTTGTGTTCTCCCAAATTCTAATCTTCTGAATACTTTATGTCCCTTTTTTCTCTTTCCAAATTTATCTCACTGGATTATACTCCTTGAATAACATCTTCAAACCCTAATGTTTCCGATTACTGCTTATACTCTTACTACCTCTATCGCTACGGAATTTGAATGGACAACTGCATCTCTGTGCTAATGTGGTGCGGCAACTAGAACTGATGTACGTACGTACGAAGTTCTACGTTGTTACTATATTGGATGACAATCGTGCTATATAGTAAATAGATTGAAATCAGAAAATGTGGAATGATGTAAACTGACTTAAGTCTGAATGCTCTTATAGAGTAAACACAGGTATCCATTCCTTAAATGGTACTCTCCGACTGATTTCGAACTGTGATAAATATCAACTACAAATTAGAGTAATTTTCACAAAACATTTCAGCAACAATAAGCATTTCGTTTGAAATCTATGTTGTAAATAAGGAAAGACGGTAGTGATGCCATGTTGTAATAATCGAAATAATTTGATTCACCAAATTTTGGTCCCATGAATTTCGAGTATGACAGAGACAGCCTTTGCTTCCATTTTATTAAGTTTGTTTACAATATGCATCGAACCAACTGTCTAAAATATTTTTGTCCTATACACATGGTGTTTTGTTTGATAACTTCAATACAGTTCATCTTACCAAGTCATTGAGCACATCAGTATGAGTTCTCCAACGAAAACCTGAATGTAAGGTAATATCTTCCAAATTTTTTGTCATCTCTTGAATAAATGTACTATTTTGGATGATTGGTTGAAAGTTAACTACTTCATTATCATTGCTCTCCGGACTCCAGTTATCTTGAAGATCCGGTAATATTAGTTGACCTTTTAAGTAAATTGATTCACCGAAGTAAAAGTAACACTGCAAAGCAAGAAAAAAGTGATCTTCATGTGATTTAAGCATTATCTTACGAGTAAACAAATGAGTGATAAATTTTCATTTTGAAAAATGTTGGTGCTTGAATGTTAAGTGTTATTTCGAAACTTAAATAAAGTTCCAAGTGTTAAATAATCGTCATTTCATGTTTCAGTTTTTTTTGGAGCGGAAATCATAGTTTAATTTAACTAGTTTATACCTAGGTTCGCTGGATCAATGGTCTAGAAATCTTAAGTTAAAAAGAAATCAGAATATCGCATCCCATAACTTTAACAATATTTTTAAAAATTTCAGTGGTTGAGATCATAAGTCAATTTAAGCTAGACCACCACGGAAAACCTGAAAGCACTGGACGGCTGTTTCGTCCTAACAGTCTCGCGTGCGAGCGCATAACCTCTAGACCACTGAGCCGGCATTCAGTGGTGTTAATGTCTAACTTCAACCAATCCACGAAATTGAGCGATACATCCACTATTGTCTTCAGTGAGTTACTATCTCACAACAGACCTGGTTGGACTCCACTAGTCACTGCTTCTCACTCGAACTTCAGGAAATACCTCATGAAGCCAGTCACTAGTGAGCATATGTTGATCAATATCAGAAGGGTTTTTGTGTTTACTGTAGTGATTTCAATGGTTGATAATTTCATTTGAAAATTAACGTATATTTTTATTTACGGAATTTGTGGAGGTAGTTAAATTTGTAGTTTATATCATAAACTAACCCAGAAAGCACTAAATTCGTGTTTCGTTTCAGTATAAAACATACATACAGGACATACAAGACCCTAATAAGAGTCGATATTCAGGCCTTACAACGAATACTATACTTACAGACCATTCAGTTAGCATTCAGAGGCTTACATTACTTACTCCAACTACTTCACGATATCATGAAGCTATTGCATGTTGTTATTAATGATATTTATATCATCCCCAACATGATTGAATCCTACCAATTACAATTTCCCACTAGAACTCCGAAAATTATTTCTCGAACTCTAAAGCGCGTGAGCAAATATATTGTTAAACATATATGAAGTAACGTAAGTCTGAATTGTGTGAATATACTTGAACAATATAAAAAGAATAAGAATTTAATATTTCAATTTAATCCATTTTCACACCCAACTATTAATTTCACTAGTTCTTTTTTTTATAAAAGACAAAAACAATAATTGATTTGCTGAAATTACTGAAATAGTAAACTGATAACATTAAAGAAATTCAGACTCAGTTCATACAATCTCTTCGAGCTCCTAGATACATTTCGTTTATCATATTAGCTCTGTACATTGGAATAAATGTTGTTTTTTAAAAAAATCATGAGTACCAATGTTAGTGGATGAACTGAGGAATACAAACTATTCACATCATAGTAGAGTATAACCTACCAAATACCTTTAAACATTCAGTAAAAATTACCTAACTATCAAATGAATAAACTTAGTGATTATAATGAAATATCAGTAACTATAGAGTTAATCCTAATTACTGTTGTTATTAGTTACCAGGTAACCTAAGCGTATCAAAGAATCAGTGATAACAGAATAACTTTGATTTAAAAAAACAATATTATTTAAATGCGAGTTTTACTTATATATTGAATTTCAGAACTCATCGAGTGCTACTTTCATAATCATAGACACTTTATTTTCTTAAGAAGAAGAAACTATTTGCTACATAAAAATATCTTAAGATTTTAAATAATAACTGTTCTTCCCAGTTCTATCTTTAGGTTTTCATTATTCTTTTCACAAACTACCAATAGCAACTATTGTTAAAAAAAGAAATGAGTTTTTATTTTGATGAAGTTTCATTTTCTAAGCTGGATAGTTTATCAGAATAAACTTTACGTAGAACTGAGGTTTTAGAATCTCTTCACACATGACTAACGGCTTATTTTATCGTTTTTGATCTGAACTGATCATTACTGACTTTTAATTTCTTTCTATGTGGATATTTATTCTGATTAATTGTCTCTTTGATCTGATTCTTAATTTTATCAATCAACAATGAATGAACACATGTAAATTGATCCAATTTATCGATCAATCAGGAGAATCATGGACACCGGAAGCTTGTGCTGGTGATATTGTTCAGAAGAATAATGAAAGCTTCACAATCAAACCATCCAGCTCAATGGACAAAACTCCATAACAATCATCTACCTGAATTTTTGTTGTTTAGTAATAACGATGACTTTTCTTGTTTTGAAGCATTCACATAGATTAACTATTGAAATTTCGGGAAAGTCTCTCACAGAACTACTGATAGTAATTTCAGTCACATAATTGGATAGGATTACTATAATGAGATGAGATTATCACTTTTGATTGACGCTTTATTAAAACATTAAGAAAATAACTGGATTTTGGAATAAATAAGGAAAAACGTCATTGTCAAGCTAGTATTAATCTAAAAATGTTTAAAGCAGTTGGTCCCTTTTATAAATTTTGGTAGAGCATTGAGAAGAGGGAACTAATATGAAGGTTTGATGCATTTACGCTATACATTTCAAATAATCTGGTCACACATATACTTGTCAAGACATTCTATAAAATACTTGACCCTGAAACTAATCAAGGTCAGTTAAATCGGAGTTCGAGAAAACAAGGCGATAAGTGTAAGTAAAAGGAAGAGATAATTAACATAATACGGGAAAAATAGAAAATTGTCATACCGCCTCTCTAGGCTATAAAGTGCTTTAAAGATTACCAGAGCAAATTCAAGGTCACGATAAATTGCTTCTGTACACGCAAAGCGGGTTTGAATTTGCAAATCACCAGGGCTTCTACAAACATGAGGATTTTTCCTTGACAATTTCTGTACGTTCCAAAAGCTGTATTGATGTCAATTCGTTGGTACGAACTTCCTTCTTCAAGCTGACTATGTATACTTTAACCATTTGGTAATTGCACTGTAATGTTGTAATACTATCTAGCTATATGTGTACCCTATACGTTAAAACATTTGTTCCATTAACAACTATCATTATTCATGTTCAGTTTATTGACGACCAGATAGCTATCGTGTTCTCCATTTGATCAACTATCCACTAATCACAACCAAACACATCAATTGATTTAGACACCGTTTACTATAGTTATGCCTTTTAAACTCCATGGAGAATTTTTTTAAAAGCAGAAAAAAACTTTCCTGATTACTTTCAGAATTAAAACCAAGATGCCTAGTTACTAAAATAAAAAGCTTATTTTTTTCATTATGCTTACCTTTGCAAGTAGATGAGGTTGTTTATCACTCATATTAAATATATCCGATAATAAAGAGCATACTTCATCGAATGCATATACAATAGAACGATCCCATATTTGTTGTTTAGATTGACCACATTTATTCGACAATTCAATTAAACTATCTGAAGAATTTTCACTGATATAATTTTCGACAGCCTTAATAGGTGTAAAAAGAGAATAATCTTAAAACAGATTAACTAAAACACTGAATGAGCTTAATTTCCATGTTGAATTCTGGCTGTATAGTTGATTTATTATTATTGTGACTTAATAATTGAACACATACTGATAAACCTGGCTTTAGTATCATACTTATATTCTAGAATTTTTTTTGACTTAAGTCACACAAAACTAACTTTTAATAATTCGAATCTCTATGTATAAGCCGTTGAAGGGGTTAATTGTATTTCACTGAATAAAAGTAGCATTAAATGTTCTTTGATGAAGTATACAGACTAAAGAAAAGTTCATTATGACAGTTCCTATTTTTCCGAAATTTCGGGAGAAATCATTAAATTTTTCTGTACACTTATCTAAACTATAACTCCGCCTGGAGTCCCTCCGGGAGCTACTGCCGGTCCCAAGCCCGGATAAATGATGAGGGTTGGGCATGGGGTTAGCGTCCCCATCCTGTAGAAAACTAACTCGCTAAAAAACGCTAGCCAGAAAAGTATCTAAACTATTATTTCATTTATTCAAATTTTATTGACGAATTCATTTTTCTGCTGTTAAATTTCTTGTAGTTAAGGGGAAAATGAACAATGAAGATTAAATGTACACTTCATTAGACATACAGCGTAATAGGATACTGTATATTGTGGAAATAATTCTTGTAATTGATCCATTTTTTAAACTATTAGTTACCTAGATAGAACTCAATAAGTTTGTATTCTCAAAAGTTGAAATCATGAGTCAATTGAAGCTAGACCAACATGGAAAACCTGGAAGCACTCGACGGCCGTTTCGTCCTATTGTGGGATTCTATTTAAGATCATTCTTAATAGTAATACCCAAACTTTTAAATATAAACTATCATTTAAACTTAGAAATGATCAACTACGAAGAAGTTGACGATATAGTTTGTAAATGGAGATGAAAATTCTTTGAATAAAAACGAAAATATGTAAATTTTATACCAGTTAAAAAAACAAACTTACACAATATAATGGATTTTTTAAAGTATTCTCTTGAAGTTTTGTTCTCATATAGATTACATGTAATTTCATCATATCAAGTAAGACAGTTATCAGCATAAATTTGATTTCAATTAAGTCTCTATGAACTGGTAAACTGCATCCTTTCAGCTTTTTATAGAATAGAAATATTTTAAAATAATATGATAGAATACATATATATATATATATATTAAATAATTTCATATTATTTTATATTGACTATCTATCAGAATGGGTTTCGTGGAGATCGTAGTAATTTCAATAGTTGAGATCATAAGTCAATTGAAGTTAGACCACCATGGAAAACCTGGAAGCACTGGACGGCCGTTTCGTCCTAGTATGGAACTCCTCAGCAGTGCATATCCACGACCCCGCCTTGCGGGAGTCGAACCCAGTTGAAGTTGGACATAATGCCGTTGGATACTGGCTCAGTGATCCAGCGGTTAAGCGTTCGCGCGCGAGACTGATTGGTTTTGGGTTCGAACCCCGCGAGGCAGGGATGCTCACTACTGAGGAGTCCCATAATAAGAGGAAACGGCCGTCCAATGCTTTCAGGTTTTTCATGGTGGTCTAGCTTCGACTGACTCGTGATTTCAACTTTGAAATATCTATTAAAAGTCAAGTTGTACAAGATAGGCATTATTTTGATTTTCCATTACTCACAGGGCGACGGACTTCATTAATTTAAGCAATGAAATTATTTTGGTAGGTATTTTTAAAAAAGTTCACAAAATTCATTAAACCCACTTTATTTAACCTTAGTGAGTAAACTTTTGATAAGATGTGTGATATGATTTCATTATTAATCCATATTATTAGCATTAGATTAAAGGAACTAGGTGAAACAATACGATTTTACAGTGATCAGTAACGTTTGAGATTGAAATTCTTATTAAAATAATTTATTTAAGCAGTGATAGATGATTTGTTTGGCTGTATAGATCGTCATTATTGCTACTGTCATTCCGTTAATTAATTAATGAGTTCTAAACCCTAGTTAAACAATGAACTTATCATAAATGAACGTCTGATTCTTTTAAATTGCAGGCTTCTCTTTACTACTTGGTTGCAACGAAATATGGAACTGAACGTAGGTTCTACAGTTTTCTTAATACGGACAGTAAATTAAGACTACTTAGTTAATGTTCTAGCTATCCACATTTCTAACGTCAGTTAATTTTTGATATTACATGTGTTTCCTTCAATGATATGTGTGAGTAATTGTCTTACTCTCAACACGCTTGGATCAACACCTCACGACTCCTGTTGTTGAATCACAAACGAATAATGAGTAGAAATTCATCATTATCATAAGTAGCTTTGTAAAAATTTCTGTTGTTTTATTTATAAGACATTAATTAATAAATTACTTAAACCTAGGAGGCACTAGTTTTCTGAAAGAGATTCACTCTAGTACTACAAAGCAAAATATTTCATTTCAAAGAAAAGTGTTTAAAAGTGTTTTCAAATTATAACCATACTGCGACCATGGACTCTTAATTGGCTTTTACTACAACTGGGAATAATTACAGTGGGGGCTCGTTAAAATTTTTAGTCAGGTTAAATGAACTGAGTATCAATAGATTGGTTATGATGTTAGGAAGAATACTTTTTGTGGAATACTTGAAAACGGGCTTATGTACTATACAACTACGAGTGAACTTTAAGATATTTCTGGAAATTTAAACCCTATAGTTGGTCACAGTTTAAGTAACACTAAAAATAAACAAAATAGCCATAATTACAAAAGTATTACATAACAATGATAATGAATAGATTTTCTTACTTCGTCTAGGGTAGTAAAAGATTCAGCCAATTTGACAGTTTCATAAGCAAAGTTTAAACACTGACGTGCAATAGTTAAAGTAGTTTCGAATGAATTACAGAGAGTAGATGGATGACATGATTTTGTGCGTAGTTTTGTGATCTGCCAGTTAAAAATAACAGTTTAAATATGGAGCATATGGAAATGGGTTTAAATGAAGAAAAAAATGTTGGTTGATAAAAATGAAATAAACAACATTTTCACGATTCATTTTTTAAAACCTAATTAGCTATAAATTACTTACTGTAAAAAGGTGATCGTGAAGGAAGATTATAATTTAAAGTGACCTTAAGATATCTACAAAGACGGGTACTCTGACAAAGAAGCATACATTTCAGATGTAAATATCTTCACAAATTAATGGGAACAAACAAATAGTCTATTTCCATCATAAATAATTGGAATTCAACGAATATTAAACGAATGCTTTGAGTGTTAAAAGACATAGGTGGTTGAAGGCAATAGACAGGAAATCCTGAACCCAAGTTTCCGGCCAGCTGGCATACATCAGCAATCCTGAGCAAACCAACTGAAGTGTTTATTACTTAACATTAAGTATCTTTGAGTTAAGCATATAAAACTCATTCGGCCGTATTTTTTCCAAAGACTTAGTTTTGAACTCAAGAACCTTAAATACTGTACAAATTAACGATAATTATCCAGCGTTCTAAATCCCGCTGTATTAGATCACAGTAGCTTACAGATAAAAAAGGACATATGTTTAAACGTATGACGTTTTAATGTTTTAAAGTGTAAATAACAGAACTCACGTGTGAGTTTACTTCATGTTTGAATCCTCTAACCCAGTAGGCTAGTAATGGCATCCAGCCTAATCTAAGAGCATTTCGTTTATTTGAAGTCAAAAGACAAATGACTTCTTCAAATAACTTTGGGGCACCATTCAGATTAATCAGTAAATTTATTGGACGTGTTGGTAAATCACACGTTAACGATTTATCCTAAATGAAAAAAATACCACCTTAAAAATTGAAGATGTATAGTATAACAGCTTTTATTTACTGTAGAAAGATTAGTCTGAGATCTTTCAATAATTTTATGTTATAACAGCATTTCATCTATGAATATTTTAACAAAACAATAGTACTAACCAAACGAACAATATTTCCGAAACTAAATTTTAATGATTCATTCTTGGGAATTCATGCCATCTTTAGTGTCTTCAAATGATACTGTACAGACTATGAAGCCATCACTTAAGGGATTTTAAGGGTAAGTGAAAGGTTCTGGTAATCAAGTTCAATTGATTAACGTGAATTCAAATGTGTTTAACTGGTTTAGATAATCGACATTACTGTAAAAGCCTAGATCTTGTGTTTGCTAATAATTATTGGAAGGAGATGTCCGCAAAGCTAAAAGAAGTTATACATTTAGGAACGTCATTGTTGGGCTATTCAAGCCTGATTATTTGGCTGAAATCAGGCCTTCTCATGAAGAAAAAAGATCGTAAGATCGATTTCACGTTGAAAACTGTTGAAGGATCTCAAAGTAAGACAAAACAGTTGTCTTATTCTTATTGATTTTCAGTAATACTCTAGTTGATGTCGATATGTGACTAAAAGTATTCTTAAATCGGATAAGTTTCTACAAACTACTCATCTAAAAAACGACTGCCCGGTTATATTCGTCACAGATTAATTAAAATTGGAATTGTATCATCAGATGCCTGCCTGGTGGTTTTAGTGGTTGGGCACTCGTCTTAAGACTTGAAAGCCCAGAGTACGATCCCTATCGGGTTTCTGGGTGCTCACGGTTGGGGATCCACATGCTAGGACGGAGTTCTAGTGAGAGAGTATAACCAGTAAAGTTCAACCGTGTCGAGTGTGAGGAATTTACCTACTGGCGACAACAGAATATGAACGCGTAATATCGTGAATTGATTGGAGCTTAACATATTCACCATTAGTATGGTATAGGGGTTGGTGTTCGAGTGCAAAACTGAAGGCTCTAGGTTCGATTACGGGTGTCTGGATCGTGGATGCTTACTGCTCCAAAGTTCCACATTAGGATGAAACAAATCTTCCAAGTTTTCAGTGGTTACTAAAATCGATTCCATTTATGGCCCCAATAAACAGTAATTTGTTTAGTTTTCTTACATTTATCACGTTACTAAGTATACAGCATAGAAAGAACAGTTTATGAACAAGTCAAATTCTGTTTTGAACTGAAGCATAGTCAACAATAGGATGGTATTTTGGTATAAAGGTTTAACTTTTAGAGCCTTCTAAATATCTGTTTTGGGGATTTGTGGAGAATATAGTTTACAGGTCTAGAGGGATTGAGTCTTATGTGGGGAATCGTGGATGTACATTGCTGAGTAGTCCCAATCAAAGATGAAACAGCCGTCCATTGCTTCCAGGTTTTTAGTAGTAGTACAGCTTGAACTGACTCGTGGATTTAACTTTGGAAATGTTTTCATAATCGTCAATTATTATCATATAATTAAAACTTATTTACAAAGTTTAATATCACAGACAGTTACTATACAAGCTGATAATTGGTATTTTCAGATCATACTGTATACAAAAGAAAGAAGAAAATTCTTAATTCAACTATTTACAGTAAATTCAAACATACCGATGAATTGAATATTGTACAATAATGATAATTCATTTCATCAATCCTAGTAATTAATTGAGCTTTTTTTGACAGAAGTATTCCTTGTAATTTATTAAACCAACCATTTCTTGATTTAAAATTTTCTTTTCTTTTCTGTAACTCATTTATTGCTAAGTCAATTTCTTTTATAGCTGTTTGTATTCCATAATGTAAAGGACATGAAGTGTAATTCATGAAATCTTGTTTATCATTTATTTCGGATAAATTGAAATTATGTATTGTTAGATTAGGATCATAACATAAAGTATCAATCCTTATTGACAGACAATCAAACCAAAAGGATTCATCTTCTATATTAAATTCCTAAGTGAACGGAAATAGATGTGAAGAAAATATTCTAAAGATTATTCAACATAACACTTAGTTACTATGTTAGAGAGTAAATATCTGTAGTGTTTTTGTTTTCTAATGATGAATTATTTTAATGGGCTTCGGTTATAATGATATGAATAATTCAATGTCAAGTTAGGCAAATTCATCAATGTAATTTGCTTGTAAAATGAAATTAAGTTGGGAATAAATAAACAGTTTGATGAATTTACGCTAACGAAGAGAACATACCATTTGATGTAAATGAAAACAAATGGATCAAGTATTTAGTTTAATTCTACATGAGTTGGCAGAAGGAATAATGGATGATTCGCTAGTGTAATAATGATAAGTGTCATTTTCAAAAGTGAATTCACGAGTCAATCTAAGCTAGATCACCACTGAAAACCTGGAAGCACTGAACGGCCTTGTTCGTCCTAGTATGGAACTCCTCAGCAGTGCTCATCCACGATCCCACGACGGGACTCGAAGCTAGGACACTCGGTTTGGTGTGAACTACTGAGGAGTTCCATACTGGGAAGAAGGGGCCGTTCAGTGCTTCCAAGTTTTCAATGGTGGTCTAGCTTAGATTGACCCATGAATTCAATCTTGAAAATACTACAATTTTCACAGATCCTCTAAGTTGAAAATGTCATCTTTTTCAAACTACAATAATTTCTGTTAAAAAACTACTCTAATTTGTTTTAAGTGAAAAAGCCGAAAAAATTACTAATTTGAGTGATCGTATTAATCAATCACTGAGTTTTATAACTAACGTCATATTTATTTAGCTGTAAGCGCTGACCGAATTCCCCTAATCAGATTGGTATCATGGTAAATATACTGTTAAACTTAACAATTACTGTACAGTTTGTGTGACGCTAGATACTTCCACAATACGGATATGTAGTTCAGCCCTTTAGTCAATCATGAGTAAGATTTTTAAAGCTCTCTACGTTCGAATATTACTTGATAAGATTGCTTTTCATAGATAAATACATATATACTAAACTAATGATAGTTCTTTGTTAAAAGAAACTGTCATGCTTCATTTTAGGCAAAGATTTATGGTGGCTAGCAGTGGAATCCAGAATGCGCTTTCCGTCCTATTTTGGACTCGTCAGGTGGGTGTACTTGCATCCGAGTTGATGTTCATTTAGGGACTCGAACTCAGTACCGTTCGCTTCAAACGCCATTGCGTTATCCATTTAGCGTCTTGGATTCTACTGCTAGTCATCATCCATCTTTGCTTATAATGCTTGTAACTTAAGGCAATATCGAGGTAATCCGCACAGGATATACATATACCAATAAGAGACTGATCAATTGCAGTCCTAAACATCAATGGGAAGATTCAAACAAAACAAAATAAATGTCATGTTTCATATTGGTGTTTGTTATTAAATAGTACTTTATTTTTGAAATATATCTATGGCATTAGTGCATTTAAATGTTTAATTAAAGTAGGATCTAGGTAAATATCATCTTTTACTAATAAACACGTTAAACCAAAGAAATGAAGGTAATCAATGAAAATGTATGGATTTCGGGTTAAGATTTTCCGAATAACTTGTAGTGAACACGAACACCAGTGGGAACAACCTAACGTATTTGACACACAATTACAGGACTTGTTAATAAAATCTAACAATCATAAAGTAAATGCTTAATTTGCAAAATGTCCATCAATTGTCTCAAAATGACTCAGAATTCATTGTTTTTGCATCTTCATACAAATTGCATTCTGTTTCCATTCTTTACTGTTCGATCCTCTTGTCCCTCTGCTGCCAGACCTTCTGTTCATGACTAACATCATATACTACTTATGTTAATATAAGTAGCACACACCACAAACTCACTAAATCAGTTTACACTATCCATGTAAAACACTAATACCTTTTATTGGGTTTGATCTATTCTGTTTTCAAAACAGAGAAATCAAAAAAATGAATTGAATAAAACATGGATAATATTCTTCAATACTCAATAATAACTAGAGATTAATGAGTAAATAGGTAGTTACATGTTTCATACTTCAATACTAATTGATTGTGTTTCAATATAATGGAAATTTTTCAACGATTAAAATCTTGTAATCAAATCATTTCGCTGAAGGCATTCAATGAGTTTCTGAAGTATAATGCAAAGTTTATGGAAACGAAAAAATCCACTAGAATTTATAAAGAATTTCATTGAATCATGTTATTATCAGAAACTGTTCTATAAGTCATTACACCGTAATCACATTCATTCAAACAGAAGTTAGACATTAAGACCGTTGGATGCCGGCTCAGTGGTCTAGTTGGTTAAGTGCCTGGCGCGAGACTGGTGGGTCTCGGGTTCGAGTCCCGCGGGGCGGGGTTGTGGGTGTGCACTGCTGGAGGGTCCCATAATAGGGCGGAACGGCCGTCCAGTGCCTCCAGGTTTTCCATTATGGTCTAGCTTCAATTGACTCATGATCTCAACTATTGAAGTTAATACAATCTCCATAAAACCCCTTCTGAGAAAAAAGACATTGAAATGTTATACAGTAAATCAAATTAACATAATAAATAGTTGATTTTTGTTAAATAATGAATAAATAAAACTAAAAGATAAGTGAATAAAATGATAAAGCTAGTTGTGTATCATGGTAACACTTTAAATTTAAGTTATATAACTTTAACTTTGAACTCACAAATATTTTCGAAATTAATGATCGAGATAATTTATATTGACCTTCAACTAGAGCTAATCTTGCTCTAGCAAGTAACCAATATTTCATTTGATCGTTATGATATAGAATAAATTGTTCAGATATACTCAAAAATATACGTGCATGAGAACATTGACCTATACGGGCTAATCGGTCGCCTAAATGAATCCAACTTTTAATTAAATCTTTTATATATGGATCAGTTGGATTTGTTTTTAATAGTGTATATGCACTAGAGAAGTTAAATAAAAGAGAAAATTCGATGTAATGTTAAGTTTATAAACACAATTGTAAAACAGATCAAATAATTTATTGATATGGTTACAATGTTGTACAGTATAGTTGTGTTTTCTCGAAACTAGGGAACTATCCAACTCTGTTTTGACACAAGAAACTAACAAACATGGTTTATAACGAAAACTATGAAAAAAGAAAAAGAGAAGAGAAACTATGCTATATAGAAAGCTGAGCTTTCGTCTACTAAAAGAGTATACTAATTACTTTTGCGTATTTACAGACAGAAAGACTGACCCTGACATCGGATATGTGAGCAGTAACGTTGACAATAAAGTAAATAATTGCCTTACTCATCATAGTTAACCCTTTCGTGGATTTCAGTTATCACGTATCGTTGAGATATTGTGTGGCCCCTTCAGTTTACATAGTATCATAGCTTTATGCAGTGTAGAACCAGACAAATATGTGCACTGGCTCAAGTTCTCATACCATATTAGAACACCGCGATAAAATTATCAAGGCAAATTTCAAAGTAGTAGAATTGACGACAGTATCAGCGCTAGCAGAAAACATTAAGTATAGAAAAAAGAGATAAGGACATTTCCGGATTTGGGAACTAAGGGAAGATAAAGAGTGAAGGACCCTGTACCAATGCGGATGATTTTAAGTCACGTCACTCAAAGTCTGTAGCCACTATTTACAACAGTCGTATAGACCCAACCAAGCAGTCTGGGATTGACTATATGAATAGCTCCAATAGTCGATAGCTTCATGGACTGATATCACGTTTTGGTTTGGCAACCCATAGCTTTCCTTCGGCATGCTCCTACAGCAGACGACAAGCCCCGTTATTAGTACATAAATACCTAACAAGTATATTTTCACTTTGTTCAACTTACTCAGCTATTTCTTGTTCACTGGGCAATAAAGAATTTAATTTATTTTGATGATTGGTTACTCCGGATGATAAACCCAAGCAACTGGAGAGTTCCACTGACCTAGTTGATAATGACAGGAAGATATATTGATAAAAGTACTCTGAAAGTAATTGAAAAAATATTGAGACCACACCTCATGCGCTGAAAATATACCGTTTCGCCTCACAAAATACTTGTTCTTAGACGTAAATGAAAAATGTTCTATCCAGACAAACACCAATCTGTTATCTGACGTTTTAGTGTGTTTATGTGTTACACAATCACACAAAACAGGATATTGTCGAATATACCCTAGTAAGGGTATATAACTAGGTGTTGATATGATCTTAATTGTCACTGTTACTTATCGAAGCTACATGATAGTTGGTCGATACACTAATAAATAATTGGTTATCTTGAATAACATTATATACCACTCCTTCCTGAGTGTTTTATATGTCACTGAGCAGTCGAAACATTAACAGGCAACAGCTGTCCCCAAATATTATTACCCAGAAAGAGTACAACTCACTATACACATTTGTAACCAACCTAAAATTGTTATGCAAGAAAGGCTGAATGATTCCAATGATTTGCTTAGCAACAAAATAGAATGTTAAAATAAAAGTAGTCGGACTAAGTAGGGACATGATTCAAAATGTAAAGATGATCTTTTAAACTGTTTTCCACTAACTTAAAATATTGGGTTTCTAATTTAATCACGGTTTTATTAAATTCTTATCCAGCATTAAATATCATATCACTTAATTCAAAGAAATATCCTTGAAGTATATATTATTTAAAACAACGAAATAGTTCCCGGGATAAGACTTACTTCAAGTGAATAAGTTTTCTAATACAAGCACAATTTGCGAACGAAGATGATTTATCATATCTCTCCCAACTGCGAACAAGACCGTCTTGAAAAACTAAAATAGGATAACCAAGTTGACCTGGACCCATTTCAGTGATCAAATCCAACAGACGGTCCAAACATGCCATAGTTACAAGCTTACATTGTGTACATTATAAATAGTAAAATAAGTAGAGTTAGCGTTCAAAAAGTGTGAATTGGAAATGAGATAAAATACCAACAATATTCATGTTTCTCATCAAACAGGATTATTGTTTAATACAGAACTGCAATGTCATACAACAAATCAATGTAAGAAAATTAATAAAGTTTGAAAATAATCATTAAACTAAGGCAAACTGGATAAAAAATATCAGAGGGCCACTCAACATGAAAGATGTGTTGTGAATAACCAAAACCCCCAAGAACTATTTGAATTTATAATCAATCAGTATCTGGAACTTTAGGGGTATCTATTTAGCCATAGATATTACAATCAATTTTGCTCAAAATAAGCTGAATTTTAGAATTTTATTAAAATATTCGGAAGATGACTTTTTAAATTTTTCACCAGGGCTAGTGAGTTCAAGGCTATTAAAACAACCAAGCGCTGACCAACATTTTTATGGTTCTGATATCTACGCTGTAGCTAGCTGTCGGTTAAATATTATTTCCATAGGATTATCTGTAATTGTAGGTCGTGTAATACTGCTGAAACTAGATATCTAAAATAATTCTAAATATCGCTCTAACAATGGACTTCCAAAAGTTGTAAAACTAATGAACGTCACGTAGGATTGAAGTGTTGGATGATTTCAAACTAAGTTAAACAGTTACACATTTCAGTAAGTCATTTCAATTTATCCTAAATACTGATTGAAACTGCCTATTCAATCCTTCTTCTGGTAGGTAAATTTGTTTTCTAGCTACCCGAAAATGAAATAGAAATCTTTCTCATAAGCTTACATAAGTTTATTTATCTGAGCATTCTTGATTGTAAACACAATTACTCCATTCACCATATGACATAAAAGTCGCAGTAGTTTAAAATTCGTTTATAAACGTGATTGTAGTTTAAATAATAATCACCATCAAAATAAGATAACTTGATGAATTTTTCGGACATTCTTGTAACAATATAGTAAGGTAGAAATTTTGGAACCTATTTTCTCCCGTACTTTTATTTTTGTGTTTTACTATACTGTTGAATATTAGTAAGTAGTTTGAGACATATTCAAATACTTCTGTGGGATTGTTAGGTATTTTGCAAATCACTCGTTTATTCTAGCAAACAACTTATGGAAATGGTTTACATGCAGATATAGTGGTAATTATATGGTAATTTATATTAACTTTCATTTTAATCTTTTCTTTTCTTTTGCTGTCCTAATATCTATTGTGTGAAACGTTGTCTTGGATTGTTGGATTACAGTGTCTAATTTCTCTCTATCGAATTTTGATATTCCCACTAATACAACCATGTAGTGTTTTCTGATTAGTAAATACACTTTCTAAATGTGATTTAAACCAAGCTAATAACAATAAACCATTTCATACTTCAAGTGTCTAATTGTTAGGTGGATTTTTTCTGTTTTCTTTGAAATTTTCTAGATTAGTCCAAGTGGTGGGTTGCAAATCACATACGGATTACATGGATATACTTAGTAATCACTTTGTTACTTGTAATCTAGTTAACAAGCAGCTATTCCAAAGGAACCATCAGTAATTATCAGTAAAACATAAATTTAAAAACATTTCAAAGGTGATATTTATTATAAAACTAATCGGATATACGTATACCAGGCAAATAAATGAATTACAAATCTTGTAACCTACAGGATAACGAATTGTCAGTGGATTAATTTGTTTTTTCACGGAAAATATATCCATTAGTCCAGAGGAATTTTCATTTTCATTTTCTAAATCAAATTCATTCAAATTTGTTGATTTCCTTTGATATTCGGTATAATTTTTCTGCCAAGCTTGTAAAATATCATCCGACAATTCATAAGTAGACCATTCAATGATTGTATCAGGTATTATTTTCTTATAATTAGGGTTACACTAAATAAAGAATTCAAGTTCAGAAAACAATTGTTCGTATTAAGTTACAATTTATGGTAATGAAATACAATACATTAGCTGTATCATCTTGTTTCTAACTGGTGTCGTATTGAATGAGAACACAAGCGATGACAACCAAATATATTTAAATACAAAATTACAGAATCTCTTAGTAAAATCTGAGAAATATATAGTAAACACTTCACTTGCAAAATGTTCATTAATTGTCTCAAACCTTATCAGTCCTTCATTTCTATACCAATCACTCTCTGTTCTCGTTCTATTCTCTTCGATCTTTTCACTATCTGCCACTAGGCATTCCATTTTTGATTAGTGATATATATTACTTATATCTGTCGACAACAGTAGCACACATCACAGTATGTCTATAAATTTTACCTTACACATCACTACATATTTTGTGAATATACATTTTCAACTCAGTTTATTTAATGGCATTCATTTTTAATATCCTCATTTCTTTTTATTAAATATTTTAAAGTAGAACTGGACAGTACCGTCGGTGCAAAATTAAGGATAAACTATATTGATATTTGATAATCATATTTTAAATTAAAATTAATAAATCGACTAGAATAAGCACTTATGATCATAATCAAACCATATAGGCTTCAATTATATCAAAATTATGCGACTAGAAAATGTGACTTACGCTGGTGTTTTAAATGTCATGTTTCTGATAAATAATCAATGAGCTTATCTAGGGTATTTTGGGCTACGATTAAGTTATGAAGTATTATTATTTTCTTGGATTGTGGTTAGTGGTGGAATCTTAGACGTGCATTCTACCTCATTTTGAACCTAGCAGTTAAATGTACTGGAATTCATGTGTTTATCCGTTATTATCATTCGAGACCACGTTTTATAAGAGAATAGATGTTCAGAGAGCAAGCTGACCGGTTCAAAATACTTGTACTCGATTCTAATAGTAGCCTTAATATAAAACATAATAAAGCTTGTAATTATAGATATATGCTCATGGTATACATATGGCAAGAAGGACAGACCTACTCCAATCTTCAAATCACCATACAGGGAATACAAACTTTTAAAAACTTGTAAAGAAATTTTTCGATTAAATACAAACTCATTTTATGACTTCTTAATTCGTAAAATCTTATATTACTGTCATTCTGAAATACAAATGCGTCTAATTAAATGGTTTGTGAAGATTTGTATCCATCGAGATTAGCTTTCATCACTAACTAATATCAGTTAAAGAAATACTAGAAAAAAAGAATAATTGACAGCTAGGTTACAGAAGATAGGAAGAAAGGTTAAGGTCGTGGAAGAAAAAGGCATTGAACATAGTGTATTTGTACGCAGAGGTTAGGCTTGAACTGTTGACTAGCAATAACCTTTGATGTACTTTCATCTTTAGCCGACTCTTCTGACTGTATATATGATTTTAAAAGAGGCTTCTAGTGAAGCCGAGTGACCAGAATTAACTAGATTTCCCAGGATTTAACTTTTGATTGACTTCTGTAATCCTTTAGTAAACCATTCAGTTTCGAAAAAGCTCGCTTTGTGCGGTCAATATAACTTGCAAGTAAATTGATAGATATACAGTGATTTGGTCCAAAATGTTATCTTATCATTTACATAACTACGAAATAATACAACTCATAATTATTCTGCCCTTAATAACATTCGAGTGGACAATTATCTTTACCTTAGAACTTTTCACTAGCCGACTATTACATAACTTCTCAAAACTTGTTTCTCGTAAACAACTGAAAAGACTATACTTCAAGTTTTCTAATTGTTGAGCACCACCCTATTTGACTATAGAACACTATTTTGGCAAATAAAATCAACTATAAATGTGACTGTACAGTTCAAGTAAATGAAATCTTCTAAAGGAAAATTTTCTTCTCCGAATTTCCTTCATTTTTCTTCAATGATACAATTGGTCTCTTTCTCTATTTGATAGCTTTAGTTTTGTGATCGGTCTTATGTGACCCGATAATCTTTCAGCAACTGAAAGTTTAACAAGAAAATAGTAATTTGTAGTACTCTTAAAATGGTTTTATAACTAATAGGGATGCACTCTGCGTTAGTATGTTGATGTAGTGTTAAAATAACTAGAAAATAAGTAAACATCAACCTGAATGAAAACGGAGAAAAAAACTGACTATCTGGCAAGCGTTTTTTGAAATATGATTTACATTTCGTAAAAAAAACTACTCAGGAAACCGAAAGTCTTATGACATTGCAGTTGAATTATTTACATAGCCAGGATCGCCTCTTATATTTCCAATATCTACGTTGCTATAAATATCTATAAAAAACATCAGCATCATGCACTTGGTATTTAGCAAATACAGAGTCCTATAAAAGTCTTTTCTGCCATACAGTAGGCTTCATTAGCTGTTAGAATCTCGAATGGTCAACAAATATACGAGTATTGTTAAAATTACTGTATACAACTTGTTATAGCTTGGTACTTGAACAATACTCAAATCAAAAGTACCATGGTCAGTAAATAGTATCTAGTTATTGGTGTAAACTTTACTTTCTGTTATGATATGCTATTCAGTTAAGACGCTAGACACACTAAACGCTTCATCAGCCGATATAAACAGACGGACGAGGATATAGTAAGATGCATTTTCGAATCCTAATGAACGTATTTAGTGGCCCAGGATCTGAATCCAACTTGATCGTTTCGGATTGTTATTTAGATGTACATGTCGCCAATCCTCGTATATAATTATAGACTTAATCCACGTTAGAGAATCACGGAATTTAACAAGTCACATACGAGAAGGGATGTTTGAATACATATATTTTGTACCCTCACCGGTCGAAACAGACAATCAGAGAATCGCAGCAAATAAAGTGAAGAAGAGAGAGCGAAGCGAAACAGAATGACGTGCAGTGGAGGTGTGTGCACCAACTCAATTTAGTCAAGTGTTAATCAATATTTATCGTCACACAAAAATAAGTTGCAGATATGTGATGATTGGGATAAGATGTAACACACATACGATCATATAAAAGCAGTCAGGGTTGATAAGTGAATAATTAATAAGGTTAAAACGTAGCTTGAGAAGATTGGATAAATTGACCTGTCCAGAAGCTGGAATAAGTTATATGGGCGTAACATAATACCCGACACTACACGTACTTATTGTTTACATAAATTTATAAGTAGATAGACCGGCCTTGATAAAATATCTGCAAGTGTTAACCTACTTATTACATAACTGGTTTATTCACTATAGGTCAATAACATTTATCGTGTAATCTCCAAATATTATATGACTTGTGTCCTTCATTCAGTAGACTTAAGAAGTTGTTGAATTAAAATTTCATAACAAAACAAACTCACACATTGTTTTCCACGATTAGTTTCACTACCAGTTGCTTCGTTCGATTTTGATCTCAATTTAACTGAAGTAGATCGAGGACTTTTCGGTGATTTTTGGTCCAAACGTGGGCTTTCAATGACTGATGAGACAGCAAGCTAGTCGATTTAAAGAAGAATATTAAAAAATACTTAGGCATTACAAATCAAACTTAGAACTTAAAATTCAAAGATATTTTAATGGGTAAATTGAAGACCTTGTTATCGCTTGAGTAAAGCAAATAAGGTTGAAAAGTTACTTACTTTCGATCCGAGTCTTAACTAGTGACCTGCACACAGTTAAGCAAGCAAAACCATAATAAGATTGATTATATATATAATAAAAGAAGATAAGTCGGCAGTCAAACTTTCTTTAATTTTTCGATCCTAATCAATGAGACTATCTTATGAAGACTGACAAATTTTGATTAGAAGCGTATAAATAATTTTTAAGTAGTAGTCGTTACAGATTGACCTAATTCAGAATGATTAAACAAAAGGGGATTGAACAACAGTTTCTTTTGTGCATGGAATCCTTTAGAGTATGCACTCACGACACAACCAGGAACCATTTGAGTGTAAGTCAGTGGCTTAATGGTTAAGTGCATAGCGTAAGACTTTAAGAAGTTAGATTCGGTCCCTGGCCCGGTCACTAGTGTGAACTCCTGAGAAGTCCCATATTATAACGAAACAGCAGTTCAGAGCTCCTTGGTCTGCCATCGTATACCAACTTTAGCCAGTTCATCATAAGTAGTCTCTAAAAGCCAACCTAATGCCTACAATAAGTAACTATGTATAAAAACCTAATAAGATATAGTGCAGTCTAATACAAATGAACTACGTATTTAATTATTGGTGTAAATGCGTTTATAATAACTTTACTCCAACCTTAGGATAGATAGTCGAGTAATATATATCCCATCCTTGTTTAGTAATTAAAAGGTATATGTATTCATTGTTTAAGTAAAGCGGTCATCTGAACTTAAAAATTTATTAGGAATCATGTGGTTGATTAAATTCAAATTACCAAATATAGAAGTCAGTCTAAATATAATGTAAAAATGTACATCTAATTTTAGTATCTGGTTCAATCCATGTTAGAAAGGTATATAAATGTCGCTAATCCTCGTATATAATTATCGACTTGAATCGCGTTAGTGATTAACGGAATTAAAATAAGTTAAATATGAGAATGGATTTTGAATACGTATATTTTATGCTACTCAGTGATTTGAGCAGGCAATCACGGAGACGATACAAACAGGAAAGAGCGAAGTAGATTGGGGAAGGCGTGTGAACCAACTCGATTTAACCAAGAGTAAATCAATATTTATAGTCAGAAAAAAATAAGTTACAGACATGTGATAAGTAAGATAAGAAATGTACGACCACATAAAAACAGTCGAGGTTGATAAGCGAATAATTGAAAAGGTTAAAATGTGACTCAAGAAGAATGAATAGATTAATCTGTCCAGAAACTAGAGTCGCCTACGTGAGCTCGACATAAGGCCCAACCACTACAAACTATACTTTGATTTGAGTCGGCGAGACTATAATTTATGGACGAACCAATCAGGAATATGATAACAGGTCTCGAATTTTGGTGTGAAATTCGCTCATCTATTTGGCTAAATAGCGTTTTTTGCATTAGAGCTGATGTCGGTTCGTGATGAAAACTTTTAATCTAATTCTTAACCCTTACCACAAACTCTAAATCATAATTCTAATTCCTCACACTCTTTTATAACTAACATTTGGTCCTAGTTATTAGATGGACACTCTCAAGGTCATTTTAGAGTCGCTCAAAGGTCGTTCATAAATTATAGTCACACCGGGATTTCTACCTAAAATTTATTTACTTACATTTAAAATAGTTTTAACACAATTAACAGCAATAATTAAATAATCCATTGAATGAAGGTCATGCTCTTGTTCAATATTTGTATTGTTTGCATCCCGAAACTCCGCTAATAAAACACATGCTCTCATTAAAATATCTAAATATTGAACATTCTCTGAATGAAATATAAGTTGACCTATATAGAAGAAAAAAACCAAATAGAATAGTAAAGTTTGACTAAGAGTTACTTAATTGAAATAAATATTTCAATATTCAAATAGAAATTTGTTGCGCTTATTCAGTATGATAGTAATTCTTTAAAGTAATTAGTGTTGCTCTATTTTATATTGTATCTTAACTACTTCTAGTATCGCTTGAATTTTTGTTAAGGAAACAGTAATTGACAGTCTTATACAGGTTGTTAGACAGAGATTAGGAATAGTAATCATCAGGGTAGCTTGTGAATAATCTACTATGACCTTTAACTTGCAATGGTTTATGTTTACTTTAATGTTAAATATTTATCCACTGGTACACAAATTTACGATTCAGTTGTTATGATTCATTTTTTGTATTGGATGTTTGAATCTTCATAGTCACTCATTGGCTATGTGCATCCTATGCGGATTGTCTTGATATTGCCTTAAGTCACAAGCATTATTGAGGAGATTTAAACAACCAATACAAAAATAAATTAAATTTCACTCCATTGCACAAGCTAGTAGCTATGCAGACTCAATAGCTAAGTGGATAACACGATGGGGCTCGAAACGAGTGGAACTGGGTTTGAGTCTGCAAGTGAGCATCAACTCTGGGGGTGTAGGTACTAGCCGGTTGACGTGTCCTAAATAGGACGAAATGCGCATTCTGGATTCTACTACTAGCCATACATCTCAGTCCATTTGGTTCCGGATATACACTAATATGTAGGTTAACTAAGAAAACATTTTGCTTTAATGGGTAATTTTTGATCAGTTATATTTCCCATTAGATACATAATTAACCATAGCTATAATCTTACCACACGTTTTCGATTGAACGAAACCAATTCAATGACTACAAATGGTAAATGTATTTACCAAAAGCTGAAAAGATTAATCCAATATGAATTACATAAACTGAATATTTTTCTATTGACTTTACAGGTATTCCTCCCTATTTTTCGATAACTAGTCATCGTCAAAACGACTGTTTTAAGTTAAATTAACTTTAGTTGATCTAAATAAATCGTAAAATAGTGTCATATCAGTTTAAGTTGATACAGACTACAGTCTTCACGGTTTTCCCACTAGTAAAAAATTTGCCGCTGAATAATGTTTATCGGTATTCATGATGAATAAATGGTTTGGGAGATGAAACAAAAGCACCGAATTTTTGTACAATCAGTTCCCATCAAATTTGTCATAGTGTTACTAGGTCATGAAGTTAACGTTTGCAGGAACAGAGTGAATCATTTAATTTAACTGATAAAGAATCTTACATCATACCAAATGTTCATACTACAAACCAGTCTTTTTCTGACTAAATATATTACAAGTCATGCTAGCACTTTGATAATATACAAAGAGCCCCCCTCCAATTCCTGTTAATGCCACTTTATCAGTAATGTAATCAACATCTGTAACTCTTAGACTGTATATATGTTACAGGGTTACTGTCCTATAACTTGACACACTCTTTATACATATATAGCAATTCAGCAATAAATTTTACTGAGTGATTTCCACAAAGAAAAACCTCATATGACGTTTTTATTGCTTTCAGAGGCTATTTAATGTGTTTAAATATACAGTAATAGCTACATTTATATTAATACAGTTCTTATCTTGAATCTATGGTTATATAGTCACTTTAGGAAAAAAGTGGTCTTACTATACTTCGTTTCTTTGTACTGATCTAAATCATAATTCTTTCTATATAAATCATTTAATATATCCACAGCTTCTTCAGCTAAACTTATACATGTAGGCATATCATATCCATGGGCAAATAACCATTGAGCAAACTGTAACAAGAGATCAGACTTTAACACCCAATAATCGGGACTCTTCAAAGAAAAGAAAAGAAAATATAATAATTGAAGTCAATTAAGTTGAAATGAATGTCATTTAATTGTATAGGCCTTCTGATAAGAATTATTCCATTTGTTTCATTCATTAACTTATTTCAAATGCTTGTATGTTACAATGCAAGTGATTACTACTGAATTTAGAATAGTATCAAACAATACACGATAAATAACTATGCATGCATGTCTATCAACTTAATTATAAATAAATAAACAATTCAGTACAGTAAGTTAAAAATTTGAGAAGTAATATCTGTAATAAGTGGACAGTGATTCATTTATTGTATATCATTGAACAACTATTTAACCCGGAAACATTGCAATCATGAAGTTGTATCTAAAGTATATTAATGTAAGAAAATAAGCCCATAACTATTTAGTAGTTAATTCACTAGTCAACTCATGTTTAAAGTAAAGTTTCCAATTTTTGTGATTGACTTAAAACTGTTAATTCTTATAGTATATCATATCTCATATTGATACTTCGTTAGCATAAATTTCTAGATTGGCTTCTTTAAGATATACATACACTTGATAAGTTTAAATATATTAAATCTTAAAAATTAAGTTATTTATCACATACCTAAGTATACTTGAGAAACAATTCCTTAGTCTTAAAATTATTTTACGGTATTGTAAATGAATTCGAATTGTTAATTTTATTTTTACGTCGAACTTCAATTCTAACACTTTCGACTTATTTTGAATTGAATTCTAAATGATTATACCGGTTGATCAGTGTTGCTGATAATGTGCAACTAACTACACAGTTTTATTTTATTATTAGAAGAAGATAATGCCCCGGTACGATCGAGGATGGGGAGAGTTAGCTCTCTCTCTCTCTCTCTCTCCTGAAATGCTCTCACATGGCCACGCGTAAACAGCCACTGCAAGGGAAGTCTGACTCACTGCCTTCTCGCGGAGGCGGTATTGTTAACGAAATTAAGAAAACGAAAAGCGAATGTTCGGCACTTTAACCGGGTTGGTGAATATGGAGGATTCATATAGGGAAGTTGGAAAACTTCGATTCTAAACCAGTGGTGCACATGGGATACAGGATCTTGAGGGAACAAATGGTGTATGAACCTATTGTTGGTCACAGGCTACCATGGGACTGCATCTCCTTACGTTGTTCCACTGCCTTGTGGACTAGACTTTTAGGTCTAAAGCTTGCGGCGTGGCCCCCTAAGAAAATCACTTGCTTCGGTTTAGGCACCCGGGCAGTATTCCAGCTGTCACACAAATCAAATGATAAAGTGTGCCGCATATATATTTGTTGCCTCCTTGTATCAATGTTTATCTGTTTAAATAAATTAAATAAATAAAATATTGAGTATGTATAAAAATATTTATTTTAATATTTCACTTATAGTAAAATGATCATTCAAACTGCAAAAAGGAATACTTTATTTATTTACTTTTATAGCATTAACCGACTGTTTGAATGCCATCAATTGGACGTTGATATCTGAGCTAGCATAAGCAATTTCTATCCATATTTGTGCTTGTAAATATTCCGGTTCTGACTAAAATAAATATATCAATATTTACAGGGAAAAGTGTTCAAAGAGTAAGTTAGATTGGATACAAATACCTGATAGGAATTATTATTTCTTGCTGGACTTAGTGTAGAAACAAACATAATAGGCATGAGAAAACTACAACGTAATGTCAAACTATTTGAAAAAAGTAAAAAGATGCTCGACTAAATAAAAATGACAAAAGAAGAAGGTTCAAAGAAAGATCTCGTCACTTTTTTGCTCCATTTCATATTATTTCCAAATACTTGTTTTAGTGTAGAGGAATTTTATCTCAATAGGGTGCTTTTGCCGGAACTAAATTTTCCTATCTGGTTGGTTTAATCATTAAACTTTCATCATCTTTCTAGACAATGTCATCAACATAAGCTTCAGATAGAAATAAAGCATGTCATCTAATGAGCATAGTATTGGAATAACTGATATGATCCATTGGTCTGATAGTATTAAGAAGGGAATCGCAGTGACAATATACGTATAGATAGTAAACACTATTGTTAATCCTAGTAACTCATATCTCACTGAGCTGCGAGAATATTAACAAAAAATATTTAGTATGACTGATAAGACCTATTTAATTAGAAGAATCAGGCTACTTTATAGGTGTTTTTCAACAAATTTAAAATCACAATGGAAAAATTGAGTGAATGTGGCTGATTGGTTCAATGCCAGAATAAGCTGTTTAATCAGATCATTCTAACCACTTGGTATGATGAGTCTAAATTTGAAATATAGAAAATTCACCGATCAATAGTCTTAAATATTGGTCTGTTATTCAGCAACATCTTATCAACAATGAATTGAAGATCAACTACAAATCTGAAGTTCAAATTAAAGTAACATGTTGTTATGCTAATATATGACCAAGCTCAAAGGAATATTATGACCACATAACTTATTCTAGCTTACGAACAGGTCAATCTATTCATTCTTTTTGAGTTACGTTTTGTCCTTGTTAATTACTCGTTTGTCGATCTTGACTGTTTTTATGTAAGTGTATGTGTGCACTTCATATTTTATTCATCATATATCTGTAACTAATTTTTGTCTGACTATAAATATCTATTTACTCTTGATTAAATTGAGTTGGCTCACTCCCCTTTTCCATCGCACGTCATTTTGCTTCGCTCCCTTCCCTTCGCTTCATTTCTTGAGTCGTTTGCCTTGATCAACAATTGCACGAAATATGCTTATTCAAAAACCTATTCTCGTATTTGACTTATTGGATTCCGTTATTCACCAACGCGAGTTAATTCGATAATTATATACGAAGATTGGTTATATGTCTATTTCAATAACAGTCATTCGTACGATCTAAATGGAATTAGATTTTGTGCCACTGAAGTTGTGAGTGCGTCGATAACACCATTATCTGATTAAATTGGTTTTAACTAATTTCGTATCTTCGGTGTGAGTCATCAATCCAATTTTAAACCACTATGCAGAGAAACGATAGATACAGTATTTACTTTGTAAAATAGTTGTCAGTTGGTCTTTAGGAACTCATTTAAAGAAGGAACACCTCTTTGAATTGTATAACAAGAATGCTTACCTAAAACACAAGTACATTCATAGTTTAGAATACCATAACTTGAGATAATGGACTATTAATTCACAGTAGGTTTTTTCTCTTTATTAATGAATAACAGCTGTCATTTTTCTCTATCGCAAATCCTATTCCATTTTAGAAGAAATAATATTTTCATTAATTTTATTGTTATAATATTTCATTATCCATTGTCTCAGGAACTTTTGTTACTGATTACCTTAAACTATCAATCTTAACTGATAATTTATTATTCAGCACTTGTTGTATTCATCATCATTCATAAGAAATTGTATCTTTTGGGAGAATTAAGACTAATATTATCAATACTAAGCTAATTACTATTGAAATATATACTACTGAATTAAAAGTAAAGAGACAGTAGTAATGATTTGCAAGGATTTTGATTAAAATAAACTTACTGTGAATTTTTGCATATCCAATTCTATTGACTGACCTAATTTAGCTTTTGTAACTACGAGTTGACGAAACAATGACCTGAATAATAAAATGTATTGTAAAATATAGAATAAATTCGGTTGAATATTATCAAAGTTACAAGTGAACTTTTCTTTAGAAGGATAGTAACACCAGTAAGACCCTTTATGCACAGTAACTTGTCAATTGCTCCAAACAATCCAGAACATTTTTACTGGTTTTTCTCAAATATATGACGTATCACTGTGTATGCGAATAACCCTACGAAATAATATCAAACTAACTATCAAAAAATGTAACATACAACCCTGTAGATGCGAGCACTTCTTAATAAAAACTGGTAATTCTGAAACAGTCATAAATGAGGTTAACAATATTTTTGTTATTAGTTGATAATCTTAAAAATATATGATGAAATAGATAGTGTAAGGCGAAGGTTGGCTTTATCCTTCATCTAGGGTTCTTGTTCTTGTTCACAACAATACTAATCACGTACTCATTAGTGATTAATTTCAATAGGTAGTTCTTGAAGTTGTAGTGAGTAGCCATGACCGGTAGAATTCAATACTGTCGGTCATGAGGAGTAGCAGGTGATTGCTCAATACCATGAATTAAATACTGTTAGAGATGGAAGCAGTCGGGTGGCAGCTAGATGGTCAATAGGTTAAGATTTGTCTCAAGGTTTGACAGGACTGAGTTTGATATTCAGTAGCAATGTAAATGCCTACTAGTGAGGAGTGTTATACTGGGATGACTTATCTGTTCAGTGCTTTGTGAATTTTAATGGTTGTTCAAGGTTGGTTCGTGACACAAAGTACGAAAGTCAATTGTTTTTTTAGTTTCTTTTACTTATTATGTTAGGATTGTCTTGATCAGCAAAACAACGTAAAAACTGGTTATGATCATATAATTTTAACAAGTCAAAAGTGATTAGCTTTAATTTCCAATAATGCAGATTAGTTCTTTTATTGAGTATAGCTTCCAATTATTTAATTTTTAGTAGTTAAATGTAAGATAGTTTTGAAAAATAATGGAAATCCAACAATATCCATCAATAAAATGTAATTTCAGTAGAATAGAGTATTGGAAATTTTGTGATGAATAACTAGGCTTTAAAGTGTTATGTTTGATCAAAAAATATAACTGTTGAAATATTCAGGAAAATATCCCAAAAATTATTCTATTAAGTCTAATGCTATTCTTGGACTTGGAGATGGTATTATTCTCTTATTGGTCAGTGCTTATTTCACGTGTCATTTTCCTACTGGTCAATATTGTACAATGTTATTTTCTATTTTATGGTACGATGTGGTCTGCTTGATAAGTATATAAACAGAGTGTATTTGAAATATAATGATTCATATATCCGAGGCTGTGACTTGTGTTCTGGACTCAACTGGCTGGGGTAGACAGGGAAGCGGGACCAATCAGAACCCTAGGCCGTTCTACGTGTTTACGCGTCTTTGGTCCGATCGATAATTCGCTACCCTCTAATCTGCTGCCGTCACAGTTATAACAATAACGACAAATAATATAGAGATCATAGAAAGTAAGTGATTTCATAAAACAAGATCTCTTGGATTACTTTGAAAAAAATTGATTCGAAGTGTCGAATATTATTGAGTAGGATCTTTGATATCAACAAAATAATGTCAATGAGCAATGTAAAAGAATTCATCTTGTTGAATTTAGTACGCATATTGGATTATAATGTTAACTTTAGAATTCTTAGTAAGTGATCATTCCCAATTAATTCTAGCATCAATCATTGAATAGAAATAAAAAATTTAGTGTGACATTAGATGGTTAGATATAAGTTTAGAAGTGACTCACAAAGTTCTTCTCAAAGCCTTTTCATCCCAGCTTCACAACAATTTGTCTTTGTTCACCTGCAACCACAGAATCTTGCACGCTCATTTCACTGTGATTTACTATATTATCTTATTTATAATAAAGACAAGTAACATGAGTTTTCTAGAAAAGTGTGATTTCACATCCTTACCTCAGATATTTTTAAAATACTCACTTTATTACCTGAAGAAACAAAACCACATTTACTTAAGTCAGAAAAGTTATATGTGATGATGGAAAATTCAATAATACGGCATGTCTTTAGCAAATAAATCAGATTGACCGTTTTCTTATCATTTACACTTGGGTTGTGAAGAGATAACGACGAAAACTTAGAGTTCTTTAAATATATACATTGGCACCAGCTTCTATGTTAACAGTACTTAGATTAAATTGTGTTTCTTTTATTTGTGTGATAATGCTAATATTTCGGAGAGATCTTATATTTTGGGTTTGATGATTTTTAAGCTCATCTCTCTCTCTACCTGAGTTAGATTCTTTATACGGATCCTACATTACTGAACAAGTTACTCTGGAAAGGATTAGCATAAATATCGAAGAAATTCTTATAATATATTAAATTATCGTGAGGATATTTCATGTATCATGCTTACACTCTTGCTTAGTTGATTCATGTATTAAAGCAACTTACATCCTGTGTTTGGTACGCGGTAAGCTAGTTGTAGCTTTGGCCAGCACACTTAATGCTTCTGTAAAATTCCCCTACAGAAAGCATTGAAAATAAAGGCAAATTATAATATTATTTCAATATATTTCTAGTCAATAATCCAATGTGAAATAACACTTACACCCTGCATCATAATGTAAAAGAAGACAATGTTATCAACCTTTTCAGGTCATAGTATACTTTTCGTCAAAATACATTTTTGTTATATCCTAATGAGTAGAAAATTTCTACTTTTGACGTTTCGTGACCTAATGTAAGCCACTTCTTCAAAGTAAAAGTTATAGAAATTTATCATCTCATTCTATGGTCTTCAGAGTGAATTCATTTCTTCAGTCGGCAGTTGTACTTTTCATATTTTAAATAACAGATCATTCAAAAATCACAGTACTTTTGATAATTTAAATTTAATAAATATGGTTCATTTCAAAGGTGTTTTGGTGATTTCTTTGGAAGTTGGAACCCATGTCTAATTTTTCAAGATTTCTATTGATCTGTAAACATTCACTGATATTCTGGAGTGGTAATCATCAGCTAATATGGATAACGATAAGTAAACCTGTTTGTTAAGTCTCAATCTCATTGGTTACTAAATGATCAATAAAATCCATATCTTATAATCACTTATGTTTTAAATGACTTTTAATCATGTTTATTTTTGTGTCAAATATTTTACCAAACATTTTGTAGTTTGAGTAGAAGAAAATGACTCTTATTGTAGGTCAGTTTATTTTGTCTTTTAATTTCGGTTCATTGTGTACTTTAGTCAAAAATTTGATCATCGTAGGTAATCTACACGCGAACACATGCGCTTTTCATATCATTTTACAAAAACCGATAGTATTATTACTAATGCTAATTTTATTCCATAACATTTATTTGATAACATTATATAATTCTCAGTACAAAGGTATGTAAAACTGCAGTGAAATTTCCAATCTGTTAGGGATTTAACTTGAGCATATTAAGAAAAAATATGGTTTTTAAACAGCCTTAAGCTGCTATTTATATTCAAACCTGAATATTTACCACCAGTTTTGTGCATGTGACATTTCTTTTCATTATATAATACATTTAATGTGTGAGTTCTTTGAGAATCTTAGGTGTTTGAATGAACTAATGACTCCTTTGTACTTGTTGAATACTTGATTTCGAATTCTTAATACAGTACATTTGTTTGTGGTTATCTGGTACTTCTTGATCCGATTACGTTATTTCTGGGATTCTTAGTTCATACTATAATTCAAATACTCTTGATTATCACAGTATCACCTTCCATTTCTTCAAATGGTAAGAAGGAAGGAAATATACAAACCACTGAAATGGTACGTTTTGAGTTTTTCCGTATTTAGATTAATGATAGGTTGTAAATATTTTTTGTATTAGCTGTTATTATACATAAAGAGCTAATTAAAACAAATTTAAAACAAGAAAATTTAAGGTAATCACATGTTTTGAGAAAAGGTGATGCACACTTTTGAACTGGTTGTCAATAACCAGATAAAAAATAAATTTCACATCCGCATATAGTTCATGGAAATTTTTCCATTATTATAATATTAATCACACTCTACATATGTGAGTAATATTTCTTTCAGTAGTAAAGTTGAGAAACCTCTGTGGTATTATTATAATCAGTTAGATAGTTCGATTATGCATTTTCATAACACATAATACAGTACAAAAACTATTAACCAAAGTATTAACAGTTAATTTGGTCATTTACCTGTTCTGAATAAACATTGTATAAAGCTTTATACATATCAACTCTTAACTGCAAATTCATTTCAAATTGATTTACTGTAGGATATGGAATGATTACTGTTTCATATAAACTTGAAACTTCAGAAATAGATTAGTGAAGAAAAGCAAATCAACAAAATAAGAAGTTTAGATTTACTGTTTATATGCTTCATAGTGAAGGTTCTTCTAAAGAGTATCATTATGTAACGAAGTATTATATTATATTCTAGAATAATAAGTTTGGTGAACTATGGTCGCACGTGTTTTCCTTATGTGACGACAAATTAGAATCATTATCAAAAGCTGTAACAATTTAGGCATTGTTCTCTGATTGCCTGTCACTGAGAGTAATACTATTTAGCAAAGTCAAATTTGACAAAAAGTTTTGCGAATGTCATATTGAAAAAAGTCATGAATAAATCTTTGAATCAAGTTTCCTAACATGACTAGTGGACTGTGACTACCAATACATTGTTATTTATTGCTTTCTATTCTTGATTTTTCAAGATACTTGTAACGTTATAACTTATTAATAAAACATCGAAAATATTGTTGAAACTGATGATTCTTCCTGAAATTCAGCAGAATGTTATGTAGTGACTATCTCAAAGTCGTATTTAAAATATTAACGCTACGACTAGTTATTTTGGTGATTTGATCCACCATACTACTCTATCATTAGTGAATTTCTATACAGTTTTCAGGATTGAGAAATTACAGCAATTAGATTCAGACTCCTGTATTTTGAATATTACTGTACACATCACGGGACCACTGTGGATTTGTGAGCACGTGCCTTTGAGGAATCTTGAATCAGGGGAATATAGTTATCTAGATGTCTCCATCTTATACTGGATTTCTAGCTAGTATCACAATGTGACAGAAGATATCTTTCGTTAGGAAATTACTACACCCACCATCTAATTAAACAAAAAATCATTCACTAATTTGTGAACTGCTTCAAAATGGACTTCTCATTGTCTTGTTTCGAAACTTAAATCTGTTCAATTAACCAATTAGATAGAATTTGATAAACTATACTATTGGATTCTTAAAAGCTCTTCAACATTACATACCGCGTAAACAACTTTTCCCAGGTTATACATTTGAAGAGTATTACCAACTAGGATTCAAAGGCTTTGTTTTCATTAACGTTTCCATGTCAGACTAATAGAAATATGTAAGTTATTTTAATATTCAAAGATATTTGTTTACATCTCATAGAGTGATCCATGTTTGATATCTAAAAAGTACTGCCTAAAGTGTTCAAATGTAAAAAAATAGACCAAATCAATATACCTTCTTTTGTACACTTGACGGAATCCATTAGAATAGATTCCAATTTCAAAGTAGAAAACTCTGTAGTTAAATCTTGTTTATTTTCACTATTTCGAATTTGAGCTGCTAACTCGTTCCTGACTTCAGTTTTTATACACTGACTTAACCATTTGGTTATATTTTCAATCTTCTTTGCAAACGATTCTATTTTTTGTAAAACATGAGTGATTTGGTTTGATGGTGCCAAAATTGAATGATTTAATAATGACCAGTATAATGCAGCTGACATGACCAGTAAATCATAACGTCCAATTTTATGAGCAATACTAGATTGGAGAATTAGTAACAAATTTAGACAATGACAAATGACATAATGATTAAAAGTAAATAAACCATTACTAATGGGGAATGAAAATATTACTTATATATACAAGTGTGAAAAATTGAGATTGGCAACTAAATCTTACTTCATTAATAAGCATGTAGTATATCACTTATAACTGTTCAACTGATTATTTTGAGAGTACAGTTAGGAACGTTTATAATTAATCTTCAAACAATGTTATATTCTAGATGGATCTTGAGTATATAAAAGCAAGTTGATACTCAATATCGAGTGTTCAAACTCATCTATCTCATAAAATCAAGTTTGTAAATAGTTTACTAACATGCCTATTACAACTAAATCCACAACCTGTCATATTTTTGGATCGATATTTGGTATTCGAAAAATGATCTTACAACTAATCTCACTATTCTAGCCTTCTACAATTTACTCTATTTATTTAACACTCAACATAACTAAATAGTTTACAAAGGATCTTTCACAGTTCCTAATTACCTACTTGTTTTTGAGTGACTTTATGAAATTTCAAATTTACGACCGATTTGTCTAGTTTTATTACTTAAAATAATCATCAGTAATCCTTATTTTAACTGTTAACTTTCTCAGTAATTCAAACTTGATATTTGTCAACACACTTCATTCATATCACACAATGAATAGTCAAGATGTGTCCCTTACCATTAAGATGTACAAACTGTCTATAACCGTCTTTTCCAACAACGTATAACTTGAAATTGTTGAGTAAGTCCATCACTTCAATTACTTATACAGTCTTATGGTCCCTGATGGGTTAATGGTTCACAAGATACCATTACACTTTCGTGAACCGGTTATACTTTAAATTCAGACTGTGTTTGAAGATAAAGGAAAAGTGTGCTACATATAAGTTGAGAGTGTTACTTTTTGGCTGAAAGGACAGAAGATAAGATAAGATTACAGGCATTTAATTATAGATGTTTTCAAAGTATTGCTGGCTTATTAAGAGACCATTGGCAATGAATATAGATTACGCGCTGTAAGAATTTAACTTCATCATGTTATGAATGTTAATCTGTTGTGGCTAAGACAGCATGGCAAATGTTCCAAAACAATTTAACTTAACGAACTAATCATATTAACAGTAGGTTTATTAAAAGCACAAAGATAATCTGATCAAGATTTTACACCAAATTAAACCGAGATTAATCGTTATAGCAACTCCGCCTGGAGTCCCTCCGGGGGCTACTGCCGGTCCCAAGCCCGGATAAAGGAGGAGGGTTGGGCATGGGGTTAGCGTCCCCATCCCGTAGAAAACTAACTCGCTAAAAAACGCTAACCAGAAAAAATTATTCAAACTTCATTTAGAAGAATTATGACGCCTCATGATGAAAGCCGAATTCCTTCGGAAGTTACGAGGCCGATGTCTCTTCTGACAACCAGAGCGACCATTTATTTAGGTACATGGAACGTTCGTACAATGTGGGACACCGGAAGAGCCTTCCAGATTGCTGCAGAAATGAGAAGATACAACCTAGAGGTACTTGGGATCAGTGAAACACATTGGACACAAGTTGGACAACAACGACTAACTACACGAGAGCTCCTGTTATACTCCGGCCATGAAGAAGAAAATGCACCACATACACAAGGAGTTGCATTGATGCTGTCCAAACAAGCGCAAAATGCGCTTATAGGATGGGAATCTCATGGACCAAGGATCATCAAAGCCTCGTTTAAAACAAAGAAAGAGGGCATTTCAATGAACATCATCCAATGCTATGCGCCTACCAACGACTACAATGAAGACACTAAAGATCAATTCTACAATAGGCTGCAGTCAATCATCGAGAAGTGCCCAACAAAGGACCTGACCATTCTGATGGGAGATTTCAATGCCAAGGTTGGAACGGACAACACTGGATATGAAGACATCATGGGACGACACGGACTGGGAGAAAGAAACGAAAATGGTGAGAGATTTGCAAATCTATGTGCCTTCAATAAGCTGGTCATGGGCGGCACCATATTCCCACATAAACGCATACACAAAACCACATGGACTTCACCGGATCACTCTACACAGAACCAAATCGACCATATTTGCATCAACAAAACGTTCAGGAGGACTATAGAGAACGTGAGAACCAAGAGAGGAGCTGATATATAATCAGATCATCACTTGCTGGTCGCCAAGATGAAGTTGAAACTCAAGAAACACTGGACAACGGGGTGGACAATATCACAAAAGTTCAATACGGCCTTTCTTCAGGATACTAACAAACTCAACAAATTCAAGATAGTCCTCAGCAACAAGTTCCAGGCCTTTTATGATCTCCTCAATGGAGAAGGAACTACTGTGGAGAGCAACTGGAAGAGGATCAAAGAAGCAATCACTTCAACATGTCATGAGGTTCTGGGTCACAAGAAGCACCATCACAAGGAATGGATCAGTGTTGATACACTGGATAAGATTCAAGAAAGAAGGAACAAGAAGGCAGCAATCAATACCAGTCGAACAAGAGCAGAAAAAGCCAAGGCACAAGCTGAATACACAGAAGTAAACAAACAAGTGAAGAGGAGCATCAGAACCGACAAACGTAAATATGTGGAAGACTTAGCAACGGCGGAAAAGGCTGCAAGAGAAGGAAACATGAGACAATTGTATGACACGACAAAGAAACTCTCTGGAAATCGCCGCAAACCAGAACGACCAGTGAAAAGCAAGGAAGGCAAGGTAATCACCAACAATGAAGAGCAACAAAAAAGGTGGGTAGAACACTTCAAAGAACTGTTGAATCGATCAGCTCCACTGAACCCACCCAACATCGAGGCAGCACCCACGGACCTCCCAATCAATGTTGGTCCACCAACAATTGAAGAAATCATCATGGCCACCAGACAAATCAAGAGTGGCAAAGCAGCAGGACCGGACAACATCCCAGCAGAGGCACTAAAAGCAGCACTAAAAGCGGCAACTGCAAGGATACTCCACATTCTCTTCAATAAGATTTGGGATGAGGAACAAGTACTAAAAGACTGGAAAGAAGGACTTCTGACCAAAATACCGAAGAAAGGTGATCTCAGCAAGTGTGATAACTACAGGGGCATGACTCTTCTCTCAATACCGGGCAAAGTCTTCGACAGGGTATTGTTAAACAGGATGAAGGACTGCGTAGACGCCCAACTTCGTGACCAACAGGCAAGAATCCGTGAGGATAGATCGTGTACTGACCAAATTGCAACACTACGGATCATTGTGGAACAATCAATTGAATGGGATTCATCACTCTACATCAAGTTCATTGACTACGAAAAGGTGTTTGATAGCGTGCCTCAGAAGATAGTTAATATCATACAGAATTCCTATGATGGATTACACTGCAAAATTGTGCATGGAGGACAGTTGACAAACTCGTTCGAAGAGAAGACCGGTGTTAGGCAAGGTTGCTTACTCTCACCCTTTCTCTTTCTCCTGGTGATCGACTGGATCATGAAGACGTCAACGTCTGAAGAGAAGCGCGGGATACAATGGACATCTAAGATGCAGTTGGATGATCTAGACTTCGCAGATGATCTGGCCCTTCTATCCCAAATGCAACAACAAATGCAGGAGAAGACGAACAGTGTGGCAGCAGCCTCAGCAGCAGTAGGTCTCAATATACACAAAGGGAAAAGCAGGATTCTCCGATACAACACAGAATGCACCAATCCAATCACACTTGACGGAGAAGATTTGGAAGATGTAAAAACCTTTACATATTTGGGCAGCATCATTGATGAACAGGGTGGATCTGATGCAGATGTGAAGGCGCGGATCGGCAAAGCAAGAGCAGCATATTTACAACTGAAGAACATCTGGAACTCAAAGCAACTGTCAACCAACACCAAGGTCAGGATTTTCAATACAAATGTCAAGACAGTTCTACTGTATGGGGCAGAAACCTAGAGAACTACGAAAGCCATCATCCAGAAAATACAGGTGTTTATTAACAATTGTCTACGCAAAATACTTCAGATCCATTGGCCGGACACTATTAGCAACAACGTATTGTGGGAGAGAACAAACCAGATCCCAATGGAGGAAGAAATTAGGAAGAAGCGCTGGAAGTGGATAGGACACACATTGAGGAAAGCACCCAACTGCGTCACAAGACAAGGCCTCACATGGAATCCTCAAGGCAAAAGGAAAAGAGGAAGACCAAAGAACACATTACGCCGAGAAATGGAGATAGACATGAGAAAAATGAACAAGAATTGGATGGAACTAGAAAAGAAGGCCCAGGACAGAGTGGGTTGGAGAATGCTGGTCGGCGGCCTATGCTCCATTGGGAGTAACATGCGTAAGTAAGTAAGTAAGTAAGTAAGTAATCGTTATAGCGTTTCAGGAAAATTCATTTTGTTATGTTTGTTACCTTTTGATCTGTCCAACTTATTTCATACATCATGTTCTCTAATATCTGCACTGAATACAACTTGTTTAGCTATATATACAAGGCTTTGAATTTAGTCTAGTTATACCAGAGGAAGTTTAAATTCACTATCGATTGCTTGACTCTTTCTTCTGCTGGTCCTTTGTTAGAATGCTGATAAGAAGTATAACGACGTGAAATAGCTCTACTATAGCCTACTCCATTCAAGCACACTTGTTAGGTTAATCGTTGGTGATGTATGATATGAGAAAAATATAATTTCAAATTAGTCTTACTTGGACGCTTTATAGAAGGCCTCTTCTCCCGCTTCAAATAAGCTGTTCTCAATTGATTGACTATCTTCACTTGTTGTGCTTTTATCACGCTTTTGACCCAGAAGTTCAACATGTTTAAATTTTATATCGGTGAAACGTTGTTTTCCGCGTGTTTGTTGCTGCTGGGTATACTTTCCACTGGTTTTTAAATTTTGTTGACGAAACAGTTTCATTTGATTTGATATACCGAATATGGCTAAACCTCGTAGACAAAGTAAGTGAATCAGCCAATAATTGATATTCACATCGGATTGTTTAACCCCTTGATATAACTCTATTTGAATATTAGACATGTCGATGATGTCTAGAATAGATGAAAATTGTGATGTTATAAATGCAGTCATAGCTAAACGAGTCCATAATTCAAGTTCTGTGAAACGTTCTATGGATGCTTGACCCAATCTCAAATCATATCTAATATTGTTTTCTTGCTCTTTGATTGTATTTGATTTACCTGTGGGATTTTCCGTGTGTACATCAGACTTCTGATTGCAAAATGTTAATTGCATCAAATGAATAGCCTTGGAGGAGAGACAAATATAAGTTTTTAGATAGGGTAGATAAAAATTGACTGTCAGTAATTATTACACAAGAGATATTGTTAAATTCAAAAGAACGTCCTTTGATTTACTGAATATGAAGCATACACTTATATGTTCAATGTACAGTGGCTGAAGTATTCAACTGAGACTATATAGTTGGGATCTAAAAAAAGTGCTATTATGTGTTTCAATCTGATAATTGTTATAAGAATATTGAGTTTTCACTGCCTCTTGAGAAATAAGACAGTGCATCGTACATTGGTAAAATATGTCACTGGGCATCATAAATCAGATTCTTATGTTCTTCGGGTTGGCTAATTCATTATCATCACCCAATCTGTCTCAATAGATTCAGAGATGTGTAAAAATGTCGATATATATAATTTAAATATAAAAAAACGACTTAAAGTAGTGATGAAAGTTATTTGATGGAATTTTCCGAATTAATAATAAGAATAAACCATAAGTCACCGTTAACTAGTGATGCTTCAAACTGTTTAATATTTATTGAAAAGGGATACTTGGAATTTTAGAAATACTTTTGATCGATAAGAAACCAAGTTCTTTCGAAGATGTATTAACAACTGGAGGAAACTAAATACATATCAAGATGTTTAGTGGTACTCAATTATGTACATCACAGTCTTATAGAGAAGCTTGGTTTAACAACTTGACAAGCTGATGAGTACGTCGTAAACCAAAAACTTAATTGACTATATGTAGGAGATATTTTCGTTAATGTTTAATCCGTTATTCGGAATATACCAATACCAGTTAACTTTCGTTTCTGATTTGATTGGTTAATAGATTGGCTATCATAAACTACAGAAAATAAGTCATATTTAAGTAGTAAAATCAATACTACTTATAAGTAGTTAGTAGCAACGGATGCTCTAAATCATTAGAGGTAAATTCTGTTTGAAAATGCGTAACCGAAATCAATCTAACAAATTGTCGCTGAATTTGGGAGATGAATATCTTTTTAAAAAACAGTAACAGAAGTCATTTCTGAGACCACTGGAACAATAACACAGATGAATATTTTTCAGTGATATGTGTAGAATTATATTGTTTATAATGGAAAGTTGGTGTTACAAATGATGAGCGTGAAATTCGACAGAATTCACCTTCCTGAATACGATTTAAAGTTTAACAGACTTTGCTTCTTTGCAGATTGTCAGTAACAAAAGATATGGCTTATCCGAACACAAATGTGTCAGGTTCCCTTGCATTCTTTAACTAGAAGCTTTAAATTAATGGTTATTGTAGGATGACACCTATAATTATTCTAAAAAACGCTCTCAATTGCTTTTAGAGAACCAATATCCTGTACAATTCCTGTAAAAGTCTAAAGGCCAACTTACTATTTTTTTCGCTAATCTGAATAAACGCTAGAATAGAAGCGTCTAGGATTTACAGGTTATTCTACTTCTTTCTGTACACTACGTTTCCTGTACTTGAGCTATCTCTGGAAGTAAAGTTTCTTTCATAGTTTTAACCTCTCGTTTCATTCACGGTCTACGTATTGAAGATTTCTAGAGTTCATAAATACGCTAGGAAGTAAGTATAGTCGGCTTGTATTCCATTAAGAATAGTTTGACCGATAATCGCAATAATTTATATGACACAATTTTTAATTCTTCTCCTGTAAGCGCTGGTAATAGGAGGAAGACATTAAGAGAATGAATAGCATTTGTATACTGCTGGAAAGGAGAGTTTGAGACAAAGTAGGTTGGAAAATACTTACTATTTTCTTTTTTGATGTTCATCCAAATTGTACCACCAAGTGAAGGACAAAATTAAAAATTATTTTTCTAGGAGAAAACAATTAACTGACTTAATCATCACATTTGTAGACAAATTAAGTCGTATGATTACAGAAATGTTTTCCTCTAATAACTAACATTATTTTCAATTAAAAAAGTCACTAGCTGTTTAGTAAGTAAATGGTTTTAATAAAGAAACAAGGAAAAATTAATTTTCATTCCATTATTGTATTTCGAATCCTGCTTTGATTTGACAGCATACTTAATTCCTGAAATACTGATGATGACAACAATAGAGAATAAATTTGATAAGCAAATAATCATGCAAGTACACAAGTAGGTAAGTCAAATGATCGACAGTTACCTCTGCCAGTGTCGGGGCATCTTTAAATCCAGCTAATATATCTCCTTGTTTCAATGATTCAACTAATGTCTGCGTACTTTGTTCATCTATAAGTTTTGAGACTGTAACAGGCCATTCAGATATATATTTATGCTTATTAGTAAGCCATAATGAATGCACTGATAACAGTGTTCGAGTTATTAAAGTCTCCAAGTAGATTTGAGCTTCTTTTTGATTAGTTGATGCAAGTTTACGAGTTTGACTGTCAGAATCTGATGTAGAATTCATTTCAGTATAATTGGTAGTTTCAGTTGATAAATCCAATGGAAATAAACTTCGACATACTGGAGGGGTGATAATCAACTGTTTCGCTATCAACCAACAAACTATTAAAGATGAACGTGTACTAATTGGTACAATTGGTTGTAGTTGATATGACTCATCAATATTCTGAAGTAGATCCAATCTATTTGGTTCACATAGTTTCCCAGCTAATATCAACCAGTCTATTGCTTTTTTAATGTGAGGATGCCCTTCTGGCGGTGCCTAGAATTCAATAAAAGTGCAAATTAACCATTAGATTTTTAAATGTATTGTTAAATCGATAAATTTGAACAAAGTACGACAGAACAGAAAAATTTAACCGTTATTCACTTTATTTCATCGATTCTCATCAGTTGCATAAAATGTCTGAACACCGATTCAATTGTAGATGTTTTAATAAACAGATATGTGTTGAACATCGATTCAGTGAGTAATTCCAAATAGAAAACGAATATTCTATTCTCTAAATAAATAAGTATACGAAATTATGATTTTTGAAAACAGTGTAGATTTTAACCTTTCGATTGGCTAAGTATATTTAAATGTTCCTCAACTACTTTGTTATTTTATACAATTCAATAAAAATGGTTGATAGGTTACCATTTAGTTAAAGTTATTATAGGACTTACAATATAAAAACTTGGTTTGGCTGACTTTCCTCGAATCACTTTTTGACTTTTTTGTTGTATATTAAGTTGTACAGGTTTATTTTTCTCATCAGCTGAAAATGTTGATTTTAATGATTTCGGTAGCCAAGGTTGAATCAACCCATGAGCAAGTATAGTTGCCATTTGAATATACAATTCGTGTGGTAAACAACTAGATCCAATTTTATTGGCGTTCTCTAAAATCACCTAAATAGTGTACGAATTTTAAAAAGATTTTGAAACAACAGTTCTTTTCATAGAAAAATGAATATGAAATAACATGATTTTAAAACAATAGTAAATAATTTACAGTTAAAATAGATATTTCACTGGTGTTGCAATATGCAAACTAAGTTTTTTTCTACTATGACGCTTTTAAGCCTCATCCCAACATTATCACTGATGCAAACCATAAAATGAGTCATTGTTTATATTATTATCAGTATGGGGATTTGTGTGGACTGTAGTAATTTTAACAGTTGAATCCACAAGTTGATCTAAGCTAAATCACCATTGAAAACTTGGAATCATTGAACGGCTGTTTCGTCCTAGTATGGGACTTCTAACTAATTTAAATTTAAATCTTTTAGATAACTTTTAACATTATCAGGGTTAATCCAAGATAATATTCGGATGTTTTTCTTTTTTTACTCAGTATCGTTTCTTCATGTATCACTAACTGGTATTCGTTGTTTGAATGAAATGACAATAAAACATATTGTTCTAATTACTTAATTACGTTTAAAATGAACGTTAATTTCATCTTCTTGGTTATTTATTTAAGAACGGTATGAGTACACTTCATTTTGCTTGATTAGATTGCTATCTGCTATGCCTAAGGAAAGCAGATGAACAAAATCAACCATTTTGAAACGACCTGAAAATAATAATATTATTATTCTGTTATTGTCAAACTCAAAAAGAAAATAATCAGCTACCTCATGTAAAAATACTGTCATTCACTAATGAAGTAACAAAACTCATTGTAGTCCGCTCGAACTACTTGTCAAAAAACAAATAAACAAATAAATCCAAGCTGTTTATGTACTCGTGAAGATTTAAGGGTAATGTAATAAATCGATGTCACAAATTGATCAATGTTAGATTACCAGTGAAGACCTGGAAGCACTGAACGGCCGTTTTATCTAAATATAAGACTCGTGAGCAGTGCGCATCCACAGTCCGGCGCGTGGAGCTAGAAACCAGAACTTCGATTTCACGCGCGTGAGAAGCCATGACCAGTCGATTTCAACTGTATCTGTTGTAAGGAAGTTACTCATTGAAGATAATGGTTTGGATCATCGGAACTTGACAAGACTTTATGTAGAATTTTCGAATCTTACAGATGAAATACTATTGTGTTTCGAAATCTAAATCATATGATTCAAAGATTTTTAGACTTCAGTTGGTTTTCGCTATTGAGAAAAATATTTTTAACTGATATGGAATTCTGTTCACATCTCACTATATATAAAGAATTCACTCTAAGTTAACCTACTGAAAATGTTGTAGTTAGTTGACGATGATCATTCTGACATATTGTTGGAAGACAGTAATTCCATACACATACGGCACATGAATGTAAATTATTTGAATCGACTATTCTTGCAGATAAAACAGCGCTACGTTGAAATGCTAATAACGCAGCTTCATTGACAAAACTAAACCATTCGCTAGGAAATATTTTAAAATTAAAAGAAAAGAATTATTTAAACAGATGATCAAAATATTTGACTACAATGAATAGACCAATAAGAAGTAGTCAACCTAGACAGGACATCTTGACACACGAGTGGTAAATTTTGTCTCCATCAGTATCCTACACTTAACTAACATGTAGACACATCAAAAATCAAAAACTAATTTTAATTTTAAGAATAAATTGACCGTCCAAACACTAATGTTTACACATTTCTTCTTCAAGTAAAAGAAAATGACATGAAGTTTGTTCATTGCGAATGTCCTGGCAAACAGCTCAAACTTTTAAGTCATAATGTACATTAATCAGTTGTTAAAAACAACATACAAGTCGGTAAAGAATCCATTTTAGTGACTGATTGTTTCAAATATGTATTCAATTTATTTGGATAGAATCTATTCGGTTTAATTGCTGGGTGTATTATCACCAAAATATTTTTAAAGTTTATTGTACCTATTCATCTATACCTCTAAACTAATATTAAGTATCATTTGAGGATTGTGGAGACTGTTGAGTTTTTATTGAAATCATGAGCCAACCAATGTTAGATCACCATTAAATATCTCGAAGCACTGGGGGGCCATTTCGTCCTAGTATTAGGCCTCTCAGGGGTATGCATCCACAATATCGCACGCGGGGCTCAAACTCAGTTAAACAACTGGGAAAATGATTGCGGTGGTTGGTACTGCACACTGGATTTTATGGTATTCTGAAGACAAATATTAAGCAACTTTGGATATTGGTTTCATTTCAAGATAGATAGAATGATACTTTTATTTGTAAAAATATTTCAGAGAACGACATAATATACACTTGGAGCTTTTTTATTTTTTGTGGTATTCGGAGTGTCACTGGGTTATAATAAGGAGTAAAATTATTGTTTCTAGAAGGCTAAGATGAATATCGTTTCTATCGAAATTTTATCGATAAATATAATTTTATTAATATCCAAATATGATACATCAATCTTATACTCAATAATCACTGATTAGTAAGCGATTTCATATTTGTATCAAAAGGGGTTTTGTGGAGATTGTAGTAATTTCAACAGTTGAGATCATGAGTCAATTGAAGTTAGACCACCATGGAAAACCTGGAAGCACTGGACGGCCGTTTCGTCCTATTGTAGATCGTGGATGTGCACTGCTGAGGAGTCCCACAATGGGACGAAACGGCCGTCCAGTGCTTCCAGGTTTTCCATGGTGGTCTAGCTTCAATTGACTCATGATCTCAACTGTTGAAATTTCATATTTGTTCAGACTTTCAGTAATACCTCCATTTAAAATAACTTTTAAGTTGCATTATATTTGCATAAAACAAGTAAATTTAATAACTCTAAAAGAGTACAAACTAACCAGTAATTTTTCCATTGCAAGTTATATTCACGTTGTTCTTTAGATTTCCTGACATCTTGATTATGATTATCACTATCATTATTTATCAATAAAGAAGTATCGAACCAGGATGGGTTTAGATTGTTCAAATTACCAGCTAATTGAATACCACACATTTGTTGACGTAACAAGACGCATAAACATTCAGCAAATATACAATATATCTGAGATAATGCACTATATAATTTCAATTCGAAACTGGTAACAATATCTGGATAATTAGTTATGGTACGTGGGTTTGACTTTGATTTGTTTAATGGATTTTGAATCTCTGTTTTGGATGCTATCAAAATTTAAACCGATTTGGTGATAAAATAATTAGGCTTTTTTATTAAATGCGATGTAAAAATCAATCAGTAGATAAGATCACGTACATATTCATGGATTTTCATATTACGGTCTACCTGAAGACTAGTTTTAATGCCAGACACAAACAATATTAGTTGTGTAGTGAACGAAGATACAAATGGGGACAACCAAATATATTTAAATACAAAATTACAGAATCTCTTAGTAAAACCTGAGAAACATTCATTTGCAAAATGTCAGTCAATCGTTTCAGACTTAGTTGTTCCTTCGTTTCCATACCAATCACTCTGTGCTCTCGTTCTCTTCTCTTCGATTTTCTCAACCATCTGCCTCCAGGCATTCCACTTACGACCCATGATACATGATACTTATATCTGTCAACATCAGTAACACACACCACAGTTAGAGAGATGTTCAAACTTACAAACCAGTAGTTAAAATTCAAGTGATCTAATCACTAAAATATTGCTCCACTAATTAAATATTGTGACGACGGACCACGGGTGAACTCGAGGAAGCTGTGGGAAGCTCAGAAAGAGCCAAAGATATTCCATCCAATCACCTTTTGGAACAATATTCTAAAATCCCTAAGTGTAGCTACCCGATTGAACAATGCTAATAACCTACTGTATGCGGATTGGAGGACTGTAACGATGATTTCGTTTTTACTAAAAACTATAAATATTTGACAATTTGTACTATAATTGACACTGTCTGGGAATAATATTCCTTTCATTAGTATTCTGTCTTCTCATTGCGACTTGGAAGGGTTCTGGCGTTCTAGTGCTCACGTTATACGCGGTATATCAAGAACAATCTTCTAGATATAACAAATATATTGACTTGGTTCTGTAAGGACAACATCAAAGAGTTATAACCATAGTGGTAAATCCATCGCATCTAGTAAACACTACTTTTCGAATTAAATCTGACCTTCGAAATTTACCATAATTTACTAGAGTTGATGACTGGTTAAACATATTTAGGGTTCTTCATTAATTCTGTAGAGATTTTCAATCAGAATTATTTATTCCGCCTAATACATTTATTTAGGTTTAGATTTAAAGATGAGTTAACGTAATGAGATTATGATTAAAACTAATTAAAATAAATTTCACTGATTTACAGTTGACTGTTGTGAATGTTTTTTGGAAGATATTTTATTACCGATACTTTACATATTCGTGGATAGTATCCAGCATAGAGTGATCTCAGTTGGAACACCGTTGGATACAAGAAATCAGCGAACAACTGTTGGTTCTTACCAGTAAGCATCTATAACTAAATTAAAGATGGAATCCATGACCAAAACTAAACCATTAGAATCATTATGGCTAAATTCAACTGCTTTACCGTAACTTTAATCAGTCTGCAATTTAGTGTGATGATTATTCAATACCATTGATGACAGTTTACACTTTCTACATGGCTGAACACCGATTTTCAGTTGTGCCTCAAATGGAATCGATCTGCGACAAATATTGCTTACAAGTAAAATGAATCTGCACAAAACCTTTTCAAAAAAACTGTAGATTCTTTTCGTATTAAGCCAAACTCATTTTACATCAGTTGATTAAATATATATAACTATATAGTTCTGGACAAATGTAATTTATGAGTTCGTGAATTTTCTGAGTTTTATCATTGATGATGCTATAAATGTGTAGCATTGATGAGCTTGAAAGTGAAACAAAACAACTGTCTAATGGTTTTCCTGGTTTTTAATGGTTTGCGAAAAAGAATATATTATCAGCCTAATCCCAAGCTATTTAAGTTCATTAGATAGATAGACCAATAAAGTACTTATTTCTAACACCCTGAAAGGAATACTTAAATAATAGCAGTAAGTGTTATGAATAAATTATAATTAATTAATTAGACAGAAATTTGATTACATAATATATACACAAAAATACAGTTGTAATATGTTTCTAGTCAATACACCAATTTTTCTAAATACTATTTCTATTAAAATTGTGAAATATTACTTAATTTATAGAAGTGAGATTAAAATGTTTTATTTTCTACCAAGTTTTTAGTAACTCAAATATTTAGATCGATATCACAAATGGACCATCATTCAAAGTCTGGCTGGTCGGTTCGCTTTAGTATGGGGCTCCTCAGCAGTGCGCATCCACGATGCCACATATGGGACCCAAACCAAGGACTCATCTGGATTGGTTGAAGTTAGACATTAATATCATTGGATTCTCGCTCAGTGGTCTAGAGGTTAAACATTCGCGCGCGAGACCAAAGGTCCTGGGTTCGAGTCCTGTATGTTGGCACTGCCGAGGAGTCCCGCACTAGGACGAAACGGCCGTCCAGTGTTCCCAGTTTTCCAATGGTGAGCTAACACTCACCCATTCGTGATATCAATCTAAACCCAACAATCTCCACAACCCTATACTGATAACTCAGATATTGTCAAATGCATATTTAGCAATATGCAGTAGTAAAACCTTATTGTAAAGTCTAGTCAAACCTACCTGTTTGAGTAGTTAAATTTGCATCTGTTGATTTTAAGTTAGTTGTTGGACCAATAACGGGTTTAACTCGAGTAGTTCTGTGAACAAGGAATAAAAAGGAAAATGATCTTACATTTTAATTGACAAACAAACTTTTTTTAAGTTAATGATTTTAGTTACTTTTTACAATTTGTTATCAACTCGGTGATCATAACAGAGCAATAATGCAGTTTCGTCGGTATGTTTCTGTGGAGATTGATAAATCGGATAAGCAGGCGAATTCACATTTCTCGCTAACCCACCATAACAATTTATAGCATTAGTTTTTATCCTCAATGTAGTATTTTAGTCAGAACGAGATTGAGTTTATACTTTTCAATGTACCATCATTTTCGGTCAATTTGTTTCGTATTTATTAAGTGTAAATTTTGTTGAGTATAACAGGCGTGAACCTTCTTTCTGCGTGACAATTATATTCTTAATATAATTAGGTGTAAACTTTTTATGTGATTACAGTATATCCGTATATCTCTTCATTTTTATGGTGTTTATTCATTAATTAGCAAATGTGCGTAAAATCAGCACATTAGGTTTAAAGTCGCTGTGCTTTAAGAGAGTCAATAAATTTTCATTTTTGTCAGTTTTTGTGTTTTCAATTTGCGTTGCAGGAATTGCTTTGGTTCCACTTTCAAGCATAAGGGATAAAACCATATATATTACAGAAATTAATGTAAATGGAAGGTGACATTAGTCGCGAAAATACCTCATTCTTTATGCAACTGAAAACCAAGGATTACTCGGAAGGCATTTCATTTCGGTATGGGAATTCACACCAGTGACCACCCATGACGACACCTTGAGGTGTGACTGTTTGGGAAATCTTCCACGGATCTTATATTTCAGTGGGGTGTAACTTTTGAATATTTATGTTTATTTCACCTTCCGTGTTAAAACAGATGGCAAATTTATCAAAAGACTAGTAGATTTAATAACTAACCAATAAAAATATAATGAATATCATTTCAACAAACGCATTGTGTTACCCAGCGGATTTATTGACTAACATTTTACAGATGAAGATTTTTAAGCGGTCAGTGTGATAAACCTTATAGTTCGAATTGTAATGTAAAACGATTCAAATAACGGACCTGCTAAGTGTTATGACTAAGAGATAGCATCTTAATGCGTGATTCACTCGTCTGTAATGTGTACAGCACACTCAAACCTACGTTCTTTTTCCTAATGAGTTGAACTTTATAACATATGCTACTAGCTGTCAGATAACTGACTAGTTATAATCACATTTCCAAAACCGTATTCTAATGATTATATCTCCTTTCTCATTTGTACTCTCATTCTAAAGAAACTACCAATGTTCATAGTTTTGACATAGCTCGACCGTGAGGACTAATCAATTAGCGGAGGAAACGAGGAGATACAACTTGACGGTGCTCGGAATATGTGAAACCCATTGAACCTAAGCTGCGCAGAAAAGATTAGATTCGGGAGAGACGCTTCTGTACTCTGGTCATCAAGAAGAAAATACTTCGTATACTCAAGGAGTTGCCCTGATGCTGTTCGAAGAAGCACGAAATGCACTTATGGGATTGGAATCTCATTCATCCAGAATCATCGAAACATCCTTCGAAACACAGAAGGAGGGAATCACATTGTATGTCATCCAGTGTTATGCAACCACCGATGATAGCAATCAAGATGATAAAGATCGAGTTTACGAAAGGCTGAAATCGATCATAACAAATTGCTCAGAAAAGAACCTGATCATCCTAATGAAAGACCTAAACGCCAAAGTCGGAATCGAAAACACAGAGCATGAAGATATCATGAGACGACATGGACTAACTGGGAGTAAGAAACAACGATGATTTATAAATTTATGTTTTTAACAAAATGGTTATAGGTGGCACGAAGTTCCCACACAAGCGCATACACAAAGCTACATGGATCTCACTGGATCACGCTACAGAGAACTAGATAGATCATTAAAAAATCGGAAGGTCAATGGAAGACGTGAGAACCAGGAGAGGAGATAACATAGCTTCAGATCGCACCTGGTTGTGGCCAAGATGAAACTGAAGCTAGAGAAGCACTGGACAACTAAAAAAAACAGCAAACAAAAGTTAAATACAAACTTCTTTCGGGATACTGACAAACTCAATGAATTCAAAAAAGCTCTCAAGGAAATATCAGACAATTACATGGTACAACGGAGAACTCAGTCGGGAAATATAGCAAACCAGAGATACCAGTCAAGGACAAAGAAGGCAAGTCAACCGCTGAGATTCAGAAACGGAGGAACAGATGGGTAGAATACATTGAAGAACTCTTGAATAGACCAGCACCAATAAAACCCATCCAACATCAAAGTAGCACACACAGACCTTCCTGTAGATGTCACTCCACCAACGATAGAAGAAATCAGGATGGCAGTAGGACCTGGTAAAATAACACCTGAAGCACTGAAATCAGACATAAAATTGATGGCAAACATTCCCCATTTTCTGTTCAGGAGGATTTGGGAGGAGGAACAGCTGCCAACAGACTAGAAAGAAGTATACTTCATCAAAATACCAAAAGAAAGGTGATCACTATACATCAACTTCCTTGACTATGTGAAAGTGTTTGGCAGTGTGGATAACAGAAACTTATAGAACCTTCTTTTACATCGTAGGGCGAGTAGCTGAGAATATCATCAGCGTCATCCAGAATTCATAAGATGGACCACACTGCAAATTCATGCATGAAGGACAACTAACACGCGTTGAAGTAAGGACTGGAGTCAAATAAGGCTGCTTACTCTCTTCCTTCCTCTTACTTCTGGTAATTGACTGGAATATGAAAACTTTCATATCTGAGAGGAAGTACGAAATACAGTCGACAGTTTGCATGCGACTAGACAATTTGTACTTTGCAGATAACCTAGCTATTCTATACCATACACGCCGAAAATGTAGATGAAGACCGACAGTGTAACAGTAGACTCTGTATCAGTAGGCCTCAACATACATAAATAAAAAAGCAATATCCTAAAATAAACACGGAGTGTGTGAACCAACCTAATCACCCTCGACGAAGAAGCTCTGGATGAGGTAAAAAAAAGTTCATGTATCTGGTTAGCACTATCGATGAACAAGGAGGATCTCACAATCTTCAAAACATGCATCAAAACAGTTTTACTTTATGGAGTTGAAACTTGGAGAACTACCACAACAATCATCAAAATGTTACGGGTATTTATAAACAATTGTCTATGCAAGATACTCCAGATCCGTTGACTGGATACCATCAGCAACATTCTACTGTGGCAGGAGACAAACCAGCTTGCAGTTGAAGAGGAAATTAGGAATAGATGTCTGAGGTGAATAGAATATACATTACGTAAATCATCAAACTGCATTACGAGGCAAGCGCTAACTTGGAATTCTGAAGTGGAAGATCAGGGAGCACACTGCGTTGGGAATTGGAAACAAACCTATAAAAAATGAATAGCAACTGGAAACAACTTGAGGGGTTGCTCAGGATAGAGTTTGATGGGGAATGCTGATGGTCGGTCTGTGCTCTTCCACAAAGGTTAACAAAAGTAAGTAAATAACACAGCTCACCTATACTGCTCTAATTTTTTTAGTAGTATGCTCCAGTAGGTATCATCATCGAATACTAAACATAATCGGCAAAATGTTGAACACAAATCCCATATTTGATATTTCTTAGCTAATTTGATCAAATCGAACCATACAAGTAATCTATAAGTAATAAAAATTAGGTAAATATGGTTTTTTTTACAATGTCGAACTACTTAAAATTAACCTCCGAAAATCACTCAGACGAAAACATAGTCCATTCATTATACTTACATGTTGATACAAAATAAATTTATATGAAAAATAATCGAATAACAGTGATGCAATGAACTATTTCTTATGTTATGTCATTTGTAAAAGTTATATATTTATTCCCTTTGTCACAAACGAAATTAAGAGAAAATTCTACTAACTTGAAGAGATGAGAGAATCAATAGAACTTCTTTGTTCTCAAACTTTGCTTAGTTATCGATAAGCTTTATAATATGAAGTTGAGTCAAATCTAGAAATACCAGTATAGGGTTATGGATAGTGTTAAGTTTTTATTGAGATCATGAACCCATCAATGTTAGACGACCATTGAAGACCTGGAAGAATCGGACAACCGGTTTTCCCTAGTATGTTACTCCCTAGCAATGCTCATCCACAATCCTGCAACCTAGGACCTTCCATTTCACGCGAGCGCTTTGCCTCTGAACCGTTGAGTGGAAATTCAACGGTGTTAATGTCGAACTTCAACCGATCCACGATATTGCGTGACCATTAACACCGTTGGGTCCTCGCTCAGTGGTCCGGAGGTATGGCGTTAGCGCGGGTTCGAAGGTCTTATGTTCGAGTCCCGTATGCGGAATTGTGGGTCCACACTGCTGAGAAGTTCCATATTAGGACGAAACGGCCTTCCGATGCTCCAAGTTTTTTTAATAATAGTATAACATTGATCAGTTCATGATCTCAATAAAAATGTATATTCCTATATGCGTATACATATGTGAAGCATAATGTAACAAATAACTATTACTTACTTTTCATTTATTTCACATTCAGCATTTTCACTAATCATTTCACAATGATGCTTAATTCTCTCATTAATTTTTAACCAAATTTGTTTGTAGGAACTTATTTGGGAAAGCAGTTCTTTATAACTTTTATGTTTATACTCTAATAATAATTTCGAACCACCATATTGAATTGTTTCATATTTAAATACTTCTTCAAATATACTTTTACCAACCAGTTTACCAATTTGAATTAATAAAGTACTCTAAAAAAGAGGTTGTGAGAGGTCGGAAAAGATTTTATTCATTGTAAAACAAAATTAACTGTCAAATGGTTATCAAAATAAATCTGCAAAACATAAACATTGAACTATATAAGGTGATACAGAGATAACACTTGATGATTAAGCTGAATTTCTATTCGAATTTTTGAGTTCTTTGAGCCAGACAGTTCAACTGTGAAGTTTTCAGTTCTGTTCTGAACATTATTATTATTGATTACTTCATACAGAAGTGAATTAATTATTCTACAAGCGTTAAATCAATTTGTTCTGGTGGCCTTGTGACAACTAGTCACAATGCAGTCAAAATATATGGAATAATTCAATTCTGAATGATTTGGGCCTTAATAATGAAGGACGTACAGTTAAAACGTTTAGCTCAAAGAACTCTGTGACAATGAAAGCAGCAAACCTTTCCCTTGATTACTAAATTCCTATATTTAGTGCTTCTTGCCTATTAATGGTTACCCAGTTGATTTTAGAATGTGATGAAATATTTTATCTCCTGCTTGAATTCAACAAATAAGTATTTTTCAATAATTGAGATCATGAGTCATTGAAGCTAAACCACCATGAGAAACCTGGAAGCGCTAGACGGCCATTTCGTTCTGTTGTGGGACTCTTCAGTAGTGCGCATCCACGATCCCGCCTCTCAAGATTCGAAACCAGGACCTATCAGTCTCGCGCTTGATGCTTAAATATATTTTTTAAAAATAATTTATTCACGAAAACTTACCAACAAATCATTAAAGTTGTTCCTTTTATATTCATCAAGCTCATTACCATTATTATTATTATTACTAAAATAATTTGTATATTTTAAAAGTTTTATTATTTCAGTTGATGATAGATTATTAGTATTTTGAAGACGTTCAATGATTTGACGTGCTTGTTCAATTGGTTCATTTGGTATTTCATATAAGTTTGAACGTAATAATAAGCATTTTTTGTAATAATTTAAACTAGATAAAAACTCTCCTGTTTCGTCAAATTTCATAGCCTAAATTCAATGGAATAATATGAAAGAAGAATTAGGAATATGCTTCTAAATCATTATGTGTAAATAACATTATGGGTATATATTTTTTAAAACTGTTCCTGGAGTCCCTCCTGGGGCTACTGCTGGTCCCAAGCCCGGATTAAGAAGAAGGGTTGGGCATGGGGTTAGCGACCCCATCCCGGAGAAAACTAACTCGCTAAAAAACGCTAACCAGAAAAAAATTACTCAAGTAAGTTGTTTTTTTTTAAAGGAGGGATATACACTATTGTCATTCAATATTTAAACTAACTTATTGTTTGTAAAAATTTTTAGTTGACGATTTCACTCTTTGTTTTAGTGTATTTTAAACATACTACTTCCTGTCTCTCTATATTTGTAAATCAATCAAATTGTAATGAACCTTTATATTTCTTGCTGTATTATATAATCTGTCTTATGAGTGATTCTGTTAGATCTTCATAAATGACCTAGATATACATGAAGAAAGTTTAACCATAAAATACGTTGTGGATTGAGTGTAAATAATTCTCACTCCATTTATGCTATTACTAAACTTTAATTGTTTAATTTAACTGTCGATTCTTTAAAGTTAATTTTGATTTTAATGTTTTTATATTCAGTAGACTTTTGTTAAGAAGCATAACATTTGAAGTTTGTTAAATTATTATTTTAATTGTATTCGTATGGATAATACTTCATTTAGATCATTTCTTGACTCTGGAAATCCAATTAATGTTAAGTTAGTAAACTATCTCCTAGCATCATTTCTGTTTGATAGGTCAGATTGGGATACATATTTTAATGAAAGTAATATGGGAAATTTTTCATTAAATCGTAGTGAACGGAAACTTGGTGGGGAAAAATAAGTTGGTTTTATGCAAAATCAAACAGTAGCTTTGTAAAATGCGAAAATTACACATTGAATACATCATTTGCATATCCTCCTCCAGTTGTCATTCATACACTTCATCATTCTTCCAATCCTGTTACTCTTCCGAATGCTCTTCGTTTTTTCTTCCTCTTCTCTTTATTTCACGCTTCCTCTGATAAGCATTCTACTTCCAATACCTGCAACATAATACCTGTGTCTGTCCGCATAATTAATGCACACCGTATATTTAATTTTGGTTAGGCATATTTTATTAACCACCAGCATAACATACATCTACCAAACTTATCCTCATATTATGCTAGCGAAGTTGCAGAAGAGCTGCAGAGGAGTCCCATACTGGGATCGGTTATCAGTGTTATCGAAACCAAGGTTAATATCATATTTTGTAAACGCTCAACGTAGCAAATGAAGATAGGCACTAAATGTAGCTCAAGGAAATAAACAATTTTCTGTGCTCTTCAGATTGAATTGCTTTTAATACATCGTTTCGACTGAGTAAAGTTGCACTATTAAAATAAACATCCTCAAAAGTATGAATTCAAGATTAAGATTTATTCATTTCAGTTTCTGATAGAAAGAATTGACAAGTTCAGTTTTTATGGCAATATATATGCAACATGTTCGACGCTTAGAAAAGATATTGACGTGTATTGTAAATGTATTTAGCAGTGCAAAAAATAATACTATCTAATATTCTCTAATCTTCAGCAGTCTCTTGATTTAGTAGAATTCTGGGATGGTAACTAGCAAAAAGGGACACCAAAATTTGGAATACATTGAATAAACAAGCTTTATTCAACCAGAGAGAATGTTTGTAGTATACTGTGTTGCAATGAATGAAAGACAAAAATAAAACGTGGACACACATTCTAAAACTTCATATTTGATTTCGTTTATAAATTATAATTTGTTTGTCTCAGTAAACGTTGGTTCCCAGAGGTGTAACGTTTTCTTTATACAGTAATTAGTAGAATGAAAATTAAGAACGCTTGTAAGACTTAAATAAAACGGTTCCTTGAATCAATTGATGTTAGACCACCGTTGGAAACCTGGAAGCACTGGACGGCCGTTTCGTCTTAGTATGGGACTCTTCAGCAGTGCGCATCCACGATCCCGCTCCCTGCGAGATTCGAAGGGAGCGGGATCGTGGATGCGCACTGCTGAAGAGTCCCATACTAAGACGAAACGGCCGTCCAGTGCTTCCAGGTTTCCAACGGTGGTCTAACATCAATTGATTCATGATCTCAATCAAAAACTTAACAATCTCCACAACCCCTATACTGAGAAAACGGTTCCTGTAATCTAAAATATCATTTACGTTGACTCCTTGGTGATTTTTTTTAAAATATACACTGCGTATGTATAATTTCAAATTTTTAGAATAGAACATTATATCTTTATTGTTTGCTACTGATTACAAATAAGTAATATGATATATCATTTCTGTCCAACCACTTGTAAGATCGAAAATATATGATATTGAGAGAAAAAAAGCAATGTAACTATTATTTTAAACCTACCTTGTCAATACTGTCTAAAGCCTCAGTGATTTGTTCCATATCAGCTTGACAATAGGCTATCATCATATGCACTTCACATCTCAGACGAAAATATAAACTGAAAATATGTCATCAAAAAATTACGTATTATGTGATTTCTTCTTTTTTTTTACTGAGATTATATACATATATTACTCTTGGATTAGCAATTTATGTTACTCAACGATTGGGAATATTTTCAGAAATAGTGAAATGTAAAGCAATTGGTCCCTTTGATAAATTTCGATAATGTAATAAGATAATCTTCGTCGTCTTATTACATTATCGAAATAGTGAAATGTATTATTAATCAAGCTACATAAATGTGGTGTTTAAATGAACTAATGATTCCTTTGTGCTTATTGAATGCTTGATTTCGAATTCTAAATACAGTACATTCGTTTGTGCTTATCTAGTACTTCTTGATCCGATTACGTTATTTCTGGGATTCTTAGTTCGTACTGTAATTCAAATACTCCTAATTATCACAATAAATCAAATATTTCCAAGCTTATTAGTTTTCATCTACGTTCAATCTCTTATTTATATTAACGTTACATCATTTTTGTATCTGGTGTTTCACTAGTCACTATATATTAGGTATTAAAATTTCCTGCCTATGTAACTTTATAAAACACACTTCATTTAGACTAAAAGTTTTTTTTATTTCATTAACAGTAACATTTATCTCATAGCAATACTCATTAAGCTTCAGTTTACTATTTAGTGATAAAATTAAGATGATCTCATCTCTTGGAATAGTCATGAAATCACCTCGGTATTGTTGCATTCTTCGAGTTATTCACCTGTAGCATTTAATCAAAACCTTGGCAAATTCATCAATCTACTCGATAGGCACAGTTAAAGATAAGTATGAAGCAATTAATGTAATTAGTTTTTTGAATTAATACCAAATATTTTAGAATAACTGTTCTCACCTATCTTGTTTAGTTAAATGATGGTTGATCAATTGTAAACTTTTAAATGTCTTTAGCCTAGTCTGTGAATTATGCTGTATCAGTGGTGAACATAAACGCCACAAAGTAAGACAACCTTGAATAATTGTTTCTGGTTGATAGGTAGGAGAGGATAAACATTGTTCTAATAAATTATAACACTTCTGCATCCCATGATAATGAACCTAAAAATATATGATTAGAAAAGTTAGTAATCTATAAATAAAATTCACACAAGTTAGATCTCATTTAACAAGAAACGTAGGACAGTAACTTCCATGCTTTTTTCGATTGTTTAATATGAAAAACATGGGGACAAAAGAAAGGATTTAGAAATATTAGAATTTTATAATTTGATCACATGAACATACCACAACTCATTTGAAGGTCGAAAACAATGATAAACTGAATATATTGTAGATTGCATATCTGAACAGCTTGTTGTAGTCAGGATTTGCTAATACCTCGCAAAAACTACCTCATTAATGAGTTATTGAGTTCTCAGTCTGTCCCAGAGTTCATGTGAAGCCAACTATATAAGTCTCTTCTTAGTAACTATGGCACTTTTATAGGATCAACTACCTATAATGCAATTTTTGATCTCTCTACAGAACTTTGCAACTGAATAATGTTCCCATTTATCAATAATTTCTTTAGTTCCAGAATATTGAATACATAACTGTTTAATGAGAAAACTGGTCGATAACTTAAAAACGATGACACACTATCATCGTTTAAAAAGGTGAAAAATTCCCACTTGACACCTTTATTTCTTTGAATTCAATTTCAAATGATTTGGATTATCCCGTTGTTGATATTTTTAATTAAAATCTTATCAGTCCTGGTTGGCATCTAAGCATCCTGAGCGGATTACCTAAATATAGTCATTATTACACAAGTTCGCATAGATCAGATGGAATGTAGCTGGCATTGGTTTGTAGAATACGCGTTTCGTCACATTTGGGACTCATCAGGTGGATGTGCTTGCTCTGGGACTCAAAACCAGTACCGTTTTATTCAAACACTATCGCGTTATCCACTTGGCTACTGAGTCCAGACAATCACACATTTGTGCAACCGGTATGAGATTTAATTCAATTTGAAATGGTTTAGATTATTCCGTCGTAATATTGTTATTTCCTCTCTTTCAATGTTGGTGTATTCACATCTAGTATAATTCAACAAGCTTTACTTCAATAAGCTATCAAGTTACGATGGTAATCAGTAATTAGGTACTGTTAGTATGAATCATATCGTCTAATTTTTGAACAATAAGTTTGAATGAGCCGGTCTAAAAGGTTTACTTCATCCATATTAGCTATGAAAATATTATTTCATATACATATTATATATTTCATAAGATGAAAACTCATCAGAATATCATGTAAAACTTACCGATAAGTACTGATTAGAAGTTTTGGCTACCTTCACCGCAAGGTTTTGAGTGTTTATTTCAAGTGAAAGAAAATGGATTATCATTGAAGCTGATTCTTTGTTCTAAGTAAGTAAAAGATAATGATGTATTTCATCTTAAGTAACAGTATTATGAGATTAACTGAACGATGAATCTTACAGTTTATTACGTTTATATACGTGAAATTATAAAATAAATCAAGATATCAGAATATTTTAAATGATCAATTATTTCATTCAATAAGGTATAATCCTACCCCATCAACTGAAATATGAAATTATAAACCACTTCACTTAATTCAGTTAGTATCATTAAACACTGAATAGATTATAGTGATGTACTAATATGAATTTATAAACTAGTATATTCGTTATTACAATCCCAGTGAATCAAAAAAGTCCTTTAAAGGTTAAAAAGAAGCATAAAAAGAAATAAATAACTTGATCCTGACAATTATCTGTCGTAAAGTTGTTTAGTCTTTGCCGAACAAATCTAAATGCTTTGTGAATATTAATAAAATCCATATATTCTTTTTACAAACAATGAACCAGCAGTACATCTGGTTAATAAATGTCAATCATTGAATTTCAATGTCTACGGATTGCAGAAGAAATAATTTACAATACTAAAAACTTGTAAACTAGAATGGAGTAGATAGTAAATTATCCTCGGGTTTTATTGGTCGTTTGACGATATATAAGTTTGTAGTGAAAACAATTGCATCTCACATCACAGGACTTGAATGAAGTACATTTTGCTTCAGACGCTTAACGTGTTATCGACTTAGATATTGACTACAGATAGCCACTGACTTGTGTAACTCTGTTTATAATCCTTCTAATTTTATGGAAATATCGAGGCTATCTGTACAGAATGCACATATGCAAAAGAGACTAGTCGACTGTTATCATAAACATCAATGGTGAAATACAAATAATCAATACAAAGGAATCTTAATGCGATAATAGCTCTAAGCAGCTCACAGACATTACTTTTTAAAACTTTTTGGTGTAAAACAACAATAATTTCACCTTTCCTCAAAACAATGGAAAAATTATTGATACTCCCATTTCAACCTGCATTAAAAGAGCACATTGGTCCGTATCAACTTGCTTACAGATGCAAAACAAGCCCCTTAGATGATGCTGTTGTTCCGCATCATAACATAGTGTTCAGCTTAGAAAAGGGTAAGATGTAAGTTCGATGAGCTTTCTCGGACTATGCTTCTGTCTTTGACTTTTTCTAGACAGCTTATACTCAACAAGTTGGTCAGCGTCAAAACTGACAGCTGGATAACCAACTAGCTATGTTCCTACTTCTCTGGAAGAGGACAGTACGCCGTGTTTGAAGGAGAATGTTCTACGTCTCTATTATCTCATGAAGGTATGCCACATGCGATTGTTCTTTCCTCTCTTTTTTTCCCTTTTTGTTTTCATAATCTGCCATCTCCCATAAAAAACACTTTTTTAAGTATGTGAATGACCTCACTGTAAATACACCGATTTCTACCTGTTCACATTCCCTTGAAATGAATGAGTTCCTGTATTTCATTGAATGATAGTCTCACACTTTATTCTTCTAAATATCAAACTGTTAACGTCAGTCGGAGGCATGAACAGCATCTAAGTACGCTGTTGGAATCCCATAAAGCTTGTACTATTGGAGATTCTGTATTAAAAACAGTGTTAAAGGTCATTTATCTTTGTATAGGTTTTTATTTTTGTCTCTCTTGGTCTTCTTATGTTTTATTAATATCGAAGAAAGTTTTCTGTCCGGCTTATTATGTAAAGAGTTTATATGCTTTTAGCATTACTCGAAATTTACTCTTACGATTTGTTAATTTATTCATGTGACCTATTATTTTTTACCTTTTTTCGATTATTCTTTCTCAGTATTTTGAGAAAAGCTTTTGCTGTGTTGCGGAGAGTGATAAAGGAAGTTAGCAGGGGTGTGTTGTTATCTAATCAGATATTAACTAATACAATGATGTAGTTTCAGTTGCAACGAAAGTCCAACCACATAAATCAGCTGTTTCATACTAACCACTATTGCTCTGTCCAGCTCCAACCGCTAATTGCATTATTGTAAAACAAACTTACAGTTTAACATCTAAACTAAATAACGGATCAATATATTAAATCTTACATGTGATTATTAATGGGAGCCGACAGTTACCAAACCCAAATATAATTGCCTATATCAACAGAATCCAACCATGAAAAAATTCATCTATCCCAAACGTATGTCTACTAAAAAGCCATAAAAACTCTTTGAATATAATGCAAACTATTAAGTGATAGAAAGATTCGCTACCGATAACTTTTCTTTCTCGATAATACTTTCGCATTGCTTGATGCATTTTAAGCAAATATGCAGTAGATCACGATCAAGAGCCAACTGTGTCAAGCTCACTAGTAATTTGAATCTGTAATCGAGAAATAAAATAAAGAAGCATGAATTAGGATTAATATTTAGCTACGACTTAGGTAAGTGATGAATTGATAACTAATAAATAATAAAAATATTTACCACAAGGCCAGCTATCTGCTTTAATGTGAAGGTTGGACATTAACGATTTGTAGGCAGATCTATAATAGTAATAAGAAGTATCAAGCCAAAAACAAGTCTCAGTTTGAAACTTCTTTAGGAGAAAACTCAAACCTTCGGAGTTTTAAAAAATGGCATTTTCATTAGAGAATGTTGGGTAAATTGGGTTTATCTTAAAAGGATACATCCCGATAAACCCAAGATAATGAGCTGAGGAAGTATAAAGCACTTCTTTTCCATGATGGCTTAAATAAAAGTGCAATTCCACATGGAAACAACCACAAAAATTTCTCAGTAATTTAAACTCTGCTGACTTTTAATCATATTCATTTGGGTGAATTAACAGACAAATTAACTAACGAATGAATGAACAGCACCCTATATGGTTTGTAAAGTGACAGTCTAAAACAATATGTAGCTCTATTTTTTGTATATCTGGTGGACAAAACCAAATTACTTAGAGTGATCATTTGCATACCTCCGTTGTTCCCAATGTGGTTCGACCTCATCCCCTACATATGATAGAATCTATAGGGATCCAAACCTAGAATCCTATTTCCTGAAGCTCTTTGGCCAGATATGACAAACTATTTCGCTAGTTTTTTCACTGTCTGTATTTGTTCGGCCTTCTTCATTCTAGTTTACATTCTTCTCTATCTGATTACCTGCATTTGTTTTTGATAACTTTTAGTGACTATTATTCTAATCTCCATTTACCCAAGTTTGACCTGCCTTCTATGTTAAAATATTGGTTGGACTTTCATCATTTTATTATTCTGATTACTTCTAGTACATCTGTCTACGTACTACCGGTTTGCACTTTTTACTTATTATGTGTAGTTGATGAATTTATTTATTTACGATCACTAACTTAAAAATTGTCTTTATTGACTTCATACATTATATAAATGTTACTGTATGTTAGAGTAAAACCTGATGACAATCTAATTGAAAACAATATTGTTCCCTTTTATGTAGCCTTTATAATAATTTATGAAAAAACAGCTTATAAATCATAATATTATTTATGTTTACCGAGTTTCAGTGGTTAAAGACTTAGGAGAAAGCACATCATCTATGATCTCCTCAGAGTTATTGATCATTTCAGTATTGTTACTACTATAATTAGTATCATCGATTGGTGAATCTCCGATGTTTGATATTTTATTCTCTAATTGTTTATCCGTTATTAGTTCGTTATTTTCATCTTGAATTTCAAGCAGTCGTAGAATTTTCAAAAATTCTTCACTTTGTTCACTTGGATTTTTTGTGCTATCGAAGAAAATATAATCAGCGGTAGAAAAACTACATTATAATCACGTTAAACATTGTTGCTTGTAATATTTTATCATTACATATATCTTTTAAGTAAATTAGTTAGGGATTTTGGTACATTAAAAGTCTTTATTGCTAACCTAACTCATACAAAGTACCACACGATGTTTTAGAGTCTAAAGTAGGTATTTTCATTTACTTGGTACAAATGTCAATGAATTAGCAACCTCCGTATCACATTGTAAATTACTTCATTATTGGTGTTGTAGGTTAGACATCATTCGCCAACTTTCTAGAAATTTCGCTGATCAACAGCTAAATTATCGCTTGCATACTTGGACATGTTGGATTTATTGTCGTAAGTCTCTGAGGATTAGAATTTTTCCTAATCGCAAACTTGAGTAAGATTGCTGCTTCGTTTATCTTATGTTTTAGCTGATCACTTTACCCATATTGTACATTATTCTTTATGTAGCACTACTGTATCAGTAAATTTAACGAAGCTTAATGAAGAGAGCAAATTTTCGGGAATAACTTCACGAAGATTTGATAGGTCTTGAGATTCTCTACTAGCCCGATCGATAACTCCTTTTTTAGGTAGACTAGCCACAGGTAAGAAACTATCTTATCAAGTTATATTTAAAACTACTATATTTTTCTCTGTTAAAATCCATTAAAATAACATCTAATAGGTTAGATAATGATGGAGAATATCTGATTGTCCAAACTATCTACATTCTCTTGACCCCATAACGGTTTTTAAGAATAATTATTTCATGTGACACTGGCTAGATGTTCAATAAAGGATGATATTAAAAACTAAGACGTTTTACTCCAACTACGTCTGAAGCCTTTCTGAGGCTATTTTCAGTTTTAAGTCTGGGTATGAGAGAACAATTGTGTGTTGGATTATTAATTCAACCTAGTAAAATCACTAACTACAGAACTGCTAACACGAGAGAATAGAATAATCTCGACTCTAGAAAGAGCATAGTATTCATATAGAAGAGTTATCCAGCCTTATGATGGAAGCTAGGGATCCTTGGAAGCCACGAGGGCCTTTCAAATATACACAAGAATAAGAAAATACAACCTGATTTAACTTAGAAAAGGTTAAACTAGTTGAATGTAACCTAGACATAGAAGACTAGAATCAGAAGAGTAATTTTTGCACTCCAGTCATCAGAGAGAAAATTCCATTCCTCATACGCGTACAGGGAGTTACACTGATATTATCTTAAGAAGCAGAAAATTACTAATCGGATGGAAAACCCATGGCTTCAAGGTCATCAAAGCATCTTTCAATACAAAGAAGAAAAATAATGAAATGACCAGAATACAGTGTAATGAATCCACTGGTAGTTGCAATGGCGGTGAGATGTTGTAATTCACCCAACATAAATACCTGGTAAAGGGACTGACCATCCAGATGGCAAGTCTGAGTCCTCGGGTTAGTGTGGAATAAACGGAAAGTAGCAGCATGGACTGCACGAAAAAAGTAAAAGTTGCCAACGACTAGGTTGTCTGTGATTTCAACATGGTTATGGTCAGCACCATTTTTCCCAACAAATATGTGCAGAACGCCACATAGATTTTACCAGACGATACTACATAAAAGCATATTTATCGCATCTGTGTGAAAAATACAGGAGTTCACCCAAGGTGTAACAATATAGAGATAAACTGGTATGGTTTTAGACTACTACCTAGTGGTGGCCAAGCTAAAACTGAAACTAAATAAATGTCGAATATATACAGGATCAAACAAACAAGGAAAGAAGAACTGACAGTCGAAAATATCTGGAAGACCCGACAACTACATTAAAACAAGCCGAAAGAGAAGAAATATGAGAGAGCTATGTAATACAACCAAAGAACTAACTGTTTTGATAATCAGAGATAGAAATTAAAACCATTAATGGAACCCTGTAATAACTGAAAAACACGACCCTGGAGAGAGTTACTTGGCGATTCTTGGTCAGAGACCTATACCCCAAGACAGTAGTGAGTATAAATAGTTAATTTTCAAAAGGTATTTTTTCATTTGATTCCATATTTATTAAAGCAACACACTTTCATAGCACTAGCGTTCAAACATACCTTGCTCGTAGCCTTGCTAGACGACTTGAGGGTACTATTCCAAAGCTGATTAAACTATGTGCCAATGGTCCACTCATCGGTATATTCCGCTCTTTTGCTTGAGACACAGAACTTTTGGTAGGCTGGTTTATGGATAATTCTGTTTGATTACCACTATACACTCCAAGCGCCCAGTTTATATAGCGTTCAGCGCTCGTTAGGTTGCCCCCACTGGCAGTTGCAAGAAGTTCAACCATTTGTTCAGGAACGTGACGTGCAACACCACCAGCTAACGTATCTAACAACTGGCTCGCTTCCTTTCTGGATCCGACTTGTATGAATGTTTCGATAAGAAGTCTGTAAAACAGATTATGTGTGAAGTTACCAAATAAGTGGGTGTTAATAAAATATTGTATTTATTTTACACTCTTTAGAAATAGTTTTGAAATCCACAGGAGTCACAAGTCTCACTTTGGAGAAAAATTTGTTATAAGATTTCTAAACTGAATACTTGTTTATATCAAGAGTTTGCTAAAAAAAGATTTTCTACAACAGACCAAAATTATATTACTATCTAGAAACTATCAGCCTACAACAAGCATTGAGTAAGTTTAGTTAAAATCCACACGCACAGATTCGAGATCAACAGTACAGATTCCTTCTTATGTTAGTTGAGTTGATTATGAAGACCTTCACATCTGAGAGGAATCACGAAAAACAATGTACAGTTTGCATGCAACTAGACAATTTTTACTTTGCAGATAATCTATCTCTTCTATACCATACACACCAACAAATGCAGAGGACGACAGACAGTATAGCAGTAGCCTCTGCATCAGTAGGCCCCAACATACAGAAATAACAGGCAAGATCCTACAATAAAACACAGAGTGCATCAACCAACCCAATCCACTTTATGAAGAAGCCCTGGATGAGGTGGTAACGTCTACGTAGCTTATCAGCATGATCAACATACAAAGATGATCTGTTGTAGATATGAAGGCAAGGATTGGCAAAGTAAAGGTAGCATTCCTACACCTGAATAATATTTGGAACACAAAAAATTGTCAACGAACATCAAAGTCAGAATTATCAATGCATACGTTAAGATACTTCTACAATATGGAGATGAAACTTCCATTAATATCACAGTCATCATCAAAAAGGTACAAGTATTTATAAGTAGTTGTCTACGTGAGATACGGAATGTCAGTTGGCCTGATATCAACAACAACAGACTACTGTGAGAGAGAACAAACCAACTTCCAGCTGAAGAAGAAATTAAGAAAAGCTATTAGAAGTGGATGGGAAACACATCGAGGAAATAATCAAACTGCATCACGAGGCAAGTCCTAACTTGGTATCCTGAAAGTAAAAGGAGACAAAAACCAAGGAACACACTGGGTTGCGAATCGGATGCAGACATCAAAAGAATGAATAGCGACTGTAAAGTATTGCCCATGGTTGAGTTTGATGGAGTTCAGCTTATGCTGCTCCATGAAGGGAGATAGGCGTAATTAATTAAGCAAGTGAGTAATGTAAATCTCACATTTCTCTCTTGAAAGATAAAAAAATATTGTATAAAAATTTCGATATCTACAAAATTTAACTGTCATACTTTCTTAAAAGATGATGTTCTCAAAAGTAGTGTCGTTATTAAAGTAAATCTTACATAAGCCAAACACCAGTTTTGTAATGACTTCGAATAAACAAAACTATTTTGACCAAGCGGATACTGTTATAGTCACATTCTAACAGGTTGATGAAAAACTAATTACGTAACTATAATTGGCCAAACACTTCTCACTTTCTAACTCTTTTTTCAGTTTTGTAATTCATTGAGATGGGAAAACTAGTGACTGGCCGAAAATTTATTATGGAAAACGGTATTACAAGAGATTATAAGACATATTTGAAAAAAATGACTCTAACCCTATAATTAGCTGAAAATGGAAAACGGGTTTCGTTAATTAGTGAAATAGCTATCCTAAAAAATTCATTATATTAATGTTTTTGTTTGAAAAGATTTCATGTGTTAGGGCAAAAAATGTACACAAGTATAGTTTGAACAATATGAAATTCTCACATTCCAAAACGTAATATAAAAGAGTAATCTTTAATATGCATATCCATCAGCAACTTTAACTTCGGCCTTAAAAATAGAGGTAGTTCTGCTCTCTTGAATAATGTTGCTTTCATTCGTACAAACTTGTATAAAAGAATCAATAAGTTATTGACAATAATTTGGTGATCACTCTCAGTGGCAAAGTAAATCGATTTTTCAACGTGACCCATGGCCAGACCTATCGTGCTCTAAAACTCAATATTATTTTGTATTAAAGATTACAATGGAAAATTCACTTTTTTGAAACAATATTTCGGCAAAAAGTAATGACACTAGATCTGAAAATTCATTATTACCACCAAAAACACTCTCAAAAACATTAATGACAGAAATGGCGGTACCGCTTAGCTTTGCCTAAAAAGCGAATATGGAAAAATTGAAAATTATCCATAGCTTTATACCTCAGCAGCAACTACAGCCAAATGTAATATATCATGACTTGTATAGGAAAAGTTCTTCCCAGGTTTCCATGAGTTGGACGCTAAATTCAATAACGTGAATGCTCGTTCGACATGTGTCACTGGAAGATAAATTATTATGCAAGATATACCGTTTTTATCTTCTAAATACAAATGCAAACATTCTTGTATGCTTTCCGACATTTCTAATATTCGCCAGAGTCAGTTGTAGAAGCAAAATAAGGTTTTCAAACGTTAAAACAAATTACCAAACGTTATTCTACATCAAACATTATCGATTTATGACTAATGACCCACTGTATATTAACAATACAACTATATGAATGAGGTGGTAGTTTTGTAGAATGTTAGTTAAATGGATCTTGATTCCTGCTCCACAAACTCGATTATTAATATCTTTGACGTTGCCACAGTTATGCGCATTTCGAGAAGAGCTTTACATGCCACATCTTTTTAATCGAAGTATATCAGTTCACTTCAACTCAGAAGTCGGAAATGAAAGGGTTTGAATATGTATTTAGAAGGCCGTCGGTATGTCTAGGGGCGATTGCTGGATAGCAATCGCAAGGTATGCTTAGCACGGCGCACCAATTCGTGATCTAGCGCAAATGGGTGATCGAGTGCCTTTAGCTAGAGTGTGTTCAAAATACTAATGAGGTCGGCATCAGTGTTGAAGAATTGCATAACTTTATTTTAGAAACTTATTGGCCGACACTATGAAAACATCGATAGTTCATTAATCACTATTAGCTGAACGCAAACTTTCGGCCATCACTTCCCGTCTAGTACTAAAATTCTTACGACAATAACTTTTACTTCAAATGCCAAGTGTTCGTGTATTCCATGTTTTTGCCTAGTCTTAGAACTCTCTTCTAATTTCTGTCCTCTCTCTAGAAGATTCTACGTCACATTAGTTGCTCTACATACACCACTGTCACACAAGGTGCTTTTTGCCTTGATCCAAAACTAACAGAGGCTGAACGTTACACACCAGAGAATAATACAACTTGACATGAGACTCTTATTATTTTCTTCATATCCAATTAAAAGGTCATCAGTCAAATACGTCCTTTCTATCAACCATCAATTTCATATACCCTTAAAGAAAGCGATCATGTCTGATTCGGTCGAAACTTGTGTGTCATTTTAGTCATCAAATCAAACATCCGTTAGACTGCAAACATAAAAAGTTCAAGACACTTCTTCAAACGCCATGCTCAACGGTATCACAATCCAGTCCTGCCTTTTTTAACTGAGGTAAAACATTCAGTCTGATTGTTAGCCGCTTAACACAAAGGTGTTTATTTTTAACCGTAACATTTGTAAGGAGGTTTTGTTCGTAATTTGTGAGAGAGTGGAGCTATTAATTATCATCTAAGCAATAACTTGAATGTAATTAATATTATTAATGAGTCTTTTTTAACTGTTTGTGACACTTAAATATAAGTATTTGAAAATGTGTCCCAAAATTTTACGAGAAGTCATTTTATGGAAAAATAGAATTCCGACGGTCTCAATATCTTGCATTCAAGTATGATAATGGGAGAAAGTCTTAAAGCTGGTAGAACAAAATTTATCTTTACCACTCTTTTTCTGCTTTTCATATTATCTGAAACGTAGACTTATTTCATGGATTCAGAGTTAGTTGAATTCATAAGCATAATTTATTTATTCTTCCCTTCCGACTCATTGCATATAAATGCCCCCAAAAATTCATCCCAGAACATCTTTTATTTGTCTTGTTGCCACCTTCACACAACCGAGTTAATCTACGTTTGGTGCTCGAAATTAATTAATTAATTATATTTCATCATCATTGTCATTCGTGAAGTCAACAGAGGGCGCTAAAGATGCAAACTGCAAAGCCACTCTGACAAACGGAATTGTTGGCAACAAAGTCTGTCACCTTAGAAGCCCTGACGTATTGCTCATGATAATTGTTTTCTGCATGCTCACCACAGGAAGCAAAAAGTTATAACTCATGGGTTCAAGTAAATGACTTTTGTATACAAGAGTTACGATGCGGTCTGGGACTAATTTAGTTATTATGTTCTTAATTTCCCTAAATCATATAAATCATCATATATCTACAAGTTTAACCGTGAATTGAGGCTGGTCGTTAATACGCAAATAGAGTATGCACGAAAAGTAAGACTTTTGGGAGTTCACAGATCTTATCCAACATTGTTTATTCAACCACTACCTAGGCTGTTTATTTTGCAGGATTTCTTTTGTATTTCAGATTTGCACTTTATCAGGAGGTGAGTTCATAAGTACGATGTATTGGAAGCTTTTAGGATATCTTATCTTCGTTATTGAATTTTAAACGTCTACTGTATTGTTTGGTCTATTAAGCATTTATTCTGCAATCAAGTTTTCAATGTAAGTGTTGCTATAGTTGACTTTCAGGGTTCACACATCTGACATTGACAGGTGTTTTGAAAATCTGGATCCCTTGCTGAAGAGAACCTCTGAATTACTATGCAAGATCAAGTACTGTATATATTTTTTCATGTTCACATAATATTACCCTAACCAATACATTTACACGTTTGGTCTGTCATAAGGCTGCTTTTAATAAAGTCTACTGCATAAACAAGTGGTATCTTTCACAGCCGTATACTTCTGGAAGACGGTGCTGAATGTCTTGTAGATTTTGAGGTTAATGTTGTCGAGGAAACATTGTCAGAAGGTTTTAATTTGCCTAAATCTGTTTGACCTATAGTTTTATCGACAAATGTTGTCTTTCAGGTGAATCGCTAGTAAGGCTGATACTAGTATGAATAGCTTGTAATGATGGAGTATATTTCTGAGATGTTCGTCGTATACTTTGATCAGTGTTGATTCATAACTTTGAACTACTACTCACAGCTTTTTCAGACTGTAAAAAACAATTCAACTGATCTTTAACACTGTCATACTATTAATTAGGATTTTATGGTTTGATGATGCATGTTTTGATTTTACTGAAACGTAAGGTTAGAACTGAAGTCTATAGATATTGCTCAGTTATTCGATGGGGTCAAATGATAGCTGATGAGGAATTTGAGTTATTGACGTAAATTCTGAAATAGATTGTTATCAAAAGTCAAAACAACTAAATAACAGGATAGGTCCTTTTATGTCGTAGAGTAAAATTCCTAAATACCGAATATTAGGTTCAAGATATTCACTTAATTGTGGCACTGAACAAACGAATTATTGAACGATATGAATTTCTTAAGTCATTCATACATCAACAAAATAAATACATGAATTGTAGGCCTAATTATTGTTTAACTATGTCATCCCATTCTTTGTGCTGTGCAGAATATAGCAGCCAGTATCGCACGATTTCTTCGGATTTTATGTCAACCTAGGTTTTATTTGCAGCTGAAGATGTTTAGTACCCCTAAAAGACGACTTCATTGGTTTCCTGTCGGGTGATTTAGACACGATATGTTAACATTGTTTACTTCGGTTGCTTACGGTTAAATCATGGCAGCTTACAACTTATGGGTTTCAACCGGATATCCCATGTTTAGTTGCTACGCTACATAATTAAATCTGAGTAACTAAGTAGTATAACTAGTCATCACATACGCAATGCTGAGTATGTTAAATTTTACTCGATAAACGAGTTCCTTGGGAGTTATTTGACTGATTATTACGTATGAAAAAAACTGAGATATTATGTCATTTATATTAACATGCTCCCGTAAAATAGCTGATTAATTTATTCCTCTTATAAATCGATTTAATGTTTTTTAAATTGTTCCACTTACTGTGTAACATCATCCGGGATCAAGTTACACATTATTTATCGCTTATTTTGTGCTCAACTTTCATTATTCATATTGTTTATTTTCCCTATCTAAGTTGCTTGTTTAAATAAATCTTTAAACTCCAATTTCTTACAAGCAGAAATGAAGGTGTTCTAACTCATTCTCATCACTCTGCTCATCAGTCTCGTCGTATTGATCACAATCTTGCTCATTTTACTACAGTAGACCAAACTCCAGTGGACTACGATTCAAGAAATTTGAAGAATGTCAATTCAGTTGAGAAATCCTGTTTTCATAAATATGAAAATGGATTTGCTTTGTCGAAAAATCAACACCTCGCCACAACAGTTAAAATTTTTGCCTCAGCTGCTCCGCCAAACTCTGAAGAATCCTCCTTGCGTATAAAAGATAATTTACGCGACTACCAATCGAATACTGAGAAATTGCTCGCTGAATTGAAGCAGTCAAACGATCAAGTAAATACTGTTTACACAGTTCCACTCATAATTATCGATGCAGCAAATGTGTAATTATTTTTTAGGATTAAGTTTGCAACAATCGATTTTAGAAAGAATATTCCAAACTGAACAACCTAAACCCCATTACAATAATTAATTATTTTAGGCTGCTACACTTTTCAGTCAAATAATTTCAAGTGCAACTGTGTTTTTCTTTAGCCTTCAGAATACCAAAACTTATTATTCGATGCTTAATGACGATGTATACGAGGTTATATGTGACATCCAGTCTACCTAAATAGTATCTCCCGTTATCTATGTAACATATTTTCCTTTTTCCGCAGAATTGTACAAGTTGGTGGAATTCATTACGTAAAATAAAGAGAATGTCCCTTCCAGCTGTAAATATCTTAGTCTCTATTAATCATATTCAAAATAAATGTAAGTGTGATCTTAGAGTTAGATTAGTCTATCAACTTAGCTATTAAACCCTCGACCATTAAATCGTTTATTGTTCTAGACGTCCAATTGTTTTTGTGATACATCACAAGTTCATACCTTTCTACCCCTACCGAATCTCATTCTCTTAAGGAGTATCACTCGCTCTCACAATATATGATCCATACATTCTTATATGACTCGCTGCCAATTTGTTGGTTGTCTGGATTTAGATTACCTTTTCAGAACTGTTTATTTTCTTAACAGAATCCTTCTAGATTTCGAGAATATTAGTTGCATATAAATTTTCACACCAATCAGTAAATCAATCAAAAGTTTGGAGTGGTCGTTTTTATTTATTTATTTCGTTATCTGCACTGGATGAAGCTCATTTTAGAATGCTTAATGTTCAAATATATGTTTCTCCTGTTTTATAGATAAAAAATCTTGAAAAATCCTTATTAGCAAAACAGTCGTCGATTAATGAACTTTCTATTGAATTGGAGCGTAAAACAGCTCTTGTCAATTCTTTAAC